AAAGTTAAATTTAAGCTTACCAAATTTTAAAACGTAGTATTATTGTTCTTTTAAAATTCGGCTTAAGTTTCCTACAATTGCCAGCGGCTGAGGGGATGGTGTAAATCCAACTGGGATCCATGCAGGTAGCAAAGGCACTGTAAGTCCCCATGGTCCCTAATTTCAAAGTCAATTCAGCTCAACCGTGCTTTTTAAACGTAGAATATTTGTTATTTTAAATTATGGTGTATATCCAGCTAGGGCCCATGCAGGAAGCAAATGTCCTGTAAGTCCCCATGGTTCCTAGTATGGTGATCTACCTTCAGTTGTTGGCGATCTATAGGCCGAGTTTTATATTGTATTGTCTTCTTTGATTTAAATGTTTTAGTTTCACATGCTAGTTTTAAATTAGGAGCTGTGATACTCTAGCATTTTTACTGTCCTTCGATGACAGGTTTTTACGTTATACATTTATTGATTTGAATATTGATATCAACTGTTCTCGTCACGATATTGCTGCAATATTGCCGATGTGACGTTAAATTATAACTCACTCACTCACGTTGTTATTTATTTGATGGGCCATTTCTATTTCATTAAGAGGTAACAGGTAGGGGACTAGCGGTGCACTCAACCAGATGGTTTGTTGTTTTAACCTGTCTGACTATTGGGATGTCTGACAAATGGGGGATACCCTTATACCATATGACTAGACGGGTGCCACCGGTGAGGCAGGATACGCTAACCTTTACTCGAACACCTGGTATCATGACTATTTCAAAGTGGTTCATAAACACATGCTCTGTCATCATATCGCATGGTGACAATCACTAGATTTTCTGGTTCAGATCCTATTTGTTTACAAACATCATACAGCTGTAATACTGTGAAACAAAATATGCTCATGATCATGATATAGTCACAACTGTACAATCGACTCTGCTTTTGGCAGAGATTTCTTATGAATATGGAAAGGGTTTTGTCGCTTCTATTTTGACGATGTGCCAAGTGTATGACAATGTTTCTGTTGACTTTCAGTGGGTGTTCTATATTTGCACAGTGTTATGGAAGGTACTACAGGGTACTACAGCTCTAAGGCCCACTACTTACTGACTCAGGGAGTTGGAGAATCTTCTGGAGTCTCTTATAAGGAGAGGTAACTCTCACCTCACATTACATTTCAAGTATAGACCGATCCAGTCTGCGCATACGTCCATTGAACTAATCAGAAAGCTGTTTGCGCTTTGTGGATTTGTCAAGCTTACTTCCGTTTTCAAACGATGCCTCAGAAGTGATGTGCGTACGAATTATACCATTATCACTCGCGATATCCAGTACTTATTGTTAGGATTTGTTGTGTACCATAACAAAACCCGTACGGTCGGGACAAAAGATCTTAGGCGGACTTAGATGTGCGGTGGCCTCACGATCAGTCATAATTAACTATGAGGACATTTTTGTTTGGAATTTTTGTCACAACATACGATATTCACTTGAATGGGCATCATGGCCCGGTATACGTTTTAGTGAAATATCTCAATTGTTAAAAAATTGTCATTTTAGTTAATTTACTGGAAATGATCATAGCAAGAGTTTTTAAGAGCAGGTGACCTTAAGTAAACGTGGAAAGGTGATAAAATAATTTATAATCTAATCAAGTTACTGATAAATATTTCCATCAATTATTTAATTGATGATTGATAGATAAGTATGATTTAAATGCATAACTAGGCAAACAAACACTAAGTATATCGTGGTATAACACGTTATTAATGTTATTAATTGTTATTAATTTAGTTTGTTTGCTCTTGCTTTGAGACACCTTTCTTGTGAAATAATATATCCATCTAAAAATAATGCTGAAACTGATTCCCAGTATCAAAACTCATAAACGTTATTTGTTTGTGAGTTAAAATTTTACATCTCACAGGCAATATTACAGCCATAAAGCGATGAAAACAAGGTAAGCAATTTAAAATATCTGTCGACAAAGGACAGTAAAACCAACTAGACTATCACAGTTATATATTTGAAACTAAAAAACCTTAACTATAGAGGACGATACAACATAAAAACAGGCTATAGATCGCCAACAACTGAAGGTAGATCACCATACTAGGGACCACGGTGACTTACAGTACCTTTGCACCATTCCTTCAGCCGCTGGCAATTGTAGGAAAATTTAGCCAAACTTTAAAAAAACAAAAATACTACGTTTAATAATCGGTTAAGTTTAAATTTAGCTTTGAAAGTTTTGGGACTTACGTATCATAAATGTAATTAACTTCCAGAGATGTATAAACAAACGCTACGTGTGTGTCATACAATGAACATAATAAACTACATAATATTCAGCTGGTTTTTTAATGAAACTGGGATGAATCATGTTATATATTTAACCAAAATTTAAAGTAATCCTTCTGAGAAATCATCAGTCGGATTTGCAGAAGGTTGCCAATATTTGATGACCGAGTAAAGGTAGAATTTCGCAAAATATTCATTTTGGACAAATTGTTCAAGATTTGGTGATGATTATTCGGAAACTGAGCTTCATAATTACTTGCACAGTGGTTGCAGGAGGTACAAGCTTCGGGACATTTCCATGTGTGTTTCTGCAACTTTTGATATGACTTCACCATATTCTTCAACAAATTTGACATATTTTGGACAACAGTCAGTACAGCTCCAGCCTTTGGTGTTTGGTGTGACTGGCACCCAATAATAACACCAATGGGTATAAAGCCTGGACGGTTGGAGTGTAATGGTTCATTGGTTGGTTTGTTGCTTAACACCTCACTCAGCAAAATTCCAGCTATATGACGGTGGTGGTTTGCAAATAATCGAGTCTGGACCAGACAATTCAGAGATCAACAGCATGAGCATCGATCTGCACAATTGGGAACCGATGACATGTGTCAACCAAGTCTGCGAGCCTGACCACCCGATCCCGTTAGTTGCCTCTTACGACAAGCATGGGTTGCTGAAGACCAATTCAACCCGGATCTTCACAGGGGAGACAAGCATGGGATGCTAGAGACCAATTCTAACCTGGATCTTCACAGGTTGTAAACTACGAAATCAACGGGATGATCCAGAATTATCTACTCTGTCTGTTATTCACTTGTCTGGTGGGTCACTGATTTGACAAGTGTGTGTCCATCATTTAATTATCATCATGTTGAAACAAGTTAAATACTTCATGAAAACTGGTGCTGTGATCTCACACCAGTGCTGGCATAAACAACATTGATATCATTACAAGTTTTACAAGATCAAATTCTTCACGGGTTGTCATTGTTAGACACCTCACAATCAGGGCTACCTATTTGTCTGTGTAGGTACTACCCTTTCACTGATGACACCCCCTACATCAAAGACAGAACATTTCAATATAGTTGAAGCAGGTTTATTTGTCGTTTCGTTCACATATTATATTACATAGGTATTCATTTTCAGCTACCGTATGTCCTCAAAGTCACAACGGTCTTAATGTACAAAAATACATTTTCAAAATAATATATTGAATCACAATTTCACCAAAAACAGAATATCTTTTTTTAAATGTTACATTGCAAACCAAAATAAGACTATTTTACAATATAACTGTACCAATAAATTTCTGTAAAAATGAAAGTTTCTGTCATTGCTATGTGGGGTGGGATTTGCGGTGTACAGTGAACGCCACTGGTTTATATTAACAGTAATCTCAATGCAAAACACTACAGGTATATAATCCTATGTGTTATCATGCTTCCATATATTTCCCAACAACCACAGTGTTCCAACATGACCTGCTGAATTCTCCATCATAAGGGATAAATATTTCAATGTAAAAACAATGAAGGATCTTTTTACAAATGTTAATTATCATTTAATTATTGTTTTTTTTAAAGAAATTGATTTGTTTGATGAATTCTGATTAATGTGTTTTGTAAATAGACATATTTTAAAGATTGGTAATTTAGATTAGTAACTTAGATTGTTAGTGGCTGTACCCTCAAAGGGGGTTAAAGTACTGTAAACTTATTGTCCTCCTGAGAGGGTACGTAAGTCCCAAAACTTTCAAAGTAAAATGTAAATTTAACATACTTTAAACGTAGTCTTTTAACTGCCGGCTAAATATTCCTACAATCGCCAGCGGCTGAAGGGATGGTGTAAATCCAGCTAGGGTCCATGCAGGTAGCAAAAGTAATGTAAGTCCCCATGGTTCCTAGTATGGTGATCTACCTTCAGTTGCTGGCGATCTATAGCCGTGTTTTATACTGTACTGTCCTCTTTAATTGAAATGTTTTAGCTTTGCTTCCTAGTTTTATTCATATCTGTGATTCTCTAGTATTTTTACTGTCCATCGTCGACAGGTTTTAATCTTCAAAACGTTTTCTCTTTATATTGTATAAATTGTATTTTTTTACGATATGGCTGAGATATTGCCGATGTGACGTTAAATATTAACTCACTCACTCACTCCAACATGACCAGAACCAACACTGTCAATGTGGTAGTGTACTTTCTCCCAACCAACAACATTCATATGTTACGGTGGCTGGCCTGCTCACCAGATGTATTTGGCCACAGCATCCAGACAAAAACTCATTCAAATGTTTTATGATGAATAGTGACACATCCCACGTGACGTCATCAGGCAACTGACGAATTAGGTGCAAATGAGCATGTTTGAATGCATTCAAGACAGTGGAGTTCACTCGCTTTATGCTATTTTCCCACAACGGCCATGAGCTGAACAGTTTGTACACCACGCTCGAATTAACAATTGTAATGAAGACCTGTCTTGCACAAGACTCCACTCCCATTCCCTGGTCCCCACCAAGATAAAACCCAACTATGATCAAACATGACATAAATACTGTCCATATGTCCATGATTTGATAATATTCTTAAAACTGTGGGTCACATTACATAAACAATTGTCATTAGACTTTTGAGGCGACTTTAAGTATTCATTGTACACCAACATAAATCACTGACTCATCCAGATGGAGTTGCTATACAGGACTAGTCTGTCAAAATTGTTTATTTTAATCGCATAAATATACATATAACAATAAGTGGTACATACAAAGTGTTATCAAATGGATGGAATGTGTAATCAGCAGTAAAATTATTAAATATAACAACTAAAATAATTTAAACATCATTTCACAACAAAAATTATTATATTTATATAAAAATATACAAGAACACTTGAATTATCATGATCAGGTCCAATATCTGGCATCAATTAAAACTGCTAACTAGCGTGACCACTGCTAATGTGCAAACTCACAACTAAAATTGGAATATATTTTCACTAACGATGAATATATGATTAATTCTTGTGGCTCCTAAATGACTGAGTTTGGGGCTTGTATCCAAGCAACACCAACTTACAGTAACTCAGGAAGATGGCATACATATAACATGCATTGACTAGAATCGACTGAAAATGAAGTTGCCAACACTTATGGCAGCAATGAATACTATTTGTGAGACAACATATCACCTTGCAGACAGTCTCATTACACCCTCACTGTTACCCATATCACAATATGTGTTCTACGGAAATGCTGTTGAAAATAATTTTGCCAGATTCTGATAAAATATGGCCAAATTAAAACAACCAGACCATCTATCTTGGGAACTTTTAAAATTACCATCTCAGAGGAATATCAATTGTAAGTTTTCAACATATATATTTGTCAAAACATCAAACAATCATCATGTTCATTTTGTAAATGGCCCTAAGTCTAATAAAACAATGGCTTTGACATAATTAGAACAGTTTGTACTTGTACAGGTGTTATTGCACTCATTGATAATTATTGAAAGAAATGTTTGGATTTGAACTATTAATAGAAGTAAAGCTCTCATCAGCAAATTGATTGGGAAGAATTAATTTTGTTCATTGGCTGACTTTTCATATCTGATGAGTTAAATTCCCCACTTGAGCAGAACTGGCAAGAATTCTGTATCAGACCGATGGGACGTGTAACCACATCAATCATTTTCTACATCCACTGGGCAGATTTCACTACAACTGAAACTTGATTGTTGGCTTTGGACTTCATCTGATTAATCAGTGCCCAAATGTTATCTAAAATCTGATTGGTCAGTAGAAACTTCAGCAGTAGTTTGACTTGACAGTAAAATAACTCGCCACAATCTGAGTGAATAGTTCAAACATACGCTGTAATCTGATTGGTCAGTCCAAACTTAAGCAGTACTATGACTACACATATAAAACATAGTCCACAAACTGACACAACAGTTCAAACATTGGCTGTAATCTGATTGGTCAGTAGATTCTTCAGCAGTAGTATGACTGGACAGTTTGAACATTGGTCACAATCTGACACAACAGTTTAAACATTAGCTGTAATCTGATTGGCCAGTAGAATCTTCAGCAGTAATATGACTGGACAGTTCAAACATTGGTGACAATCTGACACATTAGCTGTAATCTGATTGGCCAGTAGAATCTTCAGCAGTAGTATGACTGGCCAGTTCAAACAATTTTCACAATCTGAGAGAATAGTTCAAACATTAGCTGTAATCTGTTTGGTCAGCTGAAACTTCAGCATTCATCTGATTGGTCAGATTACAAGTTGCAAGTGCCCTCATTGACTTCCTGGTATCTCAGTGTAGTGGGTGTGGTCCGCTTCTTGATGTTCTGCCGCAGCTTCTGTTGGCGGAGCTTCTCCTGCTGCTGCTTGTGCAGTTCCCGCAGTCCCTTCAGCTCCTCCTTCTCCTTCTCCTGCAACATCAACAACATCAATAGTGAGGGAGTAGATCAGCTGGATCAGTTAAACCTGGGTTCAGACTTCTAAATACCCGCCTGCCCAACCACCCGGGACAGGATGGGTTATTTTCAACACAGACTGCAGGATTCTCAGATTCACCTGCCCGACAGTCGCATTAAAATTTAGAAATGTATATGAAGATATTTTGTGGGCAGGTAAGTTTTGGTCAGGGCTGACAAGTTTTACATCTAACCTGCCCTATGGTCTGGTTGAAATTTTTGGGAGTTTCATACCCTGCTGGGAGTCCAACATATTACGAAGGTCATAGATTCATACAACCCGTCATACGATACAGTGATCTAACATCACAATGACAAGAGCAATCACTCTCCTACCCAGAGTTCCATGTGGCAAGCCAGCATAGTATCTCTGCCACAGGCCAGAAAAATGTGACGATTCGTCACATCTTGCAATGTCCATTCAATATAATGTACAGATTTCTTTCACTCTTTTAATTTTGACGAGTCTACACATCTAACTAAACATCTTTAATAGAATGGTTTAGTTTCACTGAGAAAATATCCAAAACATGTAACGCTATTTCGATTTATGTAGCGATCCTTTGTTTACATAGGTTGTGCGGCTCCACGTTGCTGTCATCAAAGCCGATGGAGAGCAAACGATGCAGCCAGTTTGATATCTAAATATGTACTGTCATAGACCTAACTGTCGCAGTTGTGGAAGAATATATATGTAACAATGTAAAACATTATGAAGAGAGCTGAAAAAAAGCATTGAGTCCAGTCTCTTCTTATTCTGAATATGCGTTTGATTACAAACAAGAGAAAAGTCTGGTCACGTGATATGCAAATTAGCCTGTGGCAGTGATGTTATGTTAAGGTCATCAGCTGTGCCGGAGTGTGAAGAGTAATATAAAATAAATAATGAAGCTTCTGGGCATAGAGCATGATTTCAATACATTATATTTCATTCAAGTTGGGTCTTGGTGCTGATTAGTAGTTCATCCTTACCGTCTGGTGCCACCTGATGACCAGAGCCCTGCGCCCATCAGCCATTGGCTGGGAGTACTTGATCTGCTGTTGTCGTCTCTCGTCTGTTGTCACGCTCTGCTCCACCACCAGGACAATCTTGGCCCACTGCAGCAGATGTAGAGTGTTCTCTCAATATCTTTATATGTCTCTCAGTCATCATCATTCAAACAAGCACAATCATCATCACAACTCAGTCAAAAGCACAATCATTATCACTCAATCACAATCATCATCACTCAATCTCAAACAGAATCATCATCACTCAATATCAAACACAATCACCATCACTCAATCTCAAACACAATCACCATCACTCAATCTCAAACACAATCATCATCACTCAATCTCAAACACAATCATCGTCACTCAATCTCAATCACAATCATCATCACTCAATCTCAAACATAATCACCATCACTCAATCTCAAACACAATCACCATCACTCAATCTCAAACACAATCATCATCACTCAATCTCAAACACAATCACCATCACTCAATCTCAAACACAATCATCATCACTCAATCTCAAACACAATCATCGTCACTCAATCTCAATCACAATCATCATCACTCAATCTCAAACATAATCACCATCACTCAATCTCAATCACAATCATCATCACTCAATCTCAAACATAATCACCATCACTCAATCTCAAACACAATCATCATCACTCAATCTCAAACACAATCATTATCACTCAATCTCAATCACAATCATCATCACTCAATCTCAAACACAATCACCATCACTCAATCTCAAACACAATCATCATCACTCAACTCAATCTCAAACACAATCACCATCACTCAATCTCAAACACAATCATCATCACTCAATCTCAATCACAATCATCATCACTCAATCTCAAACACAATCACCATCACTCAATCTCAAACACAATCACCATCACTCAATGTCAAACACAATCACCATCACTCAATCTCAAACACAATCATCATCACTCAATCTCAAACACAATCATCATCACTCACTCAATCACAAGCAATCACCATTACACAATCATATGCACAATCATCAATCACAAACACAATCATCACACAATCACATGCACAATCTTAATCACTCAATCATGAACACAATCATCATCACTCAATCACAAGCACAATCATCATCACTTAATCAAATGCACAAACATTATCACTCAATCACAATCATCGTCACTCAATCACAAGTAATCACCATCACTCAATCACATGCACAATCATCATCACACAATCACGAACACAATCATCATCACTCAATCACTATCATAATCATTATTATTCAATTACTATCATAATCATAACACTCAGACAATCACAAAATTCACACAATCATATCTCACTCTTTACACAATCACCATCATAATCACACACCTGTAAACAATCACCCTGTGTCCCTCTCAATCATACCAGAAACAAATGATTAGCGCTTCAAATTCCAGATTCGCAAATTTCTATGTCTGTCAGCAGCCATAATGCTTCTGAAGTTCACCAAAGCAGTGGACTTCATCATTTTGGATCTTCATCCCACATCAAGCTGGCATGCCATGAAATAACTGAAATACTGCGCAAACCCATCTCAATCTCAGAGTCTCATCCCAATGTTTGTCCCATCTTTACCTGTCTGAACCACTCCTTCTGAGTCTCACTGATGACCTGGTACGTGTTGCCCATCATGGCGATCAGCATGTTCACCAGCAGCAGTGTCACCATGATCATGTAGGCCATGAACAGAATCTGTGGACATAGAACTCTCTCAGTACCTGACACATGGTACACCACCATGACATTAACAGCATGTGGCACATTATCAATACATGGTCCACCCTGGCATTATCAACACATGGCACACTGTGGTGGCATTATCAACACATTGTACACCCTTGCATTATCAACACATGGCACACCATCGTGGCACATTATTAACACATGGTACACCATTGTGGCACATTATCAACACATGGTACAACATTGTGGCACATTATCAACACATGGTACAACATTGTGGCACATTATCAACACATGGCACACCATTGTGGCACATTATCAACACATGGTACAACATTGTGGCACATTATCAACACATGGCACACCATTGTAGCACATTATCAACACAGTACAACATTGTGGCACATTAATCAACATATGGTGCATCATGGTGGCACATTATCAACACATGGCACATCATGCTGGTACTATCAACACATGGTACACCATGGCGGCACACTATCAGCACATGGCACAACATTGTGGCACATTATCAACACATGGCACACTAGTTTGGCACATTATCAACACATGGCACACCATTGTGGCACATTATCAACACATGATACACCATTGTGGCACATTATCAACACATGATACACCATTGTGGCACATTATCAACATATGGTACATCATGGTGGCACATTATCAACACATGGCACATCATTGTAGCACATTATCAACACAGTACAACATATGGCACACATGGATGTCACATTATCAGCACATGGCACACTATGGTGGCACACTATCAGCACATGGCACACTATGGTGGCACACTATCAACACATGACACACTATGGTGGCACACTATCAGCACATGGCACACCATGTTGGCACACTATCAGCACATGGCACACCATCGTGGCACATGATCAACACATGGCACACCATGGTGGCACATGATCAACACAGTACATGATGGCACACCAGGGTGGCACATTATCAACACATGGCACACCATGGTGGCACATTATCAACACATGGCACACCATTGTGCACATGATCAACACACAGTACATGATGGCACACCCTGCTGAAGGTAGTACAACATGTTTTTTCCCCAATACAACTGACTTTGGCCTGACATCTCAATTTGTTTCAGATATTTACTATCATAAATGAAACATATAGACAAATTAAAACCATTATTCATACAACCTATGACATACTTTGTAACAATGTTCTACCTAAGAACAACACTGGGTCAGGAATAGCTAGGACCCTCATTTCTGAGGGGTAAGGCGTGCATGGTATGCCATGGTAGGGCGCAAAAAGCAGGGGAAATAATCAAATAGTGTTTCCCTGGCTACTTGTCTACACTTTCCAAGTAAAGAGGTGCAACTGAAATGCCTGTTTAGGGTTTATCTTTCTAAGCTGGTATGGCACCTGGAACTTTTTTTTATTAATCAAAGAGTTTGAAAAACAGGGAAATAAAACTTCACATGTCTCTGTTCACTAAGCATACTTCAAAGCTGATTGGCATGGTCCCTAGTATGGTGATCTACCTTCAGTTGTTGGCAATCTATAGCCTGTTTTTATATTGTATCGTCTTGTATAGTTCAAATGTTTTAGATTTAGGTACCAGTTTTATATTTATATCTGTGATAATCTAGTTGTTTTACTGTTTGTTAATATATTTATAACTTGATTTAGACACAATATGGCTGAAATATTGCCGATGTGACTTAAAATCTTAACTCACTCACTCCCTCACTCACTCAAAGCTGATTAGTAAATATAAGCAATATGATGCTACTTTAAAGTTTCAAAAAATATAATGCAGATGTATTTGATTCTCCGTAACTCAATAAATAACAGTACTTTGGAATCAGGAATCTGTGACTGGCAAGTAGTTTAGTCTTTCCTCCTAAGCCAACATGCAATGATATAACTTGGAGAATGTTCAAATTAGCGTTAACCCTCACTCACTCTGTGACTGACAAACAACAATGGATATCTTCATCTTATTGATTACTTCTACCGACAGAGGTAATGAATGGTAGAACCTTTCTTTGCCAGTCACTATCCCCAGCACTTCCCAACCACCGACTTTACTGGCCATTTCTTTAAATGGAGTATGGAGTTTAACTTCAAAGTCTTCATACAAGTCTTGAAGTCACGACCCGACATGGCCGAACATACCAAAGATAGCTCCTAAAGGCTCCGCCAAACACACTGGACTTGTTGCGGAAGGGACATAAATAGCTGGAACAAGATGTCAGAACTTGCACCAACCAAACCAAAACGAAAATGAGATGGGTTAGTGGACTTAGGACAAGCACCTGTTCTATTACTTAGTCTACAGTCCACTAAAAAATTATAAAAATAATTTATTTTTCATGTAGTTTTTAGAATATTGTTGAATGGGTGAATTGTAATGGTGCATGATTATTGAAGAGTTACTTCCCTTATCCCAAAAATTGTCTTTCGTGTTTTTAATTGATCATTTCAATTTGATAGCTGACAATGAGAGAAGGAAAAAGTTATTTAGGTGTTTTTTTAAAATGGTGGATCTGCAAACATAGTAATACAAAAAAATGCTTTAATTGGGTTTGAAATACCTCTTGCAATTTGACATCAACTTTGCTTTATAATAAGGTTAAACACAGATTACACAAAACATGTTCTTAAGGACACCTTTCAAATTTATTTTTCTAGTATTTTACTTTAATTGAAAAATGATAAATTGTCATTTCACGTGTGAATTTTGAAATGATTTGAAATGTTCTTTTTCCATTAGACAATTCAATATTGTGTCAAACTGAGTTGGTAGATCCTGATTTAACATCACAACATTACAGCAGTATGAACTCAATACTATTGGTGTAAGAATGACTGCCATATAAGGAGAGGTGTACACACAAAGTACAACTACCCATAAATCAAAACAAGTCTCCCTCATTTTTATTAAATCAAAAATAAGATCATCAAGAAAGCATGGGTAGCATATCATATTTACACCAACAGTAAAAATGCATGGGTATGTGCGATAAAATGAAAAGCTAATGTGGAACTGGATATCAGCTGTGCAGGGGAGGCAGTGCAGTGAAGGAGCAGCCTGAAAATAATGCATGGTTTTCATTTAGATGATTATGTCCATATATATGATATGAAGTTCCTCGCAGATTTATTTTCCTGTGTGAACTAAAAAGGGTTCTCTCCCCTGCTATTATTAGAAGCATACATAAAATGCTTGTGATTTTCTTCCATGTCCTTCATCATTAACCTGAATTACCAGAGATGGTTGTTGTCAGGAAAACATTATATTTTTATCATTAATTACCATACTTAAACTTTCCACAGTATGCCTGTGTTATTTTACATCAGTTTGTGAACTTTTTTCTTTCACAAATTTTTAAAGCCTCACTATTTTAAAGCAAACTGTTTGCATTATAAATAGCAAAAACAGATTTTAGAATACTGTGGTGGCCATTTTGAAAATCCAGTTCAAGTCTCTTTGACAAGTTTGGTGTCATCATTAGTGGGAACAATCATAAGAAACATTCAGTTTCAGCTTTATTAGATTCCTGATGGCTTTTGAGAAGATATGCTTGTGCCACACCATGCACAAGGGATGACTTTACCAGAAGTCTTTCAATCAGGTGAGTAGTTCTTATACAATTGTAATCATAAAGACTTAAGGCTGACACAAATTCTACAGATGACAACATGTTTTCTATGCTTAATCCATTTGAGTAATGAGCAAGAAGTAAGAAGGTTAAATAAAAAATATAGATCTTAATGATTAATTTCCCAGCTCAACCTGTTAAACTGTCACAGGTAGGACACCACCTTCTCAAATACTGATTAACTGGTAAACTGTTCCCTTTTGTAAACAATCTGTAAATGTGCAAAATGGTAAGGTAAAATTCATGTTAAGGGTTTAATATGTTAATTTCTCCATCTTAACTGATGACTTTTTTTAAGCGACCATCGGAAACATGCTGCAACAGTGCCAACGTGGGGCAGGGATGGAGAATTCGCCACAACACAGAGTGCAGTGCAGGGAGGGGTGCCTACTTTGCCCATGATGGGGTACTGAGTCTCTACGAAGGAGTCATAGATATCTCCAAACTGGCCCAGGGACATGACAAACATGCCCATTATAGCGCCCCCGGCATCAGCGAACACTGTAGCAGTCACGCCGCGGAACACTATGAACATTGCTGGAAAAAAGGTGGTATAATAGGTTAATACAGATCTAGTACTGATATGGAAATGTGTTTGAAGAAAGCTTGGGAAAATAGCATAGTTTGTGTCTGACGATTACTGACGCTTCAGAAAAGTGTTGTGAATGGTATAAATATATGTGAAAGTAAAGATCCGTGCAATGGTGGATGTTGAGGCAACAACCATACACTTTACCATGAGATGATGTCTCAATTGTAAGGTGGTGATATGACGGATCTCTGTTGTAAGTTGGCGATATGACACGTATTTCAATAGTAAAGTGGTGATATGACAAGTATCTCAAATACAAAGCCATGATATGATATGATATGTATCTCAACAGTAAGTTGGCGATATGACACGTATTTCAATAGTAAAGTGGTGATATGACAAGTATCTCAAATACAAAGCCATGATATGATATGATATGTATCTCAACAGTAAGTTTGCGATATGACACGTATTTCAATAGTAAAGTGGTGATATGACAAGTATTTCAAATACAAAGCCATGATATGATATGTATCTCAAGAGTAACGTGGTGATATGACAGATATTTCAACAGTAAGGTGGTAATATGATACATTCATCAATAGAAAGTGGCGATGATATATGTATCTCAAAGGCAAGGAGGTGATATGAAGCCTTTCTAATCAGAGAGATCATGTTGTGATACGTATCTTTGTCCTTCGAGGTGATATGATATTCGGAGGGCTATGAGAGGACTACAGACCAGCGTCAGTGGAAGTGTAGATCAGTTATCTGAGATGTTCTGAGAGAACTACAGCTAGGACCTATAGTTAGTTTTCTGTTAGCAGCTGTGAGAGGATGAGGTGGCCTACCTTGAGAGAAGCCGATGACAAAGACAGCGTAAATGATGAAAAACCTGAGCAGGTCCCCCTTGATCATCTTGTAGATCATCACCACAAACGGACCAACAATCCGGAAACCTCTAAAACGTTGAAACGAGATGTCATTACATGGGGTCATGGTGTTACACTGTTACTTGGGCTGGCAATATATTTAGTTGGTTGGTTTGTTGTTTAACGCCACACTCAGCAATATTCCAGCTATAAGTCTGTAAATAATCAAGTCTGGACCAGACAAGGCTATCGATACAGATCACAGAGATCGACAATTATGAACTAAATATCGATCGATTATCAATAAATATCAGAGCCGTAACTTTGAGCAGAAATGTCTGAAAGAAATCAATATATTTCATATCACTGGTGAGTGGTGACATGACATGGATTATTAACAAAACAGCGTCTTGAACAGAGTGAGTGAGTAATTATGTTTTTATGCGCTTGTTTTAGCAATATTCCAGCTATCATGGTGGGGGACACCAGAAATATGCTTCACACATTGTACCCATGTGGGGAATCGAACCCGGGCCTTGGGCGTGATGAGCAAACGTTTAAACCACTAGGCTACCCCACCGCCAACATAATTTAGAAGCAGACAATGAATGAAGTCTTAAATTTGTATTTTGTATGAGAAAATTAAAGCTATATTTTAGCAGAAAATTTAAAGTACGATATTATTGATAACACAATTTTAATATCGATAAGCATTGATCATTTTTCTTATTGATGATATTTCCGATTATCGATTAACAGCCCAACTGTTACATCACAATCACAGTTACCCTCTGAAATGAGCGATGTGATGTCACTGTTACAGGAACATTCTTATATGGGAATATATTGCTAAAAGCGGCGTAAAACCCAACTCACTCACTCACACACTTACATGGTAATGATGAATGGCAATGAAACAGATATGAAATACACAATGCCATATAGAAAGTGGTCAAATGTAACATCTGTTATATTTGGGATTACACCCTTTTTGTAAAGTACAGATTCTAAGTCAGATTCAAACCCAGTCACCCCTCAGAGTCAGGCACTCTGAATCACCAACACACAAAGTCAGACGAATTTGAACCACTCAGCCTAGAAAGTGGAATCTGTAACTTATAACAAATGATACAGGTAGTCATTTCGTAAGAATTTGTATTCTCGATGGTATCTTCAAAGCATATCCTTCAGTCTAGGAAAATGGTATAGCAGACATAACCAGCCGAGACAAACACGCCAGGTACCTGCAGAAGAACAGCGAGTACGGTGCAGTGCAGAGGATTGCGAGGACGCCCATGATGTCCTCATACTCATGGGAACAGAACGCTCGGCCCGGCAACATCATCACCACAAAGATGCAGGAGCACAGGAACAACGCCTTGGCTGGTGCACCACGCTGGAAGGTGAATCATCACTGCTTTGGATATTCGTTCATTCTGTTGTAACTTATATTATATGTAATTGTTAAAAATATTTCTAATTAAAGTTTTAGTTTCTCTATGTAATGAGACTTATCATGATATTCATCGGATTAATCACGTTTTTCCTCTTTCACCCACTAACTCATGCAAATAATAATCCAAATACCCAAAGACCAACACATCCATTCACATGCCCAGCCATCCACTCACTCACTCAAATGCCCTCCCATCCACTCACTCACTCAAATGCGCCCATCCACTCACTCACTCAAATGCCACCATCCTCTCACTCACTCAAATGCCCTCCCATCCTCTCACTCACTCAAATGCCCTCCCATCCACTCACTCACTCAAATGCCCTCCCATCCACTCACTCACCACTCAAATGCCCCCCCCATCCACTCACTCACTCAAATGCCCCCTCCCATCCACTCACTCACTCAAATGCCCTCCCATCCACTCACTCACTCACCAAATGCCCCCCATCCACTCACTCACTCAAATGCCCTCCCATCCACTCACTCCTCAAATGCCCTCCCATCCACTCACTCACTCAAATGCCCTCCCATCCACTCACTCACTCCAAATCCACCCCATCACTCCACTCATCAAATCCCACTCCATCCTTCCACCACTCCACTCAAATGCCCAGCCATCCACTCACTCACTCAAATGCCCTCCCATCCACTCACTCACTCCAAATGCCCTCCCATCCACTCACATTCACTCAAATGCCCCCCATCCACTCACTCACTCAAATGCCTCCCATCCACTCACTCCCACCATGCCCTCCCATCCACTCACTCACTCAAATGCCCTCCCATCCATCACTCACTCACTCACTCAAATGCCCCCATCCACTCACTCACTCACTCAAATGCCCTCCCATCCACTCACTCACTCAAATGCCCTCCCATCCACTCATTCACTCAAATGCCCTCCCATCCACTCACTCACTCACTCAAATGCCCTCCCATCCACTCACTCACTCACTCAAATGCCCTCCCATAAATTCCTTCACTCATTCAATCACAAATCCAAATATCTAAAGACACAAACATCAACTGAATCATTCATCCAAACACCCCTCCATCCACTTACTCACTCACTCACCAGCGTTGTGAAGAAGATACGGAACCCCTGGTGGTAAATCTCCTTCATTGCCAAGAATACGTAGACCATGGCGCCAACCAACACCATGGACTCCAAGACAAGCCGCACCTGCACAGACAAACAGCTCAGTTGTTGTCCAATAGCAGTTTCAGCATTATCCCCTGACCAGGGAGTCTATCTGGGTTTTTATTCCATGAATGACTAGTGTTTATTTTGTGAGTCTTTAACTGTAATGCATCTAACTCACAACAGGAAAATTCATCAGTTGGTGATTTTTCCCACCTCATACAGAATTAAGTTTCTCCAAAGCTGGTCAGAATATAGACAACAGAGTTTTGTAATCATCGGAGGGACACACAACCATAAACATAGACAAAGTGTGATGTCTGATGTCACTGATAAAAATAAAGACAAAGGCCTCCTTCACATTCATTCACATTCATTGTCTCTGTCTTTACATCGCATTATCGTATCCACATTGGTAGATTTTCATGATTGATCACTATACTCGATTATTTAATGCGTGGATATGAGGACTGATTGATGACTGAATTTTATTGCATCATTACAGAAACACACATTGTGCCCATGTTGATTCGAAACAAAGACTTTAACCATACAATGAGGAATTGATAACAGTTTTACACCAATGAAAACAAAGACATACATAAATATTGAGAAACATACACCTGCAGGTATATGCCAATCTTATCACTTTGTACTGGATGTGTAATTGTATAATGATTGCTACATTCAAACCAAAATTGATCATTTATACTATTTTGTCATTAGTAAAGGTGCCAACTCCTCAAGTGCCATCATATCTTTAAGAGGGTAGCCTAGTGGTTAAAGTGTTTGCTCTTCACTCAGGTTTGATTCCCCACATGAGTACAATGTGTGAAGCCCATTTCTGGTATCTCCTGCAGTGATATTGCTAGAATATTGCTAAAAGAGACGCAAAACCACTGAATCACTTCTCCTACCACTCACACAATCCTTATTGCTACTGAACACAAATCATAAAAGCATTCAGAAAAGAGTTCAAATTAAAGCTTTACAGAAAAAATACATTGGGTATAAAGGAAATTACAACATTATAATGTATTGAACTTATCAACATACATGATTTTATTTGTGTTCTGTGTACCATACTACTGGTTTACAAATACTCTGAAACTCTCCAAATAGATTACAATCCTGTATACAAAAGGGAATGGTCTCTCATTAGTTGTAACTACAAGAGTATAAATTGCCCTGGAATATCCAGTACATGTAATTAGTTGTCATCTCAATAGTTTATTGACTCACTATGTCATTGGTCCTGTAGGGTTGTAGAAGGTAGCATGGGTTCATGGTCCTGTTCTCGCTACTCGGGTTACAACCGTGAAGTGTCGTCGTGGAGTTGGCGTAGGCACACAGATCCTTGCCAGGTCGGAGGGCAAAGGCCACAACAAAGGTCAGGAAATAAAGACCAAAGCAGAGGAATCGTCTATAGAATCTGTAAAATGTCACAGTAAAACATGTTGTTGCATAGTATTTTCAAACCTTATAAAAATACATCTGACTATTGAAATATAGTACACACCAGACTCGATCATTCACAGACAGACACCGTACAGCTGGAATATGGCTGACTGCGGCGTTATACAACAAACCAACCAACTGAAATGTCTACTATAGTCCACATCTTACAGTCCCTGAACCATGCTATTTTCCCTTCCGCCCAGCCCTTTCTGCAATGTTAAAGCCCTGGATAAAGCAAGTCTAGATTTCCTCAGGTTCTGAATCTCCCATCTCACTGGGGCTCCTTTTCAATTTAATAGGAATTATTTGTTTTTCTCAAAGTTAGATATATACTAAGTGTTAGTCCTTTTAGATAGCCACTGTCATTGTAAAACCTGCAGCGTGTGATTTTTGTGCTATGACGATCATAATTCTAACACTCGAGTTAGTGAGTGAGTGAGTGAGTGAGAGAGAGTGAGTGAGTGAGTGAGTTGGGATATACGATGCTTTAAGCAACATTCCAGCAATATCACGGCGGGGGACACCAGAAATGGGCTTCATGCTTTGTGCCCATGTGGGGAATCAAACCTGGGTCTTCGGCGTGACGAGCGAACACTTTAAGCTCTAGGCTACCCCACCGCCGCCTTGTACTCTTAACAAAGACTTGAGATAGTCTAGTGCTGAGTTCACTTTGTGCAGGTAAATTAAGCGCCAAGTGTGATGTGTGATGTCTCTTTTTCATGACACCAAACATGACTGTACACTGCTGAGTGTCTTTTAATGGCCATGCAAGAGATGTACATGTATTTTGTACCACTTGTTGAGCTGTATGTTTCAGTACTGCCACCTTTTAAGTATTAGTGTTATGTACACCAGCCACTGAAACCAAAACTAACTACAGCGAGACAAACATGTCGAGGGGGTCCAGTCCAGGATACTGAAGAACAGCCTACCTGAATCTGGCAAATGTCTTCCATTTCTCCTTCAGCAGGTTGACCACCAGGCCATCCATCATATCCAAGTGACCCTCCTCCTCCTGAAGGTCAGCAAAGGTCAAGGTCAAAGATCAAACCGAAATGATTTTTTTTGTTGTAAAGCCCTGTATGTCATAGCAACTTAAAGAAAAGTGTTACTGGAAAACTGATGGAAACTTTCTTGCTTTGAAAATGTGTTAATTTGACACAGAGTAACCTGGAAAACAATATTAGGCTGGAGAAAGAGTTACCTGACATGAACTTTACCTGGAAAAAGTGTTACTTGGAGAAAGCAATACCAAAAGAAAGTGCTACCTTGGTAAGACATCACCTTAGGGACCATTCATAATTTATGGCTAGGGGGTGTAATACTGATTTATGGAAAAGCATGTACAATTTGAATTAACACACACACACACACACCCCAAAATTTTTGTAACAAGAAGACAAAGTCATCAATATCCCCCGCAATGGCAAAATACTCTTCATGATTATGTCTACCAGTTATGATTATGTCAAATATTTAGGTGTGTATATAGAAAAGTGGAAGGAGAGTATTGAAAGGTTTTTAAAGTTCTGCTCTAGAAAGGAGCACTATCACCAATTTCAGTCAATGTCCAACTTGTTGCCATGGAAATGCCAAAAATATTTTATTCAGAAATCCAAAACTACCAAAAGGCACAAGTACACCACCAGATCTATGTATGTGCCAAGTTTGGTGAAGAAACATTGAACGGTTTTAGAGTTCTGCTCCGGAAAAGAGCACTACCACTAATTTCAGTCTAAGTCGAACTTGTTGCCATGGAAATGCCAAAACTATTTTATTCAGAATTCCAAAACTACCAAAAGTCACCAGTACACCACCAGACCAACCTATGTACCAAGTTTGGTGAAGAAATATTGAACGGTTTTAGAGTTCTGCTCCGGAAGAGAGCACTACCACTAATTTCATTTTAAGTCGAAATTGTTGCCATGGAAACGCCAAAAATGTTTTATTCAGAATTCCAAAACTACCAAAAGGCACCAGTACTCCACCAGATCTATCTATGTGCCAAGTTTGGTGAAGAAATATTGAACGGTTTTAGAGTTCTGCTCCGGAAAAGACAAATGTGCACGGACGGACGCACGCACGGACGGACGCGACGACGACAGACGACGCGACGCACGGACGACGCACGCATCGGACGGCGAGTCCATTTTAATACCCCCCGCAAAACGCGTTGAGGGGGATAAAAAGTAAGTGATACCCCCTGCATGTCATGCACAAAATCAATGACCCCTCTCCCCTTCCCATAATTTCTTAGCATATTTTGGTACAAAATTGCTGACCCTCCTAATACATGTGTACAAAGTTGATGACCCCCACCCCCACCTCCCCAGAACAAAATGGGTGACTCTCTAAAAATCATCATCACACCCCCTAGCCTTAAATAATTAACGGTCCCTTAGAGATACCTGCACTTTAGGTAATATTTTGAAATAGCTTAACAGCCAAAGCTTCTCACCCCATACACAATGAGATTGAGTGCAGAATCCTTGTTGATCTCCCCTGATGACGAGATGGTGTCAATTTCATCGAGGGGGTACCCAGCACAGGTGACATTCCCAAACAGCCAGAAGACCTCACGTTCAATCTCCAGTATGTGTTCATACATCTGGAACAGTAACAGCAGCCTCTCTAATCAATCAATGTTTGCTTGAAATAAAACACTCCAGCTATACAATGGCTAGGGCTGGCTTTGACTAATGACTGTTCTCTGACTATATATAGTTTTGGTAGAAACAAATAATTCTCATTTAAATTGAAAAGAAGCCAAAGTTAGATGGGTGATTAAGAACCAGAGGAAATCTAGACTTGCTTCATTTAGGGCTCTAGCCTTGCAGGGAGGGCTAGGCGGAAGGGAAAATAATGTTGTCCATGGACTGTGAGACAGACTAGGGCTGGACTGACTGACTGACTGAGTTTGGTTTTACGCAGCTTTTAGCATTATTCCAGCAACATCACGGCGGGGGACACCAGAAATGTGCTGCACACATTGTACCCAACTAGGGCTGGCTGAAGAGATCAATAATCAGAAATATCACTGATGTGAAGAATTCTTATTGATCATTGACATTAACATTGTGTCAATGATAATACCGGTATCTTTTAGAAATTTATGTGATGAAATAAACTGTTCAGTTTCTCACCCAATACAAAATTTTAAGCCTTTTTTCATGGACCACTTGAAAATTATGTTTGGAGTGCTGTTAGGGTTGTAATTTATGCATATTGTGTCTATTAAATTTATATGTCTTACATCCTTCCTGGCCAGCTTGGATGCCAGAGTGAGTGGCGTGAGTCCCTGTCGGTTCTTAATGTCCAGCCGCGCACCAAGACCGTGAAGCAGATCAAACATTTCCTGAAAAGAAACATAGACAACATGGACAATACAGATGATTCTTGGCTGGCTAAAATATCAGTAATCAGAAATATCTAGGATGGGAATCATTATTAATGATTATCGACATGAAAATTGTGCCATCGACAATATCATATATAAACAATTGCGATGACATAGTGTTCTAATTTACTCACAGAAGATAGGTCTTTATTCATGGGCAACTTCCAAATTATGTTGAGGACAGTGTTTAGCTAGTAATCTAAGGTTAAATTTGTGACCAGACACCAGTGATGGGAAATATGTTTATTCTTCTTCGATTTTTTTGCAGTTTTGCTCAAAGTTACCTCTTTTAAATTTATCAATAATCAATTGATATTCTGTTTATGATTATTGATGTCTATGATCTATGTCGATGGCACCCCCAGCTGACCCCAACTGACAATGGTTAAGTTGTTAATTAAGGAAAACAATATTCCAGGTATATGGTGGTTGTCTGTAAATAATTGAGTTTGAATGAAAATACAGTGATCAACAGTATGAGCATCTCGATCTGATATGGGAACCGATGACACGTGTCAACTAAGTCAGCGAGCCTGACCACCCGATCCCGTTAGTCGCCTGTAACGACAAGCATGGCTTGCTGAAGACCAATTCAACCCAGATCTTCACAGGGCAGACAAGCATGGGATGCAGAAGACCAATTCTAACCTGGATCTTCACAGGTTGTAAACCAAGGAATAAACGGGATGATCCAGAGTTATCTACTCTGTCTGTTCTTCACTTGTCTGGTGGGTCACTGATTTGATGAGGGTGTGTCCATCATTTAATTATCATCATTTAGAAACAAGTTAAACACTTCATGAAATCTGGTGCTGTGATCTCACACCAGTACTGGTACAAACAACATTGATATCATTACAAGTTTTACAGACAATTTCCCCATTTGAAATAATATTCAGAGAATAAATGAAATATTCTGTGCTATTCAAAAGAAGAGAGAGAATGATTTTTTCATGATGATAGTTAAAGCTGTCCAAACTTTTCTGGCTTTCCCCATCTCCTGCTCACCATTAATTTTCACTCTACATTAAAACACTACACAGTTTTCTGTACTATGAGAAAATGTGTATCATACAAAAGAAATTTTGTCAAGTCTGCTTTGGGTGAAAATTCAACCCTTTATTCTTAAATACATTCTTAATCTGAAATAAAAAATGCACAACAGTAAAATTAACCCATGCAGTTAGACTGGATGCAAAAAGGCAATGGATAGGTTACCTAGGTGATTGGCAGGTGCCACAGTGACTGACAGGTGACAAAGGGTTGACAGGTGACAAAGTGTTGACAGGTAGCAAAGGGTTGACAGTTAGCAAAGGGTTGACAGGTAGCAAAGGGTTGACAGGTGCCACAGTGACTGACAGGTGACAAAGGGTTGACAGGTAGCAAAGGGTTGACTGACAGGATAGGATTCAGGCAGCAAAGGGTTGACAGGTAGCAAAGTGACAGGAGCAGGTGTCACACAATGATTGACAGATATCAAAGGGTTGACAGGTAGCAAAGGGTTGACAGGTAGCAAAGGGTTGACAGGTAGCAAAGGGTTGACAGGTGCCACAGTGACTGACAGGTGACAAAGGGTTGACAGGTAGCAAAGGGTTGACAGGTAGCAAAGGGTTGACAGGTAGCAAAGGATTGACAGGTAGCAAAGGGTTGACAGGTAGCAAAGGGTTGACAGGTAGCAAAGGATTGACAGGTGCCACAATGACTGACAGATATCAAAGGGTTGACAGGTGCCAAAGTGTTGACAGGTAGCAAAGGGTTGACAGGTAGCAAAGGGTTGACAGGTAGCAAAGGGTTGACAGGTAGCAAAGGGTTGACAGGTGCCACAATGACTGACAGGTGACAAAGGGTTGACAGGTAGCAAAGGGTTGACAGGTAGCAAAGGGTTGACAGGTAGCAAAGGATTGACAGGTAGCAAAGGGTTGACAGGTAGCAAAGGGTTGACAGGTAGCAAAGGATTGACAGGTGCCACAATGACTGACAGATATCAAAGGGTTGACAGGTGACAAAGGGTTGACAGGTAGCAAAGGGTTGACAGGTAGCAAAGGGTTGACAGGTAGCAAAGGGTTGACAGGTAGCAAAGGATTGGCAGGAGGAAAAGGGTTGACAGGTAGCAAAGGATTGACAGGTAGCAAAGGGTTGACAGGTAGCAAAGGGTTGACAGGTAGCAAAGGATTGACAGGTAGCAAAGGATTGACAGGAGGCAAAGGTTGACAGGTAGCAAAGGATTGACAGGAGGCAAAGGGTTGACAGGTAGCAAAGGATTGACAGGTAGCAAAGGGTTGACAGGTAGCAAAGGGTTGACAGGTAGCAAAGGATTGACAGGTAGCAAAGGTTGACAGGTAGCAACTGATTGACAGGTATCAAAGGATTGACAGGTAGCAAAGGGTTGATATGTATATAAGGATTGACAGGAGGCCAAGGGTTGACAGTTGTCAGACGGCATAGTGATCAACATGCATGTCTTACCTATAGAGGACATCTTGGTTAAAGGGTTTAAGAAAGTTGTCATGGCAACAAAGCACAGCAATCTTAAAGATGTACTGTATTGTAAATAGTAAAGCTCTTCTTGTATTATTCTCTGTTAGCAGTGTGATCAGTTTGAAGCAATCAATGAATGGTCTTGTAACTCATATCTAGCTACTCCAGAAGATTATAGTTGTGAACAGCTTTATATATGCAGAGGGACAATAATCCATTAACCATTGGGCGGACAATGTTAGCAACACTAAAGTGAGTGAGTGAGTGAGTTTAGTTTAACGCCGCACTCAGCAATATTCCAGCTGTATGGCGGCAGTTTGTAAATAATCGAGTCTGGACCAGACAATCCAGTGATCGACAGCAAGAGCATCATGTTGTATTGGGAACCGATGACATGTATCAACCAAGCCAGCGAGCCTGACCACCCGATCCCGCCTCTTAGTCATGGGTTACTGAAGATTATGACAAGCTTGGTTTACTGAAGGTTCATTCTAACCTGGACCTTCATGGGTTACTTGGGTAAGCAACACTAAAAGCACATGCATGCCTGTCTACAATAGGGAGGTCAGTATTGGGGTGTGGGGAGGTGGAGATGATATAAGTTGTTCGACACTGAATTAACAACACTCTTTCGAGGTTTAAGATCAAGATATTGAAAGCATCACTAATAAAAGAGAAGTGGTACCGATGCATGAGGGGTGGAATTTTTTCAAAATTCGAAAATATTATTCTGGTAAGAGTGTAGAGTGAGTAGGTCTTACGCTGCTTTTAGCAATATTCAAGCAATATAAACGGGGACACCAGAAATGGGCTTCACACATTGTACCCATGTGGGAAATCAAACCCAGGACTTCAGCATGACGAGCGAACGCTTTAACCACTAGGCTACCCCACCGTCCCCTATTCTGGTAAGAATGATATGCAGAAGACTACTGTAGCCAAGGTCAATAGAATAGTTTTGACAAGTGGTGATTAGAATCAGTTTTCAATCATCACACCACCAGAGAGAACAAGCCAGCTTGTGTTTGTTATTTTCCAACAAGAATACAGAATATTCTAACATACTAGAGACTCCAATCCAAGTTTTGTTAGTACAACACGTGATATTTAGTACTCTAATATTGAAACAGATCACCATATATGGCTCATCGTAAAACTTTGAAACAATACATTTCTGGTATCAAAGAAAACATGAGCAGGCTACACAGATTTTATTACAGGCAATGTAAACTTTTAGTTCTTGTGTGAGTGAGTGAGTTTAGTTTTACGCCGGTTTTAGCAATATTACAGCAATATCATGGCTGGGGACACCAGAAATGGGCTTCACATATTGTACTCATGTGGGGAATCGAACCATCTTCGGCGTGACAAGCGAACACTTTAACCACTAGGCTACCCCACCACCCAGTTCTTGTTTGAAAACTGTTGGTATACATCAATCAGCTTATCTATTTATAGCACAGGATGATCCAAGTGCCCATAAGGCCTAGCGGCTACCCAGCATGCCTTTGTACCTTGCTGGAAGGAGCATGCCATTAAAACATGTGAGTCGTCACAACAAAGCCTTGTTTTTCATGTTTGTGCAACCAGCCCAGATGAATGACTGAAAGCTGACAATCGAACAGTAAATAAAAATCACTGCAGATTATTGTGGTGTTCATATCAATTTTCATAACAGCTGCGAAACACTGTTATTAGATTTTAGCCAAAATGGGTTCAAAGCAATTGACTTTTGATTCGTGATCCATATATTGCTTGGCTGATCGACATCAGACTAGTGTTGGGAATTGGTTAAAATCTCATAATTGATGATTGGTTCATTACAACCGATCAATCATCGAAAATAATTGGTTAGCGTCATTTATGAAATTTGTTAATGCACATAAAAATAAGGACAAGAACATGTAGTTCTTTTGGGGCTTTTTGGCAAAATTTCACATCTTTAAAGGATGACTAGCATGTTAGGAACATAAATTTCTTGGAGCCTTTAATATAAATTCAATCATGACTTGAAACGAGCTTGTAGTGCTTACAAAATGTAACAGCCGAAACCCACTATGTGAAAAATATTGTTAATGAAAACAAGTGTTCCAAAATTGGTTTTGTTCGATTATGAGAAATTATGATCGATTGGTTGGTCGTTTAGTCACTACGACCAATCTTCGATTATTTCAATTAATCACACCACCACTACATCCCACGTTCTCACAAACCTAAGGGAGGGTTATTAATGGAGGGTAGGGTGAGTCTACACATGCAGGGCACAGTGATTATTCGTACTCTCACAACTAGTTAACAATCAGGCAGTTACAAACCTTAATATCTTGATGTTTATCTTCCTAGTAGTGAGAAAAAGGAATATTTTGAAGATACATGAAAGAGAAAATGGTCAGAGTGCAAAGTAGGGGGAATAACTCTGTCTGAATTATTCCCCCTATGCTGATAATTCACTTTTAATTAACATTCATGAAGGTTCAAGATCAGAGTTGCGTTGGGACAAACATTTCTTATGTATTTCCTGATGATACGTCATGATATTATATATAATTTCTTCAAAATATTTCAACACTGAACACACATTGTGTGACATCACAGTTAATGTGAACTCTACTTTCCACAAGATAGTCACAGTTTCTAGTAGTCATAAATGCAGTTTAAGTCATTCAGACATTTTATCAAAGCCCTTTTTAAACAGACTTGTGTACAGATCTCTTTCTCCAGCAAACCATTAATGATATCTAGAGGCACCTTCTTTTCACATGAATCTGGATTCAATCAATTTACTGTTCTGGAAATTTCCATTTGTTTGGCAATTTCCATCTTTACACAAGGATGAGTAATAATATATCATTCTTTTGCAAAATAGAAACTCCACATAATAAATCAGGAAATATGTATTTGTTAATAACAAAACCCTGATCTTGCGCCTTCAAAAGACAATAAGATGACAATGTGTGATGCAGACGCCTCAACCAAAAATGTTCATAATTTTGAGATTTCCAGATTAACAGGATGTGAATTAAAGAGGTTTTATTGTATTGAATTTCTACATCTCAAATGCCATCTTAGTCCTAAAGAAAGTATTTCTTTAGTCAGTGGAGAGATTATCATGAAATAAGTCTCAAAGAGACTATCATGAAAAACAACAACATAAAGCTCATCAGAGAGATTATTACGAAGTAAACAACACTGTGCTTATCATGAGAGAAACGAGAGAAAAAAACAACAGAGACCTTTATGAAAGAATGAATAAATCTCCCAAACTCTCCAGTAGTAGCTATTGCCTATTATATATATATTCCCTTAGTGAACCTCTTTATAACAATGTAATGTCCTGACACTTCAGTTGTTTATTCCTGTAGTGTGTCTATCAGGAACAACATGTTGCAGTATAACTATAGCTGTTGATTTTTCAATAACAATGTGTTGCTGTGATGCTAGATATGTCTATTCTCATAGTGTATCTATATTCTCATAGTGTATCTATCAATAAAAGCGAATAGCAGTGATGCTAGATATGTCCGTTCCCCTTGTTCTTATTATATAGGTATATATAGCTTGAAAGTTGATCCCATCTATATGCATGCTCAAAGCGCACATCATATTTTTCATGCAGCCACTCAGGCGCACCAACTTAATGTGGCTTTCCCATCCTTTCGAATTACCCATTCACAGCTGGGTGAACTGGGACACATAGTCACAGTACTTTGTCCAAGTTCACTGCACGTTGCTGTACCCGCAACTAGGTGTTTGCATGTATTCATGTGGCCACTATCTGCTCATTTACCAACGGATTCGCGGGTTCTTTTAAGTCCACAGGGTTGTGTACTGTACACTAGGGGTTGTGACACACTGAAAGAGTCTCCACACAAAATTGACTCCAAGGTTTTACACCCGGTCACAGGTGGGCTCGAACAAGGCACCTCAAGCTCGCTGGATCACTAGCCTGGCGCCTTAGATAGCACACCCACCACACTACCACGTGTATCTATCACTATTTATATATGACGCCAATAAGGTTTATTCCTTTACTAATAATGTACTACTGTGATGTTATTGATGTTTATTCATCAGGTTGTGTCATCAATAACCACAACCTGCTGTTGTTGTTTGTTCCGATCATGTATGTATCAATAACAATGTACTGCGGTGATGCTAAAGATGGATTGTAGTGAGTCTGCAAATAACAATGTATGATAATATGATAATCACCTTCTTGTCATGAATGACCAACATGTGCATTACGGTGTTGCCGTTGTTGTCCTGAAGATTTGGGTCCGCACCCTTCGCAAGCAGCAGCCGCAGACACTCCTCCTGACCGAGGCAGGCAGCGAAACTCAGTGGGTATTCGCCCAAGTACACATGGCTAAAACGCAAACAAATCTCTTCAAGAAAAATAATTACAAATAACACTAATGATCTGCTGGAAACATAATACTCCAAAATCAATCGTGTGTAAAATAAAATGGCCTCATAATAAAACACTCTTTCATATCTTGCCATGTCAGAATATAGACAGCAGAGTTGTACTAATCATTGGCCAGATAGCATTTTCTGAATATAACTGGTTTTAAAGAAGTACATTTATTCCTCTCTTTTGATAAAACATACTTGTTCAAAGAAAAATAGGTTGTCAGCCAGTCTGAACGTATGTAATCTCCATTGTTTTTGAACATGCCAAAATCAAGAGGTTAGAATCATTCTAAAAATGTTGGTATGGGGTATCAACAAAATCAACACAATCAAGGGTGCTGTTCATAATTTATGGCTTGTGGGTGATGATGATTCTAAAGAGGGGTGTTTGTGTGTGTGTGGGGAGGCTGGGGGTGAGGTTGTCAGCCATTTTTTGTCCGAGGAGGTACACACATGCTCTAGGGGTCAGCAATTTTTGTACATTTTTTTTAAAATATGCTTAGAAATTATAGGAAGAGGGTCATTGATTTTGTACCTGACATGTAGGGGTTCACTTACTTTCACTAATTGTAGGGAGGGTCATTCACACTGTACATGCTAATCCATAAACATCATCATCATCACCCCCCCACAAGACTAAATTATGAACGGCCCCTTAATAAGTATTGGAATCATTGCAAAGGAAGTAGAAAGGGGGACCTTCACCATTTAATAAAAATGAATGTGTGTAGAAACATGTCCATTGTGGCACCACTGTAACACAAACCTCATTATGGCCATACAGTGAGTGAGTGAGTATAGTTTTACACCACTTTTAGCAATATCCCAGCAATATCACGACGAGTGACAATAGAAATGGGCTTGACACATTGTACCCATGTGGAGAATGAAACCTGTGTCTTAGGCATGACGAGCGATTGCTTTAACCACTACGCTACCAAACCGCCCCCTCATGGCAGCCTCCAGTGAGTGGTTTGATGTCATACTGTAACAGTCTGCTGCATCGACATGTTAGTGACCTTCCTTACCCTTCATAGTTGGTCTTCTCTCGCACACCTGCACCCACTCATGGTCAAGGCTGTCCGTGCGGGAGTCCTTCTGGTCATCGGGGCAGAAGAAGTTGCCGCAGCAGCGGCCATGGTAGTCTGCGCCGAGGTCCAGGAGGAACTTGACCATAGCTGGATCCTCATTGGTGATGACCATATGGAGGCAGTTCTCACCTTCAAGCACAGAGTAAGTGAGGGAGTTTTACACAGTATTATTGCATCAAACATTTACGGACATTATACTTTTTCGGATGGCAGTCCTTACTAGGACCATAATGCAGGGACGGCAACAGGAAAATCTATTTTCAGCTGAAAACATAATATTGTGTCATCGAGTTGAGGGTTTTTCAATGGATTTAGACCATTCACAATTGAACAATTTGAAATAAAATCAGCGGAAATCCGCTGATCAGCGGAAAATTGCCATCCCTGATAATGAGGTGTTGCATTACACAGACATTGTAAAGTCTTAAATGATGGTTTGTGTTTAGGATAAAGATATCTTTTATAAGTGATTGAGTTTAGTTTTACGCCGCTTTTAGCAATATTCCAGCAATATTGCGGCGGGGGACACCAGAAATGGGCTTCACACATTGTGCCCATGTGGGGAATCAAACCCGGGTCTTCGGCGTGACGAACGAACGCTTTAACCACTAGGCTACCCCACCACCCTTTATAAGTGAGATGTTATACAGTAGTTCATGTGATTTGAAAGGATATTTCAGTTCTATCATGGCTACTTCTATTTGAGAGGAAAGATTGATATAATAATGGCCTTTATTGTTTCCTGATTTTGTGAGAGCCACAAGAACAGAAATATAATAACAATTTTAGGTTAGAGCCAACACTCTTAAGTTTGAGCCAACAATCTTAGGTTTGAACCAAGAATCTTAGGTTTGAGCCAACACTCTTAGGTTTGAGCCAAGAATCTTAGGTTTGAGCCAACACTCTTAGGTTTGAACCAACAATCTTAGGTTTGACCCAACAATCTTAGGTTTGACCCAACAATCTAGGTTTGACCCAACAATCTTAGGTTTGACCCAACAATCTAGGTTTGACCAAACACTGTTAGGTTTTGCCAACAATCTTGTGGTTTGACCGAACAATAGGCATTATCTTAGGTTTGAGCTTAACAATTTTAGGTTTGAGCAAACAATTTTAGGTTTGAGCAAACAATTTTAGGAACACTGCATGGATAAGTAATGTAACTGAAAGTTATTTTTTCTTTCACTCACTCATTCCAGACATTATCCCACCTCATACAGAGTGTAGGTTTCTCCAAAGCTGAGCAGAATATAGACAGCAGAGTTTTGTAATCATCAGTAGGACAATGCCTCACCCACCCACCCACTCACTCACTCACTCAAGACATACAGAGGCTTCTCCAAAACTGCTCAGCAGAGTATCGTAATCATCCAAAGGATAATACACATCACAACAGGCAGTGAGAAGAAAAAATAAATCATTAATGTTCTCATTTATCAATTATCAATATACACGTTCCCATTTATCAAAAGAAAAACGTGTTCAGCCCATTACTCTGTTTTATTCTTCTATGCATGTTGATCCAACATTCTATTAATAACCTGTGAAGATCCAGACTAGAATTGGTCTTCAGAAACCCACGCTTGTCGTAAGAGGCGACTCACTGGATCGGGTGGTCAGGCTCGCTGACTTAGTTGACACATGTCATCGTATCCAATGCATAGATCGATGCTCATGCTGTTGATCACTGGATTGTCTGGTCCAGACTCACCCTGATATAGCTGGAAGATTGCTGAGTGAGGCATTAAACAACACACTAACCAACCAACCCGTGAACCCTAAATGTCACAACACAGGGTAATAGCATTACATTAACATGGAGGTGAGGTGAGGTGAAATTGGGTTTAGGTGAAATTGGGTCGCTTGAGAATATTTTGCTCATATGACGACGCATCGCGATGCAGGTATGTGTATGTGCTGCGCTGCTTGTACTAGCCCACACTTAAGCTGGTTTTATAGTGCTAGCCCACTGAGATACCATGCCGCAGTTAAGCATGAATACCCCACTCAGACACATTACACTGACTCCGAGCCGACCAGTCCTTGATGTACCCATTAATGCCGAGCGCCAGGTAGGGACCAACAAGTACCACATTTTAACGTCTTTTGGTATGACGTGGCCGGGGATCAAACACGCGACCTTCCGCTCTCCGGGCGGATGCTCTAACCACTACACCACGGAGGTGGTCCTTGTGCAGAGGGGTGTAGTATACGAGAAAAACATTTGATTGTAATGAACTGGTATTGATTCAGTGAGTCTTGCGTTCATCAAACTTACCCTTAATTACATCCTCCACCCACATGCTGTAAACACATTGGATATTCTGAGACTTCGACTGGCCATCAATGATAAATAAACCTCTCTCAGTATTTTCATCACATGATTTCAACATTCCCATTCAGTTCTCAACAACAACACTCCTTGTTTTGGACAACTGTCTTCAGAACCTATTCCTGGAATGCCAGGAATAGACTGTGAGACACCATGGTCTGTCTGGAGTTTAAATATGCACAACTTGAAAACTTAAAGAGTAAACACAATTGCGTGGGTTGAAATAAATCTTGTTTTTCTACTCAGGCTTCCTGACTTAACTTTGATCATTCCAGATCAGCTTAAGGAGATGGTGACTTACGGTTTAAATGAATGCATGTGTGCCATGATCATGTTTGTTTAAGAAACCTCTTATAAATGGGTGAGGTGAGGTGAAATTGGGCTCTTTACACGTCAGGCTTGAGAATATTTAACGCTATATGACGGCGATGCATATATGTGTATGTGTATGTGCGGCTGCTTGTACTAGCCCAGACTTAAGCTGGTTTTATAGTGCTAGCCCACTGAGATACCATGCCGCAGTGAAGCATGAATACCCCACTCAGACACATTATACTGACTCCGGGCCGACCAGTCCCTGTTGTACCCATTAATGCCGAGTGCCAGGCAGGGACAAACAAGTACCATATTTTAACGTCTTTTGGTATGACGCGGTCGGGGAACGAAGTTTAAAATGAATGCATGTGTGTCATGATCATACTTGTTTAAGAAACCTCCTATAAATGGTGTATAAGACAGATATATTGATATTAAACTATGGTTGTATTGTTGTTGTTTAACGCTGCACTCAGCAATATTCCAGCTATATGGCGGCGGTCTGTAAATAATCGAGTCTGCACCAGACAATCCAGTGTTGAACAACATGAGCAGCAATCTATGCAATTGGGATACGATGACATGTGTCAACTAAGTCTGTGAGCTTGACCACCCAATCCTGTTAGCCTCCTCATACAACAAGCATTGATTGTTAATGACCAATTCTAACCCGGATCTTCATTAAACTATGTGTGAATAAGAGTGTCATTTTCATCAGATCCAAACATGAACACAGTTCTTTTGACATTACATTCCAAATAACGTTGAACATGTTTATGGTACTAAAACATTTATAACTTTTTCAACACAATAGAGACCTGCATCAATGTTTTCTATGATATAACCAATTCATGGTCTTGACAACTGTAAATCTTTAAAAAATCGCCTTTCGGTAAATAAAAAAAAAAATCTTCAATCTTTAAGTCAAGACAAAAAAATTGATATTTATTAAGAAATAACCAAATTAAACTCAGAGGACCAGGTTTTCCAAAGAATATGGCCACAGTTTTTGTCAAAAAAGCTATTTTAGTTTCATAATTAACAGTGGCACAAGACATTGTGATGAGCATGTATCCTTTTTGTCTTCCTTCCACCTCATACAGAATAACGTTTCTCCAAAGCTGATCAGAATATAGACAGCAGAGTTTTGTAATCACTGGTGGAGGGGGAAGACAAAATCAGGATTTAAATGGTTATACTTTATTCCTTAAAACATCGTGGTATATACAATAATACTGTATTCCTAAACATCATGATTGTACTGTATTCCCAGTGTAAAACTCCAGTCGGGCCAGTAAATCTCAACAGTCACTGGCCTGGCTGGCTTGCGAATTTTCATGGGTTCATTTTGTTAAAATATCACTCTTACGATATAGTACACTTTTAAATCATGCAAGATTATGGCCTGATATAAATGTTCATCATATTAGCAGCTTAATATACTGTATTCCTAAACATCATGATTGAACTGTATTCCTAAACATCATGGTTATACTGTATTCCTAAACACCATGATTGAACTGTATACCCAAAAATCATGGTTGTAGTGTATTCCTAAACATCACGATTCAACTTTATTCCCAAAAATCATGGTTGTAGTGTATTCCTAAACATCACGATTGAACTGTATACCCAAAAATCATGGTTGTAGTGTATTCCTAAACATCACGATTGAACTGTACACCCAAAAATCATGGTTGTAGTGTATTCCTAAACACCACGATTCAACTATATACCCAAAAATCATGGTTGTAGTGTATTCCTAAACACCACGATTGAACTGTATACCCAAAAATCATGGTTGTAGTGTATTCCTAAACATCACGATTGAACTGTATACCCGAAAATCATGGTTGTAGTGTATTCCTAAACACCACGATTGAACTGTATACCCAAAAATCATGGTTGTAGTGTATTCCTAAACACCCACGATTGAACTGTACACCCAAAATCATGGTTGTAGCGTATTCTAAACATCACGATTGAACTGTACACCCAAAATCATGGTTGTAGTGTATTCCTAAACACCGCGATTAGACTGTACACCCAAAAATCATGGTTGTAGTGTATTCCTAAACACCACGATTGAACTGTACACCCAAAAATCATGGTTGTAGTGTATTCCTAAACACCACGATTGAACTGTACACCCAAAAATCATGGTTGTAGTGTATTCCTAAACATCACGATTGAACTGTACACCCAAAAATCATGGTTGTAGTGTATTCCTAAACACCACGATTGAACTGTACACCCAAAAATCATGGTTGTAGTGTATTCCTAAACACCACAATTGAACTGTACACCCAAAAATCATGGTTGTAGTGTATTCCTAAACACCACGATTGAACTGTACACCCAAAAATCATGGTTGTAGTGTATTCCTAAACACCACAATGAAAAATCATGGTTGTAGTGTATTCCTAAACATCATGATTGAACTGTATACCCAAAAATCATGGTTGTAGTGTATTCCTAAACATCACGATTGAACTGTACACCCAAAAATCATGGTTGTAGTGTATTCCTAAACACCACGATTGAACTGTACACCCAAAAATCATGGTTGTAGTGTATTCCTAAACACCACGATTGAACTGTACACCCAAAAATCATGGTTGTAGTGTATTCCTAAACACCACGATGAAAAATCATGGTTGTAGTGTATTCCTAAACATCATGATTGAACTGTATACCCAAAAATCATGGTTGTAGTGTATTCCTAAACACCACGATTGAACTGTATACCTAAACATAATGGATATACTGTATTCCTACGCATCATGATTGAACTGTATTCCTACGCATCATGATTGAACTGTATTCCTAAACATAACTGAAGTGACTGTATTCCTTAATATGATCTTAATACTGTATTACTGAAAATTGACTAATTTTTTAAAAATCATATTTATGACACCTTTCAAAACCATACTCAAGAAATAAATTTGTTTTTCTTTGAACCACACGAAAACAGGTTTTTGACAATAAAATATCTTTTCCCTGGGTGTTGCTTTCTGTAAAAATTCTGTATTACACAAAAAAACACTGTCTTGTAAATTGATAAGGGGCGCTGTAAATGATTACTTACAGACTGGTCTAGATGCTTGTCAGGGGCTCATATTGAAGCACAGCATTTAATATGGCAAAGTGGAGGTAAAACATGCACACTAAAAATATGAGTAAAATTTAATGTCAGTTCATACATAAAACACAAGAATAGAATTGCTTGGGGCTAATGAATGTCAGACTGGGGAAACAGACTGTTCGAGGATCACACTGGAATACAGCCATGACACGACAGGTAGACAGGAACACTGATACACCTGAGGCAGGTAGACAGACACACCTGGGCCTAGATTTTTTAAGCTTTCTTAAGCCAAGATAGTCGTAAGTGCCATACATTAACATTAACCCTCACGGCTATCTTAGCGCTAAGAGAGCTTCAAAAATCTAGGCCCAGGTCCACAGGTGCACAGTACTCAGACATGTCGCTTTGAGGGGAATGAATCATCAGGCAGTGATCTCAGCAACAAAAACATATCCCATACTACTTACATAAAATATGTAGCACTTACAAACAGATTTTGCCACATTTGTTTGTAAGCACAAATATTACAAAACAATTTCAAAGCTTTGAATTTTTTTCTGATATTTATACTAGTATTATAACCTTATAGCAGATAAGGCTATGTTCTTTTTTGGAACAAATCTACCTTTAGTTATGCAAAATGGAACAGTGAACTGAAAATAAACATTCTTTAACATTCTACATTATGCTTAGCTGACAATTCTTGGAATGACAATTGATCTCCACCATGACATAAATATGCATATTGCAGTGAAGTGAATAAATGGATATAGCTAAAATTTGTGGAAACATATCAGACATTTCAAACAGACAATGAATGTAACGAGAACCACTTTGGTCCACACACACACACACACAACACACACACACTCACCATAGTACTCCTCTCCATTGTAGATGTCATTGATAAGCTGAGGGTAGAGACGAAGAAGACGCTTGGCCAGATCAGCATGGATGGCGGACGAGTTCAGCAGACACAGGTGCAAGATTGTCTCCCCCAACCTGACCTCGTGATTCAAGATTCCAGCACACCTCGCGATACTTGCGTTCTGAAACATTACGTCACACTTTATGACAGCTGCGAATCTTCCCAATGGGGAAGCCCCAGGCGACTGGTATGATGTCTCTTTTAGTAAAACACAGCATTCTTTAAACATAAATATGATTAATTTGAATGGTTCACACAAGATGAACTTTTAATGATTATATATTGGACAACAAAAATCTTGGCAATACAGAAAACAAACACCTATAAAGCCTTTTAAGTTATTAAAATAATTAATTATTTTATTTGTCATTAATTTTGTATTGAAATTTTTGAAAGGCATTTAGTAGTTGGATGAACATGAATACACGACATATGATAAAGGAACAAGGAGTGTCATTTAAAGAATAAAAAGAAATTGTTATCCATAAATTGTGTCATGTATTCAATCTTGTATTCATCTTGCCTTGTACATCATAGGCCCAAACAAATTTATTATTAGATTTTAATCCAATTATTTATAAGAAATCTCAGCATGATGAAGAATTCTATTTTATAAGAAGTAAATGGCACTAAACAAACAAGGCATCTGTGTACATTTAAGTGATTCACATTAACCATTTATTGTTTTAAGGACTATGTTGATAATCTATATATATATTCAAGTGAAGGAAGAAGCATTCAGCCAGTTGTTTTTTGTCAGCAGTTTGGGAGAATACAACGATGTGACATGGGATGCTTGCTGGTAAGGCAGTGTTAGCATATCGGCCTAGAAAATCTTGGAAAAATAAACAAGAAACTTTTTCAGTTAAACCATATACATACATACATTAGTATTCATTCTTCTACAGAGTTTCAAAATCCTTTGATTAAAAACTCAACAATCGCCAGTCCCAGCTCCACAACTGAAATCTTTCCGAAATAAATTAAATTAATTCAGAATTATATGATGATTATTACAGCAGGGTACACCAGAAATGGGCTTCACATATTGTACCCAAATGGGGAATCGAACCCTGGTTTTTGGAGTAACATGTGAATGCTTTAACCACTAGGCTACCCCACTGCACCTGTTTACAAAAGACAGAGCCCAGTTTCACAAACATTATGCAGAATATAGTGAGCGGGGATTTAACTGCTTTAAACTGTGTTCGAGTTACATCACAGTATGGCAGCTTGCAGTGGGAAGTATGGGACAAGTGAGTGAGTAAACGAGTATGGTTTAACGCGCTTTTAGCAATATTCCAGCAACATCACGGCACAAGAAATGGGCTTCACACATTGTACCCATGTGGAGGATGGAAGGAAAGCATGTAGTGAAGCAGGTCATCGTTGTCAAAATTGGAGGACACATGTGCTAATCTTAAAAAGAAAAGGAATTAAAAGGCACATAGCCCTTTGACTTTAATAATATACGTACAATTTTCTATTATTCATGCATTTTTTAAATTACTAACAGTAAATAGGCTCATAAAACATTACCATAAAATATTACCATAAAATATTATTTTATTTTGAAAAGATGCTACAGTTTTAAACCCACAATTTGCCAGTAGTAATTACACTGTGTAATACTCTCTATACAAGGTGTATGATTTATAATATGGTCAGGTGAGGTGAAATTGGGTTTAACGTCGTGCTTGAGAATATTTCGCTCATATGGCGATGTACATTACTAAAGGTAAACATGCTCAAAATATATTACTTCATTTTGAGAAACTACAGTGTTGAACACACAATTTGCCAATAGTTCACATTGTGTGATAGAAAATGAGTGAGTGAGTTTCGTTTTATGCCCCACTCAGCAATATTCGAGCTATATGGTGGCGGTCTGTGAAAAATTGAGTCTGGACCAGACAGTCCAGTGATCAACAGAATGAACATATCGATCTACGCAATTGGGAACCGACATGTGTCAACCAGGTTAGCATACCTGACCACATAATCCCGTTAGTTGCCTCTTACGACAAGCGTGGGTTACTGAAGATCAATTCTAACCAGGATCTTCACAGGTCGATTAAGAATATGAACTGGTTGCATGATAACCCGTTATTCACATAGTAATGGATGTAGTACTGAATAGGTTCGTGCTGTGTGCAGGGTCAGAGTGAAGTGCTAAAAGAAACCTCATCACATAGCACCTGTGAAGTGAGGGAGGGGAGGGAGTGAGCTGGTCACTTTGAGCATTGTTCCAGTAATATCAACGTGGAGGGCATGAGAAATGTGCTCAAAGATCATACATTGAAAGCACCATAACTGATCATTACAGGCTGATAATTAGACTTGTTAACTTAAAAGTTAACATACATTTCTTGAACTGCAAATGCTCCAAACAATGTTATTTTAAACCAGTGGTTTAATATTATGGCTAAGAAATTGATTTTACAATGTTTGGCACAATATTCAAACTTTGTGCACCTATAGCAGCAGGGGGCTTCTCCAACAGAGAATGACCTTCACCATCTAGAGAGAGAAACAAATACATGCCGATCATGACTGTGTGGGTAGACATGTATATGATTTACAAATATATTTGTACATTTATGCTCATACATTTGGTTTGTTTGTTGTTAATTTCAGCTATATGGTGGCGGTCTGTAAATAATCAAGCCTGGACCAGACAATCTAGTGATCAACATCATGAGCATCGATCTTTGCAACTGGGATCGGATGACATGTGTCAGCACAGTCAGTGAGCCTGATCACAAAATTGTCAGAATAAAATACATTTTCTATTGTATGATTCCTGAGGAAATGGAAGTATTTGATTGTTTTGTACATTTACCATTATTTGCAACATTCAATTCATAACATTTGACTATTACTGAACACTGTCGACCATAATTTCAACTGATTAATTTTTTAACGAATGCATGGACACCTGTACTTTTTTTCAACACAGCAGTCAGCAATATTCCAGGTACATATACCAAAGTGGCTGTAAGTCATGAAGTCAGAATGATTCAAACCAGTGGTTGAAAGCATGACCCACAATTCACACCAGTTAAGCTTGGAGACAAAGATTAGGAATATCACAAACACAAGTTAATTCTTGTAAACGAATAAACTTCCAGTTACTTCAAGAAGTCATTTTAGTGACATGTTTGCATTCTTAAACTCACTTAATAAATTTTATAAAAGTATCAACATTTATCATTGACATCAAACCTGTGATAATGAATCATTTATTATTTTCTTGTGCCCTGAAAAGACAATATCTGTAGATGGCGATTATTACTTTTTACATATTAATATTTTTTTTTTTTATAAATAATATTTAAATATTGTATTTGCATCTTTCAAATGCATGTTGTTATTTTTTCTCGAATTAAATCAGATTTCGTTTTAGAAGTGCTTGGCTAATTAATTATGACATCATAATTATGAGGAAATAGAACAATTATTTTGTTTCCATTGAACCTCACCTTGAGGCTTATGCTGCATGTACGTCCCTGTACTTTCTCCATCTTGTAAAATCATGTCAATCATCGCCAGCTCTTTCGCTTTTTCACGCTTTTCCTTGCCAACCTTGATCTTGCTTTTCTGCCTGTCTTTATTTCTAGCCATGATAAGATCCACGATAGGCACTTTCTTCCCTCTGCCATCGTTATATAAAAAGCCCTTCACCTCGTTTTTAAGTTTTTCGTCAATTTCCTTATAATTTTTCGTCCACCTTGCCCGTTTCATGAGCTCCACTAGTTCCCCGCCCCCTTTCACGTTGACCAGCTGATAGAGCTGTTTTGAGTCATTGTCCGCTTGATTCTTGACACCTGTCGCAACGACGGATGAATTACCCATTTTCTGATATTGTCGTAGATCAAAAACGTGAAATCAGTCGCTTGAATTTGTGTAAAGAAACTGAGGTTAGGGACCGATGGAGAAATTGCAATGTGCCTTTCATCTTGCCGACGGCGTCGAAAATGGCCGCCGGTCCCCTTAGTAGCAGGTATAGTCTGTTTCTAAAATGATAAATTATCATAATTATACCATTTACGTTAATTTCAGAATTAAAAAAGTATAAACTCATATATTGCGGCATGCAAAATTAACTAATATGGTTCACAACTTTATATTTTAATTATTTTGCAAAGCACAAAGCATAACAATTGGAAAAGGAAGTGCGAGAAATATACATAATATTATCATTTCATTATGAGTCATGTAAGTGATAACACCCTCTATGGCTATATACGTTTCGTTTGAATAGAACCTGTTTAAATTTCATCTAAGATAATGCAGTAAGGTACCTTATTCGTTTCAATAGGCTTCTTTATTTAATGATTGATAAAGACTTGTGAACATCAGTGATAAAATTGATATTCAGTAACCCAAGCTTTTGATGAGACTATCGGGAAAGGTTCGTTTGGCTCGGTTGATGCATGTCACCGTATCCCAGTAGCGGAGATTGATGTTCATGTTATTAATAACAGGATTGTCTGAGCAAGACACAATTAATAACAGAACGCCTCCATGCAACAGGAATACTGCCATGTGCGGCGTTAACAACAGACTATATAATCGATGCCATCTCCGAAGAGATCATTCCTGAATAACACATCAATAAAAAAAATATATAGTTCTACTTGAACAAAGGTAATATCGGTAGAAATAGCTCAACTAATTGAATAATTATAACAATGGAAAGAGATAAACCGAAAGGGAACCATATCAAAATTTGAAAATGCACGAAAAGGCGGAATGATGATAATTTCCTCACAAACTGGATCCGATTTTTCCATTCAGTACAAGTGTAGATTTCTCACTCACTCACTCACTCACTCACTCATATTGCACTGAGTTCGAATTCTATCGCAGTATATATACTATTCACACTTTGCTTAGGATCAAATCATTGATTAACAGAAAACTATTATGTGGGGTCAAATTTGATTTAAATATCTAAGCCTATTGTAAGCATGCCTCCAAGTTTTCAGTATGTCACTGCATCTTGTGGATCCCATACCTGCTATTGACAGGTGTTGTGTACTTGTCAATGACCCGTGCCATGATTTGCAAAATGGTTGATTGGTGGCATGAAAACCATTTTTATGGTTACACATGCATGTATCAAGTGCAAATGGTTAGCTTAAAGTGGCTGTTTTCCTAATGATGTGTTACCATATCATTATTTATCCAGGTTTAAATGGATACAATTTCAAATTATAAATCTACGTTTAAGTAAAGTCGCGAAATTTGGTGATCCGTAGCAAAGTGTGACTGGTATAGTTAGTTCAGTATTTAGCTGGACATCACTACAAATAGGATGTACATTTTGTCGTCTTAGGGTTTACCTGCTTGTATAGAATCAATATTTATATAATTAAAGCATAAAATATTTATTTAGGACGCACATTTCCTCAACGACCTTTGTTATGTTTCTTTTCTTTAGTTGATGATAATTTAAGTAATTTCGTTCAATATCACATTTCAGAAACAAACTATAACAAGATTCGTAACTGACTTCCGGTTTCGACTGACAGGTGCCCGCTGTATCCACTCGCTGATTGGCTGAGTATTTTAACCCATAGCAACGGTAAATCGCGTTACGGGCAACGGTAAATGTGCTAAGAGCAACTGAAGCTCACTAAAACGCTCCGTTACGTGTCAAGCGAACATCATTTTGGAGTAAGACCGAGGAAACCTTTCTGTTTCAAGATGACAACTGTAGCTTTTGGTGGGGGCCCCACTGTTGAACAGAGGCGAGCGTTCGCCCAGTTGAAGGAAGGGACTCAAGTGCCTGGGTAAGTGGCCAATGAACGTGAGAACTGTTTTGTGCAAGGTGTTATAGAAATGAATACCGTTGTATGGACGTGACAATTGGGGTTTAAATGCCTTTCATCTGTGTGTGATTGGCGCTAGATGTTTATACCAACGGAATTCTTTGGGCATTCAATTATATTTCGAGAAAAAATTAAAGTGAATCGTGTGTTAAAGTCGATCGAAATAAGAATTATATTAGGTTTAAACATAATCTGGTCTAGAAATATCTGTGACTGAATTGAATAAATAATACAGTTCTACTTTGGTTAAATAAAAAAGTTATGAAGTTGAATATTACAGCTGCTGGTCATTATTATAGAGATTTAGCTGGGGGTGAAGGGACTGGAGGGAGTGATGGAAAAAAAACATGTATTTGGGGAACCATTAATTAATAATCATCTAATATATTTTACAATATTTTAAAACTGGAAATAATATGTATGCATTATTCATGAGAAGATTTTACTAATAACCATGATACCTTAAACAAATCTTCTCTGATATGATTGGAAAATTACTGATTATTTTCTTTGCATAGCCTGTCCATGTTTTTTCTTGTACAGTAAAAGCAAACACCTTACCATTCTATTTTCAATATTTCTTATGCTTAAACTCAATAAATATCCAACTTCCACTAAATATGAATGTATTCATTTAAAATGGCATAGAGAAACTGGTTTGTTATTTTGTGCACATTTGCTCTTATGCAGCTTTACAATAAGAAATAATCCCTCCATTTAGTGAACATGATGTGATGTATGCACTGTGAGGTAAGCCAGATTAAGTCCAGTGTAAGCCAGGGGTTACAATAGGACCACCTGGGTCGGCACTTAATGCCGTGGGGTTCACAACACTGGATTGACTTGGGACACCTAGCAACGGTTAACTTACTGCAAGACAGTGCTTAACTCTGACATTGTTTCTGCTTCAACAGTTGCTGAGTTAGTTGAAATAACAGTACAGTGATTCTGTTTTGTTGCACGTAATGTAGCAATATTCTCTGGTAGGATAAGATAAGGTAAATAATACTTTATTATCCCAAGGGAAATTTTGGTTGTATCATAAAACATGTAGAAAACATGGAATCACAACATATCATGTTTCAACATATCATGTGAATGACACAACCCACCCCCACCCCCTAAAATTTACGTGCAAAGTAAGTGCCCCCCCACCATATCATGTACAAATCAATGTACAAAATCAATGTAGGTAAGATGATAAATGAATGAATATGAAGATTAACTGTTGTTAAAATAATGAAAAAAATCGTGAACATAGAGTATGAGAGCATTCGATTGGGTACATTTTGCAATTATTTTCTTCTATTTTTGCCTGTGTTTTTGCATACTGTAAGAGGTGCTAGCCCAGACTGAAGCTGGTTTTATAGTGCTACCATGAGATACCATTCCTAGTGAAGCATGAATTCAAGTCACATTATACCACTGGAGCCGACTTGTCCTTGTTGTACTTAATGGAGCGCCAGGGGGCAGTGACCATATTTTAACGTCCTAGTGGTTAAAGACCTTGCGCCATTCGGCGGACCTCTAATGGGTACATTGTGTGAAGCCCATTTCTGGTGTCGGGCCTGCCGTGATGTTGCTGGAATATTGCCAAAAGCGGCATAAAACTAAACTCACTCACTACTTAGGTTTTATAATAAATGTCAAAATGTACCTATAGATATTCATGCTTAATGTGAAACACCTCCATTGGAAACTGATGTACGGGTGCCTTTTACAAAATGTTTCAGAAAAAAATGTTGATTAAAGTATTTCAGGAAAATATTATTTTTATGAAAAACGTATAATTTGTAGTGAAATATTATGATTAAATGTAATTAAAAATATATTTCCTTTGCAGTTACCGTGGTTACGTACCTCAGATCAAGTACCGAGTGGGTCAGACCTATGGTAATGACACCCATGATCTGCTCAAATCGGTAAGTATGATAGTGAGAGTTAGGGAGTGAGAGTTAGTGAGTGAGTGTCAGCTGTATTTGACATGTGTGAAGATATCCAAAGTGATGTAAGTCATGATGGCTGTTGAAAGCCACAAGTTCGGTACATTGCTATAATTACTTTTAGATTGACTTCTTCATCTGTGTTGAATGTTCTGTAAAATGTTTATGTTTGCTTATATATGTATCAGTGAGCAAACTTGTCATGAGACATTGTCCCGCTGATGATTACAAAACTCTGCTGTCTATATTCTGATCAGCTTTGGAGAAACCTATACTCTGTATGAGGTGGTATAATGTCTGGAGTGAGTGAATAAATGTGTGAGTGAGTGACTGAGCGAGGGAGTGCAGTTGCATTCCTTATCTATGCAATTGTGAGCTCAAATCTAATTTTTTTCATTATATTTCTGTGGTTTTTCAAAATTATATTTCTGTTCTTGTGTATTTCACAAAAGTAGGAAACATTAAGGACATATTATTAGTGAGTAAGAAAAAACAACCTCTGTGTCCTTTGTTACTGGTATTTTAAACAAACACTGAATTGGAAAACACACATCATATCATTTACAAAGTATTGCGGCATGTGTTATTACGTCCTATTTTGTTCCTAGCATGTACACTGACAAGTGGCCAATTCAAGTGCTGAATAACACCACTGTCAAACATGAAGTATTGATTTGTGAGTCATTATCACAGTCTCTATAGTATAAGTATTGAAAAAACTGATATCAAATTACCTGTCAAGTCTATTCATTTCGCCAACGTCAGTCAATAAATAAAAACACAACTGTCATGCTGATTGTATATTTATTCTTCAGTAAGAATGTCGTATCTATATCTTCAGGACTGTCAATAAAAATTCTAGTTTCTCAGTACTCATTTGTAAATCCACTGAGACAGGTCAAAATCTATGAAAGTAAATTTGATTTTATTGTCCAGCATAGTCTGTTTGGCCCCCCCTTTGGCTGAGTGAGTGAGTGAGTAGGTCTTATGCTGCTTTTAGCAATATTCCAGCAATATCACGATGGGGGACACCAGAAATGGGATTCACACATTGTTCTCATGTGGGGAATCGAACCTGGGTCTTTACCATTAGGCTACCCCACCACCCCGAAGTATGAAGAGATAAAGCCATTTGAATGACATGACTGATACTAAAACACTTTTGAAAACATTTTCTTAACAATCTGTCAAAGAAAATGAAGACATGAAACCTATGATAAACAATAATATCATTATTATTTGTTATGATATTTATCAAGTGCTTGAAAGTGTAATAAAATATCAGGGGACAGTTTCAGGGGTGGTGGGTTAAGAGACGAGATTTAGTTTGACAAGTCTTGTGAGTAGTACTACTACAATAGCAGTATATACAGGAATAGCAGCCGTCCTACAGGCCACCAAGACAGGCAGGGTGCATGGGTTATTGTCATGACAATACATTGTAGAAGACAATAACAGATAGCAAACAGTGTCCCGATTCACAAAGCTTTCGTAACATTATGAGTGAGTATGGTTTTATGCTTTTTGCAATATTCCAGCAATATCTTGGTGGGGACACCAGAAATGGGCTTCACACTTTGTACCAATGTGGGGAATCGAACTCGGGTCTTCAGTATGATGCGCGAATGCTTTAACCACTGGGCCACCCCAATGCCCCTCAAACTTTATGACCTATCATAACTCATCATGGGTTTACAAATGGCATAGTGCTACGAATGATTTGTGGATGGGGATCCAGGTTTTGTGCTGGTGATAGGCTTCATTCCAGATTTCTGTATGTACCTAGTGGTTAAATGGAAATTCGCCACACCAAAGACCCAGGTTTGAATCGAACCCACATGGGCATGAGTGAAGCCCATTTCTGGTGTCCCCCATACTGATATTGCTGGATTGGAGTTCCAGGTTTTAAACCAAACTCAGTCAGTTTATAGACAGGCTGAGATTAATTAGCATTGATTTGTGGGGGTCACCTTATAGGGGTCGTACTGTAGACAGCAATACACTGTAACGAGCTTGAACAACAAGTGATGGTATTACTTTATTTCACAGTATTGTGGGTGGGCTATCTTCAAGTTAGTCTTTGCTTTTGTACATAAGGTTCTTATCATAAGATCAGCCTTTGGTTTAGGGAATCAAGAATGTAAACAATCAATGTTGGCTTAAAACTTATGTAAGCTTCATTGACAGATTTACAATGGGGTGGGATATTTTGTTTCAACTACTTGAAAATATATGTTCTATTGGAAAATAAGTACCCCCAGGGCCCCTAGAGGTTTTACTGTTATATACTTGGGACATACTTTGTCAATACAAGGGGTACACTTGTTAACCAGGACCGGACATCTGTATGCCAATCAATAACAGTAAATCAGCTACGTACAATCACAAGCAACATACACCTATTAACGTCCACTCTCACGATCAAGGCCCAAAGACCGACTCAATATGCCTCTATCAGTCAATCATAATTCAATACCCAATTCCTCTGTTGAAAAGGTACACTTAATCATAAAGAGGGCGTGTGACTCTGAATTTGATAGCAGTGGGTTTTGTATGGGGTAGAATGGTCTCTCTTGCTATTGAGAGTTGTCAATGATTGGGGTATTGTCGGTAGTGTGGGTTGTCGGCACGGCGTAGTCAATATATGTTGTCGGCTTTAACTGTTGGTGTTTGTGGCAACACTGGAGACTGAATTACTGTGTCACCGTTGTACTGGAGGGCAAGATCTGGTGTCAGTAATGATCATATCCGTAACCTGGTCTCATAGCTTTTTAACAGTATACAGTCATAACTTCTTTGTATTTCATTACATACACTTTAAGTTGTACTATACTAGAGTCTATTGGATTAAACTTATACTTTCAATTCTTTTCATGGGGGTGGCCCAGTCATATAAAGTACTGCAGTTCTTTGTGTGAAAATTTGTCCCTTTAGCATTGCTTTAGCTTCCCTTTGGCATCCCTTTAGCTTCCCTTTGGCATCCCTTTAGCTTTCCTTTAGCTTCCCTTTGGCATCCTTTAGCTTTCCTTTAGCTTCCCTTTGGCATCCCTTTAGCTTTCCTTTAGCTTCCCTTTGGCATCCCTTTAGCTTTCCTTTAGCTTCCCTTTGGCATCCCTTTGGCATTCCTTTGGCATCCCTTTAGCTTCCCTTTGGCATCCCTTTAGCTTCCCTTTGGCATCCCTTTAGCTTTCCTTTGGCATCCCTTTAGCTTTCCTTTAGCTTCCCTTTGGCATCCCTTTGGCATCCCTTTGGCTTCCCTTTAGCTTCCTTTGGCATCCCTTTAGCTTCCCTTTGGCATCCCTTTAGCTTCCCTTTGGCATCCCTTTAGCTTTCCTTTAGCTTCCCTTTGGCATCCTTTAGCTTTCCTTTAGCTTCCCTTTGGCATCCCTTTAGCTTCCCTTTGGCATTCCTTTGGCATCCCTTTAGCATTCCTTTAGCTTCCCTTTGGCATCCTTTAGCTTTCCTTTAGCTTCCCTTTGGCATCCCTTTAGCTTTCCTTTAGCTTCCCTTTGGCATCCTTTAGCTTTCCTTTAGCTTCCCTTTGGCATCCCTTTAGCTTTCCTGTAGCTTCCCTTTGGCATCCCTTTAGCTTCCCTTTGGCTTCCCTTTGGCATTCCTTTGGCATCCCTTTAGCTTCCCTTTGGCATCCCTTTGACATTCCTTTGTCATCCCTTTAGTTTCCGTTTGTCTTCCCTTTGGCATTGCTTTTGCATCCCTTTAGCTTCTCTTTAGCTTTCTTTTGGCATCCTTTGGCATCCCATTAGCAGTGTTTAAAACTCCTAAAATTCCAAGCCAGATAGCCGGACTGGTAACTTTAAAAACTTACCAATCCTGATACAAACATGCCTGTCCAGTTTTCAACAATGAAAAACAAACAAACAAAATCAGGTTTCTGAATACTTTACTGTTTGTAGGCATCGCAATGAACAACATAGCACTAATTATGCACCGAGTTTAGGTAAACTGAAAGTACATGTGTTGTGATTGGTTATTGTAAAATGAACTGTCCAATCGTAAATAGTTTAACATAATTTTATCATAATACCTTAAACACCCCAAACTGACGACAAGAGAACCTGTCTCATATTATGAAATATTTACTGTTAGGGGTAAAAACATCTACCAGGCTACTTTTGAAATTTGACCGTCCGAGATGAAAATAGACCCTTCCGGATGGTCGGGCAGGCGGGAATTTTAAACGTTGCCATTAGCTTCCCTTTTGCATCCCTTTGGCTTCCCTAAGATCGTAAAACTAAACTCACAAATAGACTTTCAGAATATACCCAGTAACCAAATCATTCCTTGGTATTCAGACATCAAAGTTTCTTAACAGTTTGTCGATCGGGTAAAACTACGAACTGTGAAATTACCATTCTGAAATGGGATATCTTTGCTCTGTATTACAAGAAAGAATTACAAAGGAACCATGACTCCACTGTGTGTTGGAAGTATCATCTAACTGGCTTAGAGAATAGTCAGTGGCCATTATCACCTTGAAATCTCCTCAAGCAGTCAGTAGGCTTTCAGAGGGTCTGATATTGATCCGCAATAGACTGTACTGACGTAGCTGCGGTGGGGAGGACAGTTGAGGGGAGAGGGTGGGTGGATAGCTGGGGTGGGGGTATTGATCCTCCATGGACTGTTCTGAAATAGCTGGGGAGGTGGGGAGGACAGTTGAGGGGAAGTGAGGGAGGAGAGGGTGGATAGCTAGGGTGGGGGTATTGATCCTCCATGGACTGTTCTGAAAGAGCTGGGGGGTGAGGGGAGGACAGTTGAGGGAAGTGAGGGAGGAGAGGGGTGGATAGCTAGAGTAGGGGTATTGATCCTCCATGGACTGTTCTGAAATAGCTGGGGAGGTGGGGAGGACAGTTGAGGGGAAGTGAGGGAGGAGAGGGGTTGGATTGCTAGGGTAGGGGTATTGATCCTCCATAGACTGTTCTGAAATAGCTGGGGAGGTGGGGAGGACAGTTGAGGGAAGTGAGGGAGGAGAGGGGTGGATAGCTAGGGTGAGGGGTATTGATCCTCCTTGGACTGTTCTGAAATAGCTGGGGAGGTGGGGAGGACAGTTGAGGGGAAGTGAGGGAGGAGAGGGGTTGGATTGCTAGGGTAGGGGTATTGATCCTCCATGGACTGTACTGAAATAGCTGGGGAGGTGGGGAGGACAGTTGAGGGAAGAGAGGGGTGGATAGCTAGGGTGGGGGTATTGATCCTCCATAGACTGTACTGAAATAGCTGGGGAGGTGGGGAGGACAGTTGAGGGAAGTAAGGGAGGAGAGGGGTGGATAGCTAGGGTGGGGGTATTGATCCCTCCATGGACTGTTCTGAAATAGCTGGGGAGGTGGGGAGGACAGTTGAGGGAAGTGAGGGAGGAGAGGGTTGGATAGCTAGGGTGGGGGTATTGATCCTCCATGGACTGTTCTGAAATAGCTGGAGAGGTGGGGAGGACAGTTGAGGGAAGTGAGGAGAGAGGGTGGATAGCTAGGGTGGGGGTGTTGATCCTCCATAGACTGTTCTGAAATAGCTGGGGAGGTGGGGAGGACAGTTGAGGGAAGTGAGGGAGGAGAGAGGGGGTGGATAGCTAGGGTGGGGGTATTGATCCTCCATGGACTGTTCTGGAAATAGCTGGGAGGTGGGGAGGACAGTTGAGGGAAGTAAGGGAGGAGAGGGGTTGGATTGCTAGGGTAGGGTATTGATCCTCCATAGACTGTTCTGGGAAATAGCTGGGAGGTGGGGAGGACAGTTGAGGCTGAGAAGTGAGGGAGGAGTGGGGGTGGATAGCTAGAGGTGGGGGTATTGATCCTCCATGGACTGTTCTGAAATAGCTGGAGAGGTGGGGAGGACAGTTGAGGGGAACGGAGGGAGGAGAGGGGTGGATTGCTAGGGTAGGGGTATTGATCCTCCATAGACTGTTCTGAAATAGCTGGGGAGGTGGGGAGGACAGTTGAGGGGAAGTGAGGGGGAGGGGGTGGATAGCTAGGGTGGGGGTATTGATCCTCCATGGACTGTTCTGGAAATAGCTGGGAGGTGGGGGAGGACAGTTGAGGGAAGTGAGGGGGAGAGGGGGTGGATAGCTAGGGTGGGGTATTAATCCTCCATAGACTGTACTGAAATAGCTGGGTGGGGAGGTTGGGGACACCATAAGGGGTAGTGAGAGGGTGGATAGCTAGGGTGGGGGTATTGATCTTCCATAGACTGTACGGAAATAGCTAGGGTGGAGAGGAAAGTTGAGGGGGGAGAGGGGTGGATAGCTATGGTGGGGGTATTGATTCTCCATAGACTGTACTGAAGTAGCTGGGGAGGGGAGGTTGGGGGACAGTTCAGGGGTAGCCAAGGGGAGAGGGGATGGATAGCTAGGGTGGGCTATTTGATCCTCCTTAGAATGCACTGAAATAGTTGGGTAAAGGGAGGAGGGGAGGACAGTTGAGGGTTAGCCATGGGGAGTGGGGTTGGATAGCTTGGGTCAGGTGTAATAGTAATGAACGTAGCGCCATGAGCAGGTAACGTGCCTGGATATGTGCGCCATATAAGCGGACTATTACTTTTACTAATCAATTATTTTTGATGATTGATCGGTTGTAATAAACCAATCATCAATTATGAGATTTTATTCAATTCCCAACACTAGTTATCTGTGGAGGTGATAGGGGAACAGTCAAGTTGTAGCAAGGAAGGCGGGGATGGGGGTGAAACAGTTGGTATTGTGAAACAATTCTTGCCTTACTTTTTCATATCGAGCAATTTTTTATATATTGATCAGACCAGACCAATGCCGCTTTATGTTTTTATTTATGTTATCTTGTATGAATTATTTTCTTTTGGTAGCTTTTCTATTTCAAATTTTGGATCCAAATCTCAAATAAACCCCAAATATGTTTTGTATCTTTTACCAAAGGAAATGAAGGTGTGCTCTAAGACATTAGTAAGTCATATTTGTATTATTCTTTCAAACATCAGAGGTACAGATAAGCTGCGTATTCGCATAAATTACGCAAATATTTATGTGAAAACTCAATTCCTATTAAGTCCAGTGTGTACAATATAAGTTATCACATCGTGTCGAGGGAAATACACGGGGTTTTATCAGTCCCTCATAAGGTTGTATTCCCTGAGCCGGAGGCGCGGGAATACAACCTTACGAGGGACTGATAAAACCCTATATTTCCCGAGACACGATGTGATAACGCATTTATCTAGCCGAATGTTTTTACTAAATCAAAAGAAAACAATTCGCATCAATTTCATTCTCAGTTGTTGTGGCAAAACGTTTCCTTGCTGCCATGTTGACAACAGCTGATCGATTGACCTCAATGCAGCGCACGTTACTAAAGGCTTGGCGATGCACGCTTTTCTCACTCCGCGTGGTCACCGAGGCGTGGCGGGATAATATGACTTTTGTACTCCCTGCTCGCGGATCGTGACGGGTGTACATGGTATTTTATCAGAGTCACGTGAACCAATCAAAACTCGACATTCTTACATGAGGCTGGATAAGTATGCTTGAAGTTTTTTAAATACTCAATAAATATGATCTTTAAATCTGAAATAGGTCACTGTGTGAGGCACAGTCTCGCACTGTGGCAGGTTAGGTTATTGAGTGAGTGAGTGAGTTTGGTTTTACGCCACTTTTAGCAATATTCCAATAATATCATGGCGGGGGACACCAGAAATGGGCTTCACACATTGTACCCATGTGGGGAATCGAACCCGGGTCTTCGGCATGACGAGTGAACGCTTTAACCACTAGGCTACCCCACCGCCCCTGGTTAGGTTATTGATTTAAAGTGGCATAAAAACATATTCAGTACAAGAGTTCACATGCTTAGGGTATGTTTTCACATTATTTACCGAAGTCGTTGGGGCTGTCACTCTCGAACACTTCTCAGTCCCTTGTCACATAGCTACTGATTGTCACATGATCAAATATTGGTATGACATATTGATGTGTCAGTCAGGCTGTTTTCACAGTGCAGCTACAGCTCTTTACTGTATTTATCCACATTAACCGACCATTAGCTGGTGTAACCAGTCAGGCAGGTTCCACGGTTTCTGTGTGTACAAGAGTCTGTGAGGTGTGTGCTCTGTTACAGGGGGTGCCCTTAGACGAACGCTTAGTCTCTGATTATATATGATTTAATAAACACATTTTACTTGAAAAGGAGCCCCAGTGAGATTGAAAATTCAGAACCTGAGGGGTGGTGTGTACATTCAGTGTGGGTCTGTAGTGTTTATTCAGTGTAGGGGTGGGGGTGTATACAGTCCTATTCAGTGTCAAAGGGGAGGGTGTGTGAATTTATTTTTCAGTCTTTGGGGGTGAGGTGTGTATGCAATTTGGGGTAGGGGTGTTACAGTCCAGGGGTGGAGCTTGTTGTATTGTGGGCCAAAGGGTGTCAGGGTGTGTATGTTGAGGAGTCAAAGGCAATGGAAGAAGGCTAATATGTTCAACAAACTATAACATCTAGGTATTACTTCAGGATTCAAAGGGAAGGGTTTGCGAAGTTTGTATAAAGGACATATTGATTTCTTTTGATCACTATATTGCTGAGAATTTTCTAAGGCAAAATTATACCATAACTCAGATACTCACATATTGAATTAGTGTTATTCAGCCTTCACTGTTGAGTGAGTGAGTGATTTACGCCGCTTTTAGCAATATTCCAGCAATATCACAGTGGGGGGACACCAGAAATGGGCTTCACACATTGTACACTCACTGTTTAGAAGCAGACAGAAGAAATGATTTTCCAAACCCTCATTTTGTTCCTACAGTATTTCTTGTGTCATGGAGTTGTTGTGAAACAACTTTGGTATCATAGGGTTCTGCCACAAATAAACTTGACAGATATAGAGTTTCATCTTTTTCAATCATGCATGTCATAGGGGGAAAACTCACCTGTTCTAATTATGGTAATTAAATGACTGAAGCCACTTGATAATGACAGCATTTCATGGATATTTTACCGAAAAACTACAGAACATATATAACAGTGTTGTGTTGCATGATTAAAAGAGAGTGTGTGTTGTTTCACAGGACCATGAGTTCCGACGCTCCGCCACAATCATGGGCCCTTTCCCCCAGGAGACCTTGAAGAATGAGCTGCCCGACGCCACAGGGGACAACAAGTACACCAAGAACATGGTTCCTGGCTATACAGGTGAGCTATACAAACTTGACAGGTGAGCTGCACAGATGAGCCATACACACTATGTACAAGTGACATTCTTCCATACTGGTGATATATACTCAGTTGATGAGAGAGTGATACTTGCTATGTAAGTGAGCTATATACAGGAGAACTACATTCACTTTACAGGTGAGTTATACTTGCAACACAAATCCAGGTGAGCTATTGGAGAGGGGCTCTATACTTGTTATACAATTGGGATATACTCTGTGTATACATATCAGAGGAGCTATACTCCCTATACACATATACAGGTGAGGTAGACTCATTATGTGCATTTCAGGGGAGCTATACTCCCTATACATATATACAGGTGAGGTAGACTCATTATGTGCATTTCAGGGGAGCTATACTCCCTATACACATATACAGGTGAGGTAGACTCATTATGTGCATATCAGGGGAGCTATAATTCCTATACACATACAGGTGAGGTAGACTCATTATGTGCATTTCAGGACTCATGTGTGCATTTCAGGAGCTATACTCCTATATACATATACAGGTGAGGTAGACTCATTATGTGCATTTCAGGGAGCTATACTTCCTATACACATACAGGTGAGGTAGACTCATTATGTGCATTTCAGGGAGCCATACTCCCTATACATATATACAGGTGAGGTAGACTCATTATGTGCATTTCAGGGAGCTATACTCCCTATATACACATATACAGGTGAGGTAGACTCATATACATGTGCATTTCAGGGAGCTATACTCCCTATACATATACAGGTGAGGTAGACTCATTATGTGCATTTCAGGGGAGCTATACTCCCTATACACATATACAGGTGAGGTAGACTCATTATGTGCATTTCAGGGGAGCTATACTCCCTATACATATACAGGTGAGGTAGACTCATTATGTGCATTTCAGGGAGCTATACTCCTATATATATATACAGGTGAGGGTAGACTCATGTGCATTTCAGGGGAGCTATACTCCCTATACACATATACAGGTGAGGTAGACTCATTATGTGCATTTCAGGGGAGCTATACTCCCTATACACATATACAGGTGAGGTAGACTCATGTGCATTTCAGGGGAGCTATACTCCCTATACACATATACAGGTGAGGTAGACTCATGTGCATATCAGGGGAGCTATACTCCCTATACACATATACAGGTGAGGTAGACTCATTATGTGCATATCAGGGGAGCTATACTCCCTATACACATATACAGGTGAGGTAGACTCATTATGTGCATTTCAGGGGAGCTATACTTCCTATACACATATACATTATGTGCAGGTCTGCTATTGTAGTGAGATGATTTGGAGTTTAACGTCAGCTTCAGGCTGTAGCCCATGTCAGTCAGCTTTTGAAGCCAGTGTGTTCTTTGAAGTATATATACTGTTTAAGAGGTAACAGGGACGGATACCTCTAAATCAAAGTGAACAAATCTAGTACTTCCTGTTTTTTGCTTTGCACATTTATCAATGGAAGTCAATTACTAAACTATCGATAGTTACACACACTATTGATAGTTTTCATTTGTGCCATCGATTAATTGCTATCGGAGACTCAACAATTGCAATCCATCGATAGTTCGATGCATCATTACAGCCCTATGTGTATCAATGGTGTATATATACCTCGTTAGGATGAGAAAGTCACAATAACTCGGTGCGCCTAGTGGCAGCAAGAGTTGTATACTCCCCAGGGAGTTGAGATTACTAATCTGATGTGCAGTTGATTTGACATCCAATGATCGAGGGAAAAAATACCAGCGCCTTGAGCATGCATTAGTGCGTGGATATGTGCTATATAAATATCCTATAATAATAATAATAATAATATATTAACTGCTATAGCAATGGTGTTCCTATTCTAGGCTACATACCAAGAATGCCCTTCAAGTTTGGTGGCACCTACAAGGATGACTGTGATGTGTGTATCGACACCTTTATGAGCAACACGAAGAATCACGACTTTAAAATGAGAGACCTCCAGAGACAAATACGGAGCTACCCTCGTCTAACTGCCATCTCCCATGACCCCACAGTCCGTGACAAGCTCAACCTATACAGGGATACACACCCAACACAGCCGATGTTACTAGGTACAGCCATTTGGATGTAGTAATAGTAGCAGTAGTAGTAGTAGTAGTAGAAACAATTATATCAAATTAATGCTGCCCATGCAAGTATCTAATATGTGGCAGGATTTCTGCAAAATTTATAAAGTCGATTGGCTCCTTTAAATATAATGTTTTAAAATAATTAAGAATTGTTGGTTTTTGGTCTTGGTTTTGGTCAAATATGTTTATTTCAGAGACTAGAGTAGTAGTAGTAGTAGTAGTAGTAGTAGTAGTAGTAGTAGTAGTAGTAGTAGTAGTAGTATAGAAACAATTTCATCCAATACTGCCCATGCAAATATCTAATATGTGGCAGGATTTCTGCAAAATTGATAAAGTCGATTGGCTCCTTTGAATATAATGTTTTAAAATAATTAAGAATTGTTGGTTTTTTGGTCTTGTTTTTGGTTAAATATGTTTATATCAGAGACTAGAAGTAGTAGTAGTAGTAGTAGTAGTAGTAGTAGTAGTAGTAGTAGTAGTAGTAGTAGTAGTAGTAGTAGTAGTAGTATATAGTGCTACACATAATGTACAATTGTACAAATGGAATATATACAGTGAGTATTTTGAAGTCAGTGTTGTTTGAGGAAAGACATAAGTACATGTATGCAGTTATCCTTTCTACATAAGTTTAAAAATGCTCAAAATCTTTTGCTTTTGACAATAAAGTCATGAACTGATTGAATGATGTCAATGTTTGTGGAACTGCTGACTGAACTATGGCCATGAAGTATTGACTTCAGGTCGTACCCATGTATGTTAAAGTACATAGTCTTTCGGATATTGTCGTATTTGTGGCCGGTAAAGAAAAAATTAGTTGTATTCTCAAATTGATACCCACATGTGCAGTCAGGGGTTCCTGATACATGGTACCTAAACTTATCAGCATCTAAGTCGCTGCAGTAGTTCAGTCGTAGTGGTAGTTGCGGAGGTAGGTGTAGAACTAGTTGTAGCAGATATTCCTGTCTTAGATATTTATGGACTTCTGACTAAATCCTGTTCACCTTACAGAGGACAAGCGGAGTCTGACCGAGGCACCGATGCCAGGTTACCAGGGTTACGTGCCACGAATCAGACCCACAGAGCTTGGACTTGGATGTCGGTACCATGAGAGCTCCAAGATTGGATTCAATGCATTTGTACAAGAAACCCAGCGTCATAAAGAACTCCAGTCAGATCCCAACTACAAGATAACCGTGAACAGGTAGGTCGTTGACCTTGACCTACTGACCTCAATATAGTGCTGAGTGAGTGAGTGAGCTGAGGTCTTTAACACCCGTGTAGCTACTGTTGACAAAGTTTATATTCTTTGATATTTGAACCGAGTATGTTTACTGCCATCCAGGTTCTGAAAACATTGACTATGTGTGGTTTGAATATGATCACTGGATTGTCTGGTCCAGACTCATTTATTTATAGTCGCCATATTGCTGGAATTATAATGAGTGCAGTATTAAACAAACAAATAATCAATCAATCAGTGTTTGGATAATTTGATAATAATTTATTATTTGTCAATTTCTGTCAATTTCCCAAAGTGCTCAGAGCTCTCATTACAATGAATATGGTATGTACTATGTAGGGGTGGGTATTGCAGAGAAATTTCATATTGCAGATATATTGCGATACCAAAGCATATATTGCGATATGTATTGCAATATATTGCAAGAAGTTTTTTTAACAAAAGACTACTTATAATTGAGTTAATGACTGATGTATAAAGCAAAAACACGACAAAATCACTATGCTTGATTAAGCCTTAATCAAAACTTTTGATCATGAGAAAATGAAAATGTAAATAATACATGTATTTGGCACAAATGAAACAAGGAAAAGAACAATTTAACATCAACACAGTGGTTACTAGTGGTAACTTGTTTCTCCACTCTCAAAAAAAACGCCCTGAGATTTTAGACAGCAGCTTGACCTGGTCAGGCTATATCAGAGATCACTGGTCATTAATAAGTAAATATTGAAACATTCAGATGCAAAACATTGAGAAACGCTTAAAATTCAGAACACAACTTCAAACCGAACTTAACAATCCAGTTAAATATAATTTTCACCACGATCAATCCCACCAGCATTTCCACATTTGCCACAATCATCAACATCTTCATCAGTTCATCATCGCCACACCATCACCAAAATCATCATCAATCATCACCATCACCATTATCATTTTACAACATGACTTCAGAGTGAAAAACGAAATAGACGAAGGTTTCCGAACGTTACAAAGTTTTCCGAATGCATGTCAAAATACCGGTTTTCGATCAGTGTATCGCAATACGTATCGTTTTCATGTCTGAACCGGTAAATACTGGTAAACCGGTTATATTGTGCAGCCCTAGTACTATGTGATATATATGTGTTATGTCCAGTGTGATATGTACTATATATATGAGGTATGTGTTGAGTGATTTCATAATATGCTATGTTTGTCATCACAGACCCCCAGCAGGTCCGCGGGCATCACAGAGTGCCCCATCTAACTTCAGTCGGCGCCTATATCTCCAGGACGGCATGATCCCCAAGTACACCGGCTATGTCCCTCGTGAGTAGTTACCTCATCACAGAAACAGTCTGTCATCGTCTTATTGTCAAAACACTGATTATTCTTGAAGAGACATGGTGTTGAATTTTGAGACATGCTATTGTTTTGGTCACTGCCTTAAGACATATAATGTTTATCTATGAAGGAGGAACCGAAATTGTTTTGTTTTAATAAAGTTTTCATTTCAGGACAGAAATGTTTTAAAAACAACTAAATCACAACTCTCCCATAAAGTATGAAATGCTTGTGTTCCCGGGGTCCGTTATCTGGAGTATCCAACCTTTTCATGGATGATATTAGCAAGGATGATCAGACTTCTGATTTTCAACATTTGGGTGCCCTGCTTTTCCTGGTGCAATGCTTTTCCTCTGACATTGCAGCAGAGTGCCTGGGTTAAATCGTTCAATTAATGCATGATGCTCATTAGGGCTGGGACGGTAGGAAACAATGGAATCGAGTACCCGCATGTACTTACCCGAATCGGAATCGAGTACCCGGAAATGTAAGGAATACAGCGCTTCTGTCAACTTTCTGAATATTCAATTATAGAAAACTTATAAGGGTGTCAATAAGACATTAAAATGATCTCAAGCTGTATAATTTACGTCTGTTTAACCAATATAAAGAGTAACACCATTACTTACATTGCTCGTTAAAATAAACTTTTCGTTCCTACTGTTACTGTAACTTGACTACTCACTGCACATGCGCAGATAAATTACAGTCGTTAATAATAACCTCCATGTAAATGTGTTACGTTATGATGAAAAAGACAAGTTATTATCTGCCCTTGTCATTACAGAGTTCTCTCTCTTTCCGGGTACTCGATTCCGGCTGTACCCGACCCGGATTCGAGTACCCGAGTACCCGTCCCAGCCCTAATGCTCATACAGTACATTCATACAAGCTGACAAGTTTGGGTCCCGTTGATAATCATTTTCGGAACTGGATTCTGAATCAGGATGTTTGTAATTATAGCTCATGTGTATATCTATAGAAAGGTCCTAAAACTTGCAGATACTGCAAATAATTTGAACTAAACACTTATATAACTTATTAGAATATCATGGTATTAATATTTCCTTTGCAGAGAGAAGATATGCATTTGGAAATACGTACGGCGACACAACACGAAGCATGGATGTCTGCTCGCATGGACAAGACAGCTTTGGAACGCATGTTAAAACTGTACGATTCTCCCAAGCCGTGGAGTAGAGACTCTGTCTGACATCATCTTGTAAAGCCATCATCATTGCTTGACCATCAGATGTTGAGGTCGTCGACCTCTGCCCATCACTGACCTTAGCCACCACCAACTAATGTTTATCATTGGCATTAGTTTTTGTAATGTTCTGTGGAGCATTAATCGTAATAAGAGTATTTTTTTAAAAAGTGTAAAAAGTAAAAATATTCACAGAATAAGGACCTGGGCCCCATTTTACAAAGTGTATAACTGCGCCTGTTGAAACTCCCATTGTTTAACACAGTCTTACGACAATGGCAATGGTACGACTGTCGTAACTCCAATAGTTAAACACTTATGACAGTGGTAAGGCTACGACTGTCGTAACTCCCATAGTTTAACTCAGTCTTACGATAATGGCAATGGTACGACTGTCGTAACTCCAATAGTTAAACACTTATGACAGTGGTAAGGCTACGACTGTCGTAACTCCCATAGTTTAACTCAGTCTTACGATAATGGCAATGGTACGACTGTCGTAACTCCAATAGTTAAACACTTACGACAGTGGTAAGGCTACGACTGTCGTAACTCCAATAGTTTAACACAGTCTTACGACAAAGGCAAAGTACGACTGTTGTAACTCCAATAGTTTAACACAGTCTTACGACAATGGCAATGTACGACTGTCGTAACTCCAATAGTTTAACACAGTCTTACGACAATGGCAATGTACGACTGTTGTAACTCCAATAGTTAAACACTTACGACAGTGGTAAGGCTACGACTGTCGCAACTCCATGTGGTAATGTGTACACTATGACTGTCGTAAATCCTATAGTTTAACGCAGACCTATGACAGTGGTAATGCTATGACTTTTAGTAACTCACATAGTTTGACACAGGCTTACAACAATCGCAGTGCTGTGACGGCTTTGTTAAATGGGGACCTGAAAAAAACATCTTACAAATATTTTACATATTTGTTTATCCATTGGCAAGACACTCTTTCCGTCTTAGACTGTCTCCTGCAGCACTGGAACGTCTGTCTCACAGACATTAGCGCTTGTCTCCTGTACATTGATCAACCATTCTGTCTTTTATTGATAGCTGTGGTGGAAAGAAGCTGTCTGAGCTGAAAATAACACTCTCTCATTAATCATTGAGTGCTTTCTGTCAGGGAGTGTTATCGCAGGTGGTTCAACTCTCTGTGCAGAATTATGACCCCTGGGAGACAGGATCTGCTGATCAATGGTCCACATTGATTATGATCCTCGGTCTGCAGCAACCTAATCATGCTTAGGGTTTCACTAAAGTGGAAACTGTCAAAACCTGCATCGCTTGAACTTTTCTCTAACATTTTGCAAGTTGCAAACCTTAGAGAATAGTGTTCAAGGCGCAATTTATTCACTCTATCTGAAAATATAACAAAATGTGTAATGGAAAGCAAATGTTGGTATGACTGAATAGTAATATTTATCAAACAACTATGGAGTAAAATTAAAACTATTTCATGTATTTCCACCAGTTTTTCTCTGATGTTTATGTTTGAAATTGATGGAGACTGTATATAATAATGCTTTCCCTACAACTTCAGGAGGGTTTGTTTATAGTGTAGGAAGTTGTGTACACAGCATGAAGGGTCTTTCGAGCTAAAGAGGTCAGTGTTTCTTAGGTCTGATTCCATAGGCAAACAATATGATACAGAATTGTAGTTAGGAAATATGTTTTTGTCAGTGAAAGAAACCACCATTGTTGTATGTTGTGTTTACAACATATTATGGCTGTCACAATTCTGCTTTTGTTTTCAGTATTTCCCATGATAAACCAGCAGACTTGTTTAATTCTAACCAACAGATAGCCTTTACAACATGGTATATAATAGCAACCTGATTAAACCTACAGGATCTGTGTTCATGGTTACTTTGTAGAAACTAGTTTCCTGGAGAGGTATCTCCTATGTATGGCACTACCTCAGATGGCTCTTGTCAGTCTTCTCTTGACAAAGAGAAGGCAAAGCATCTGGAGAACAATTTCTTTCAGTAGATTTGAGTTCCATGTAGAAACTAGTTTCCTGGAGAGGCATCTCCTGTGTATAGCACTACCTCAGATGGCTCTTGTCAGTCTTCTCTTGACAAAGAGAAGGCTACAAGGATTTAGAGATCAAATATTCAGTTCAGTAGGTTTGCTTTCATGTGGAAACTAGTTTCCTGGAGAGGTTTCTCCTGTGCATGGCACTACCTCAGATGGCTCTTGTCAGTCTTCTCTTGACAAAGAGAAGGCTACAAGGGTTTGGAGATCAAATATTCAGTTCAGTAGGTTTGCTTTCGTGTGGAAACTAGTTTCCTGGAGAGGTTTCTCCTGTTTATAGCAGTACCTCAGATGGCTCTTGTCAGTCTTCTCTTGACAAAGAGAAGGCTTCAAGGGTTTGGAGATCAGATAAGTTTACATTCCTTTTATGGTTTATATGGTTGATATGGTAACAGTTTAATGCAGTTTCCTGGATATTGCTGGTAATGTTGTCAAATTTTGAGGGAAGAGAGGAAAATAGTATTTCTGTTGCATGTCCTTTCAACTTTGTAAGATTTCTCTAAAAGAGAAGACTTGCTTGATTTTGGAAGGACATTTAGTTTTGGGATTACACCAGTGCCTGTAGGTTTATGTGGTTGCAAAAACATATTTCCCAAACTACTTTTTGGTAAAAGCGTGCAACACGTATCTTTCAGAATCTTTAACGAAGAGAACGATTACTTCCATTTTTGAAGTAATGTTTGGTGTTAAAGGTAACAATGTCTTAGAACATTCTACAATTCTATACACATTGCAAATACTGCTGTATTAGGAAAGTAGGACATTTCTAAGTCTCTGAAAACAGAACAATTCTTCATTAGATATGCAAAAACTGTAATTAAAATTACACAATGCTAGGATATATTTCTTTGGGTTAATTAATAGTATTCTGTATTATATTTTACTGATGACTGCGCCAGAATTCATCCTGCTATATTATTGTGCATGTTTGAACTTGATCGCCGGGAAACGTGTGCACAAGCTGATTGCTATTTCCGGCTCAAATACACACGGTAATCTTTATAATTTATAGAGCAAAAACTGTAATTAAAATTACACAATGCTAGGATATATTTCTGTGGGTTAAATAATAGTATTCTGTATTATATTTTACTGATGACTGCGCCAGAATTCATCCCACTATGTTGCTGTGCATGTTTGAACTTGATCGGCGGGAAACGTGTGCACAGCTAATTGCTATTTCCGGCTCAAATACACACTGTAATCTTTATAATTTATAGAGCAAAAACTGTAATTAAAATTACACAATGGTAGGACATATTTCTGTGGGTTAAATAATAATATTCTGTATTATATTTTACTGATGACTGCGCCAGAATTCATCCCGCTATATTATTGTGCATGTTTGAACTTGATCGCCGGAAACGTGTGCACAGCTGATTGTACGATAAATGTCATAATGACTAATATGTAATAACATGTTGAAATAATGAAAACGTACAGGTTAATATGTATTTTATTCATCATTCACAACATAAACGCTGTAATCGTGGCAAACATCCTGGCAGATGTACCGGTAACCTGTAACATCGTCCTGGCAGGGCACGGGCGAGCTAAAAAATATTTCCGTGAAATTGTATCTCATAGATAAGACGACCCCCTTCTACAGACATATTTTTTGGTCCTCAAAATTCGGCTTAAAGACGGTAATATATGGTACTACTTGCCTATAACAATTTACAAGAATCTAGGACTGATATCTTTAGCGTTTCTTGCCCATGTTGTAAGGACAGACGGAAATGGGTCAGTTTAAGCACTGAATTTCAATAATACATTTTCAGATATATCTACTTTCATGAAGGATATGTTGGATTTGAATACATTACACCTGGCCATTGTTATATTTTCAGACAGACCTGTGTTTTCTTTAGCTTGGTTCATGACATATTACCTATAGTCCGTTTGGTTCAAAAGCGGACCGATGAATTGCAATCTAACTTTCGGAAACTAATGAATATAATACTCAATGAAATGCATCATTCAGATATACCTACTCTGTGAGGTTTTGCAGAATTTATGAAGTTGTTTAACAAACTATGTTGGATTTTCAATACATTTGTTTGCAGAGAAAGGGACACCTGCGAGAAAGGTCCATTGTTAATGAATCAATATTTTCAGACAGCCCTGTGTCCCTTTTCTGCACTCCTCCCTCGTTAACAAATAGTGAACTGTTCAAAATTTTAATGATAGTTTGTTAAACAACTTTTTAATTTTAGAACATAAATGCAAACAATCGAAATTGGGATTGTGAATTCATTTTAACGGACTATAGATATGTCGAAACTGGGGCCATTTCAATGGAAAGGATATTACATATACAACTGCTTCAGCATTTGATACAGTGATAAAAAACACAACCATCATAAATTTACTGATGTACTTGAAATACCTTATATGTAAATGAAAACACCAATATCTAGGGATTCAAATGTTAAATAAATTTAACTCAACTCCAGTGCAGTTCATTAATAGCTCAAATAAAAAACACCATTTTCAAGGAGTTCTCACATTCTACTCATAAGTCAAACACCTAGGGCTTTTTTCATGTGACAGATTGACTTAGTAATATGAAAAAAGTGGTCAGCTTACAATGTTTGACATTATGTACATGAAATGCATTCTGTCGCTGCATCATTGTCAACATATAGACATGAAGTCTGTGAAGTATCAAGTCAGTAACCATCATTTCCCAGACTGTATATTCTTCTACTGTATATATATATATACCATACTTTGCCTTCCAGTATTAACCAGTGGCTTTTGACTGGCTGTTGTCCTATATGCTCATTTCATTGGCTGTGACAAATTGGGATGCTTTTGTTCTGTCTCTTCTTCCTGTTGTATAATCCCTATAGAGCAATTGTGATACTTCTGTGCAGTTTTATGTGTACTGTATATATAGGTATAGATATATACCAGGCTTGTGTATTTAGTCAGATTCAATCAAGTTTGTACAGGATGTTGTCATGTTTGTTTATGTGTGTACCTGAATATTAGGGGTGTAGCGATACAGTGATACAGATTTGTATACCGATACAAATCCCTTGTTAAAGTACAATGATTTAAGATTTCTGTATTGTGATACCCATGATATGTTAAATTACAAACTAATAATATGGAACAAACTTTATGGACAACAACTTCTAAACAAAATATTGATAGTCAGATTCTTTACTGTTGTCAAGCATAATCAAGCAACATGCTTGACAACGGTACAAGAATCTATATCATACATGCTTCCTCGAATAAAAAGAAGTTGTTATCCATAAAGTTTGTTCTATATTGTACTTCCCAACTTCTAAAATGCCCCTCAAAGAAGTTACAAACTAATAGTGGCATAATAAATAGTGAATAATAACAACAAATATTTCAATAGAGCAGATTCTCTTGTATTTCCAGGCTGGCTATCACAGCATTCACAGTGCTCTACAGCCAAAAGTATTTCCAAGGAAGAGATTTTATGGATGTCAACTTCTTTACTGTGAGAAACACAACATTTCAAAGTATATACATACTCCTTCCTCAAGGAAGAGAGTTTCATGGATGTCAACTTCTTTATCATGAGGAAAACAACACAATAAAGATGTTGACATCCGCAAAACTCTCTTCCTTATGTGTATCACTTCTAAATGCCATTCAAAGACCTAAAAATATTATTCCAAACAATATCCAATCATCAGTTTCAAAACAAAAATAAATCAGGGTTGTTATTTACCTGTTGAAAAAGCCTATCAGCTTTTAATATATATACTTAATGCTGTATCAGCATACAAATCATCTCCCACATGGTATCGGGATACACATCTCAATCTCACCATATCATTACATCTCTATTCAGTATCCATATATGAAGTTTAAACTGGTCAGTTCCTGTCTGTTATACCAAAGGTTCTCTGCACAACCAATCAAAATGTGAAAAGGCATTTGTGAATGGCCTACTATAATGGGTCCCATTTTGCGAAACTTTTAAAATATTATTTAATGGAAATATTTTTTAAAAAGTTTGATTTGTCCTGTTAAATCAATATATTTTCAGGATGAAACAAATTCAAAGATTCAAACACTAACAGAAAGGGAGGTACATTTAAAAGTTTATTTCAGTTTTTATCTTCTTTAAAAAAAAATTCTGAAAGACATACTTCTTGGGGATGACTTTGTGAAAAATCATGTTTTATAATGTTCTTGTTTTAACAAATGGCCCTGTGATTGTGGAATAAATTAAGCAACCATGATAAACCCCCGAAAGGCCTAATCAAATTCTACATCTGCTACATCTAATTACTATGCATGTTCTGCAACACCTTGCACTCAGCATTTAACACATCTGAAAACATGCACAATCATCATATGCACTGCGAAAAAGAACACACATTTATTGTGAAAAACATTTTTTTCCACACACTGTCTCCTAAATCATTCCATATTAATCATGTCTTATATTTTTGTATATACAATTACATAATAAAATATAATTACAGTATACCATGGTTATACCATATAGACACATTTTGACTAACGTATACAGGACCATTAAAACAATTTGTTATATCTGTCAGTTTGTTATCGCTGAGTTTGTTATATACATAGTTAAATGTGACTGAGGCAATCCAGTGTTAATGCTAAGGTGATTGTAATTCCCATACTTTAACATTGGTTACGATCATTCTAGTGATATTAAGATGACTTTGTGAAAGAAGCCTTGGACCTGCTATAGGATTGAGGGGCGTGTAATCTTATGTATGAGCATTCATTGTATTAATTATTTTATTCAAAATCTGTTGTATTATTATTTTGGAGGGACGTTACATTTATTATCAATAATTTATTGATTACTGATTGCCATGTTTATTTAATAAATATTTACTGTATTTATCCAAAGCACTAATATTTGCATTAACCATTTACTGGTGAGACAATCCTGCACAAATGTTACTGATTATTTGGTCTCAGTTTAAAGAAGTAGAACTATCAGAATTATGTTTTCTTGCTTTAGCAATGCCCTTTGCTGTGCATAACCTCATTAAAATCTAATCAAGTCTGTGATATAAGCAAAAAAAGTGATTAAACAGTGACCAAAATATGTTTAAGCAGATGTTTTGAACATCAATTTCATGATGGCTTGGGCTTCTTGGAAGAAACAGCATCGAAGGCCAAATTTGTTTAAATACCATTATTCTGAAAATTATTTTAACTTGTTGAACTGTCTGTTTAGTGAAACCTCTTTATACTAACTGTGTTCAGTGTAATTATATGTGTACAATAAAATGGAAAGCTTTGAAGATAAAGCTGATTTTTGTGTTTCTGTTCTTTTTCGCTGGGGCAGTGGGGTAGCTTAGTGGTTAAAGCGTTCCCTCTTCATGAGAAAGATCCATGTCCAACAATATGTGAAGCCCATTTCTGGTGTCTTCTTCGTGATATTGCTGGAATATTGATAAATAGCGGTGTAGAACCATACTCACTCACTCATTTCTTCTTTGGAGGCCAGCAAACAAGCTCTCAAATTAGTAGGGATTTTCTTATGATTATGGAAATGTTTTGTCGGTTTCATGAAAATATTTTGAGACATTCACAAACTGTCATCGATAAATGCACATGTTTGTAGACCTGTCTGTTTGTTTGATTACTTGTTTAATATTCAACAATATTGTAGCTATATGACGGCCATCTACAAATAATCAAATATGGACCAGACAATTCAGTGACTGACATCGTGGGCATTGCATTTGGGATATGACAACATGCATCAGTGAAGTCTGCGAGTCTGATCAACTGATTCCGTTGTAGAAGTTGCCTCAAACGACAAATCTGGTCCTTTGGCCTACCAGGATGTTCGCAGGATCATAGTTGTCATATTGTGGCTCATTATTTGGTGTAGCAAATCATGTGTCTTTCTACCCTTCACCAACAAACAGTAAAATGAAAACTCTAGTCATTAGGGTAAATATTTATTCCATCAATTTCGTAACCTGCCGGACAAAATACAGTCACCAGTGTACAGTTATTGACTGGACGCACAAACGTAACCTCTAGTTTATGACTGCATTAGACTTGTAAACAGACAAAAATATGTCAAAACAATGACATCCATCGAGTTACTCCCCTTGTCTTCTGTTCTGAGAAACCCATAGAGTTACTTCCCTTGCCATCTGATCTGAGAAACCCATACTACTAGAGTTACTGCCCTTGTCTTATGATATGAGAAACCCATAGAGTTACTCCCCTTGCCTTCTGATCTGAGCACCTATAGAGTTACTGTCCTTGCCTACTGGTCTGAGTTACTGCCCTTGCCTTTTTATGTGAGAAACCCATAGTGTTACTCCCCCTGCCTTCTGATCTGAGAAACCCATGGAGTTACCCCCTTGCTTTCTAACCTGAGAAACCCATAGAGTAACTGCCCTTCCTCCTAATTAGACGGGTCACCATGTCGTAATATATATCACTAGGAAGGCCCCTGCTCATGCTCGACTTCTTGTCTGAGACACAAAATATTTACTCTTGAATAATGCGTTTCTGCTGACGCCCCATGACCACGCCCCTTCCCTCGCTCTTGAATAATGAATGCTAAAGCAGGCGTATTTAGTCGTATTCACTCTAACTCAGTTCTAGCAGGGATAATCTACAACGTTATATAGTCTCCCTGGTTCTAGTTACAAAATGAACATTTATTCCCCTTTCCTTCTGATCAGCGAAACGCCATCCAACAGAGGCAACATGATCTGGAAAGAAATGGAAAACTGGAGTCGGACTAATACAAGGAAAGTATATATAGGCTACACACAGAGACACACACAGATTTGCAGTGTGTGGACAATGTGAAGAACATGTTATATGCCTGACGGATTCAATGCTTTTATTAAACTTCTAAAATGGACTACCTTCAGAAACAGCAAAAAATGAAAGATTGAAGATGATGTACGTGCAGCACATGACAAGTAACGGTTAATGGAGGTACAAAATGATTCATTATTGAAACATGTGAGCTGCACTCTCTGATGTTACAAATGGAAGTTCAATCTGTTAATATCTGCGCAATCCCTCCGTAATGAATATATGTATGGAACCCATTTGTGGTGTCTCCTAGTTTGATATTCCTGGAATATTCGTAAATACGTATTAAAATCATTCACTCGCCCACTGAGTATGTAGTGTAACAGTACAAGATGACCAAATAATGCCTTAATAAACTCGTATCTCACATTTCATGTTCCTACCGAAAATGAACACATATACGCCGTATGGACACTAGTGTTGGGAATTGGTTGAAACTCCGCAATTGAATATTCCTTCAATTACCAACAGCAATCATCGACCAGAAATGGTTAGCTTCATTTTCCAGATTTTCCTATCCAGGTTGTTATTGCAGATATGTATAACATGATTCGGCGTGACTTTAAAGCCATGACGCTATAACCACTAGGCTTCCTGGAGTCCCAAAGCCCCGAAGACACAAGTGAACATGTACGCCGTATGGACAACATACGTTCCATTGTAAAGATTTCACTGACTAATAAGACCGAGGGTTTATGCATTATGAGATAATGCCCTCAAATTACATTGGTCGTTTGGTCACTGCTAAAATACATGGAATTTCAATTAAAAGAAAACCAACAATGAAGGAATTTGACTGTAAGTTTACTCAAAACCTGTTTCTGACTGGGTTTTCTTTCACACTGAATCTTAATATCGTATTTTGATTCGAATCGTGTTATGGTAAAGTGTCGCTAAGCTTGTCTCACCTGCTCCACCCTCTCATCCTCCTTGACGGCTTGATTAAACTGGTCCATCACCGTGTCAGGGTTGGTGTATGCAGCTCCGTGCGCTAAGGAGTTGTCCACAACCAGCGTCGCGTCGGGAGCGAGTAGTTCACTGTCCAGAAGCTTCTGCCAAAGAAATATAGCATGAGCATGAGCATCGATCTGCGCAATTGGGAACCGGTGACATGTGTCAACCAAGTCAGCGAGCCTGAACACCTTCCTATGGCACCCGTGAAGGTCCGGGTTAGAATTGATCTTCACGAACCCATGCTTGTCGTAAGAGGCGACTAACGGGATCGGGTGGTCAGGCTCGCTGACTTGGTTGACACATGTCACCGGTTCCCAATTGCGCAGATCGATGCTCATGCTGTTGATCACTGGATTGTCTGGCCCAGACTCGATTATTTACAGACTGCCACCATATAGCTGAAATATTGCTGAGTGGGGCGTAAACATAATAAACTCACTCACTCACTCTCCAATCGTTTTTATTACGTCAACAACATACCTGGTATCATACTTGTACCCGACCCATAAATCAATACATGCATGTTTGTGACGCTGTCAATAGAAGGTATCAGTCAGATCTCACACTTCTGTTGTCTCTTTTTAATGGTACTCGGATTAACTTGATACATGTGAACTGTGTATATCTATACTGTACTTGTAGTCTTGTTCACTGATGTTTACTTAAAGTGTAAGTGAACATAGGGCATGTATTGCCTCCAGCACACCACCACCTGGGGTAGTGGGGTAGGATAATGGTAAAAGAGTCTACTCGCCACGCCGAAAACCCCGGTTCGATACCCCACAAGGGAGAAATGTGTGACTCCCATTTCTGGTGTCTCCTGCCGTGATATTGTTGGAATATTGCTAAAAGCGGCATAAACAAATACTCACTCACTCACTCACTCACTCACACCATCACTGACCTTGAAGTAGCCAAGGTAGCCTCCTTTATCAGCATCCAGGTAGACAAGGTGGAACTGCTGTCCTTCCTCAGCCAGGGTGTCCAGGGTGTCCAGAGCTGGACCTGGACAGAGAATGATGTGTCCGTCAGTCATAAAGTGTTGGAAAATTGTCAGTGAATGATTGAACCTGTCAGCTGATGAAACAGAATGTGTGAGCTAGGGTCAGTGAGTGTCGGTCTGTCTTTGTTTGCTATAAGGGTAATGCTATTTTTGAGGGCATTATCATTTGCAGAAGCCCGAGGTCTTCTGTTAACTGCCCGACGAAGGAGGGCAGTTGAAAAAGACCTAGGGCTTCTGCAAATGATCATGCCCTCAAAAATAGCATTACCGTTATTATTGCTAAAATACATGGAATTTGTGTTGAAAAGAAAAAGGAAACAATGAAGGAATTTGACTGTAAGTTTACTCAAAACCAACTTCTGACGGGGTTGACTGACCGAATGCAATAACGTCATCGAACAATTCAAGTGACGTCACAACAGAACGTGACGATATTCGACCTTGGCCTTTGACAAACATGTCAAACTATGTCAACACGTCAGTTGTCAGTGTTCGGTTTTGGTCCAGCACCAGAAAGAAAGCCAATATTACCGCTATTTAAAGCGGGAATTCGGGTTGCTTTGACATGTTTGCCCCAGAATATCCGCCAGTCTAAAGCCAATGTCGAATGAACCGACGCACCCACTATGACGTCACTTGACAACAGAACTGATAGTGGCCCGTCGTTAAGGTTGAGCGGTCCAATATCATTTGCAGCGGCCCGCAAATTTCTGATAATGGGAGGGCCTTTTCATGATAATTCCATGTGTTTTAGCTATAATTGTTGTTTAACACCACACTCGGCTATATTCCAGCTGCATGATGGCCGTCGGTCAATAATCGAGTATGGTCCAGACAATCAAGTGATTGACAACATGAGCATCGATCTACGCAACTGGGAAACGATGACAAGTGTCAACCAAGTCAGTGAGTCAGACCTCCCATTCCCAGTAGTCACTGCATTGGTTGCTCAAGATCATTTCTAAACCGGATTTTCACGGGTAGACAGTGAGTGAGTGAGTCTGACATTGAAACAGAAGGGGAGAGCTGAGAAGATACATTCCTCAAGGCACTGCAGAGTGACATCGATCACAGCCTATAGACCCGGAATTTGTTAAGCAACCCTATAATGAATCACTTCACCATTAATGTGAATTGCAGTGACAATGAATATGACAAAAAGTGATTTATCGCAAGGATCTGATCATTCATTTTTATGATGACCTTAAAAAAGTTAAAAGAATAGTGTTTGCAGGCTCATTTTGTCAGCAGTTTCATTCCAGCTTATGTTTCATAAGTCACTGACAGATGTTTGGTGTGTTTAAATTCTTTCGTACATATTGTTCATTGGTGGATGTGGGAAAGTCTGTTCATAGAAACGCTGTAACAGCACGAGTGAGTGTGTTTAGTTTAACACCGCTTTCCGCAATATTCCAGCAATATCACGGCGAGGGACACCAGAAATGGGTTTCACACAATGTACCCATATGGGGAATTAAACCCGGGGCTTCAGCGTGACGAGCGAATGCTTTATGCACTAGGCTACCCACGCCCTTTAACAGCATGGAGAAATTGACATTATTTCACTGGCATTATTTCGAAATTGGCAAAATCAATGTAGTAAGGAGCTCGAGATTATAAGATACAGGGCAAAGTTGTGAAAATATCGTACCTTGTCTAATGTCAATTTTCTCTCCAGATGGCAATGTTCTAAATGTTTCCTTCGCCATCGCTACCAAATAAGGCTCGAATTCACATGTTACAACAACACCATCTTCCGGAAGTGCTTCCGCCATTGCCATAGTAACGTAGCCTGTAAACATCCCGATCTCCAGAACTCTTGTAGCTTTCTGCATGCGGATCAAAAACTGAAGAAATTGCCCTATAACACAATACACTTCATTGGAGTCAGTTCAAATATTCCCTTACAAATCAATCTTTGTAATATTTAGTTTGAAGTGACCGTGAGAGGTTGTATATTTCATGCCAATTACACATCTAAACAAACGTTGACAGTCTCTACGTCAAACCTAATTATGAAAGATGACGACATCACGGCCAAAGCCACATCAATCTAATAACTTCACTTTATTACTCGCTAGTGGAAGATATTGCAGTGTAATATTGTTACGCCAATATTACACTTGTGTAATACCGTTAGACGTATGACGTCATAATGTTTTACAGTTATGACAGAGTTTACAATGTTAATACCTCTGTCACAATGGTATTAGACCCTTCTTGGTTCGCGGAAAGCTGAGAGTGATCACACATTCTACCATTACATTTAAGTATGTTCGTTTTTGATTGGCTGTTACTAAAAAAAATTCAATAACCCCTTCTGAGAGCCAATTCACTGCGCGTAGTGTCAAAACACTACGCAAGGGTAATGAGTGCATATTTAAAACGCGTTTTATTCATGGTGCATGTCATGGTAGAATGGAGATAACCCTATTGTGTTTACATTTTGGAAGTGATTATAGTTGGTTGAACACTGCTAAATGAAACATAGTCACTTCCAAAATGTAAACACAATAGGATTATCTCCTAAGTAGGCAGTGTCTCTCAATTTATGTTGGAGAGTAATAAACACAATACCAAATTCGCTTCCGTAAAATACCGTTTTATTAAACTCGTGAAAGATTTAGTATCAAAGAGCGAAAGCGAAATCATTAACTCGTTTTTAATAAAATGGTATTACATGGAAGCTCGTTTAGCATCCTCTATATCTACACTTATCAATATATCATTGTAGAGCACACGGGCACATATGGCCCAGTCGTATAAACCGCTGCAAATAGAGCGCTGTGCACAGTTGCCTCCCTTGGGCACACATGAAACATGATCATTGGTTCGAAGCCACTTTCGCCCCGTTTAGCCCGTGTTCGCGTGTTTCGCCAAACTTCGAAAGTTCGTTATCTGTATCACTTTGGGCATTCCTCTCGCATGAGTTGATATATTTTCAACATTGTGCAATGCGGATTTAACCCACCTTGTTACAACCCTTATTGTTCTGACTTATTATGATCAACCCATAGCCAAACAAGCCTCTTTACATCATATCTTGCAGAAACACACCTTGTTAAAACTCTTCTTGATTCTGCTTATCTTATTTCAGCCATTCTAGTTTCACCCACTTAGCTCCCATCATTTTCGTTTCAACCAACTTTGTTCCAACCAGTTTAGTTCAACCCACTTTGTTCCCACCATTTTCATTCAAACCCACTTTGTTCCATCCATTTTAGTTTCAACCCAATTTGTAGTTTCAACCCAATTTGTTCCAACCGTTCGAGTTTCAACCAACTTTGTTCCAACCTTTTTCCTTTCAACCCACTTTGTTCCAACCATTTAGTTTCAACCCACTTTGTTCCAACCATTTAGTTTCAACCCACTTTGTTCCAACCATTCGAGTTTCAACCCACTTTGTTCCAACCGTTCGAGTTTCAACCCACTTTGTTCCAACCGTTCGAGTTTCAACCCACTTTGTTCCAACCTTTTTCATTTTAACATACTTTGTTCCAACCATTTTAGTTTCAACCCACTTTGTTCCAACCGTTCGAGTTTCAACCCACTTTGTTCCAACCTTTTTCATTTTAACATACTTTGTTCCAACCATTTAGTTTCAACCCGCTTTGTTCCAACCATTTTAGTTTCTATCCACTTTCTTCCATCCATTCTAGTTCCAATCAACATTGTTACAACTATTCTAGTGTCAACCCAACACCCACCTTGCAACCATGGTAAAACAAGTTTGTTACGAAACTTTCTCTTACAGCCTACTCTACAACAAACAGTCATTACAACTAGTTTTGTTACAACCCACCAAGCAAAACAAATCTTGTTCAACTCACGTCAGGAGTGATCCTAGGTTGCGGAAACCTATTTTTATCTACCATTTAATATATGTGAGTGAGTGAGTTTAGTTTTACGCCGATTTTAGCAATATTCCAGCAATATCACGGCGGGGGACACCAGAAATGGGCTTAACACAATTTAATATATGTATTGGCAGAGACTATGTACGGTCTTTGGTATAGGTTATTTACCTTGACCGGATCCGCTTTGATAAAAGGGAGTAAACTCTGTGAAGACTTTCCCCTCTTTGAAAAGTTGCGACCAGGGCATGGCGAAGGTCTTCTCGCTGATCATCCGGGTACTTGCAGAGTCAAGCATCGTCATCTTCCGACAGTAGCTGACACGCATAATCATTGTTGTCAACACTTTATCAATAGCTTCCTTCACTTCCGGTGGCGTGTCAACCTGCTCTGACCGTGTGCGGAGCTCACGCAGAATCTCGACCGCCGGGTCCATGAACATCGCCTTGTTCCGCACTTCTGATATTTCATCGGTCGACATACTTTAGCGTGTCAGCTTAAACAAGAGATTTTTTAATATTCTGACACAAAGTCCACAAAGTAGGATTGCACTTGTTACAATTGTTCTTACATCATTAATAAACACATGAGAGGCATAATTATACTTATCTGCAAGGACACAAAGATTCGTAACGTTCCTGTGAGTGTACAGAGACACAATACTCTAAGCGGCACTTGGGGCGGTGGGGAGCCTAATGGATAGAACGTTCGCTCGTCACGCCAAAGACGTGGTAAAAGCGGCGTAAAACTAAACTTTACTCGGCACTTACCTGCATGTACACAGAGACTCAGGGTCAAGTGTACCAAGGTTTCACGACTTATTTGTATGTATACGGGCACTCAGAACCTATCTGTACGTATACAGTGACTCAAGACGTATATGTACGTATACAGACGCTCAGGACACATATGTACGTATACAGTGACTCAGAACGCATCTGTACGTATACAGACATTCAGGACGTATCTGTACGTATACATACACTCAGAGCGTATCTGTACGTATACAGAAACTCAGGACATATCTGTACGTATACAGACACTCAGGACGTATCTGTACGTATACAGACACTCGGAACGTATCTATACGTACACAGAGACTCAGGACGTATATGTACGTATACAGACACTCGGGACGTAACTGTACGTATACAGACACTCAGGACGTATTTGTACGTATACAGACACTCGGAACGTATCTATACGTACACAGGGACTCAGAACGTATATGTACGTATACAGACACTCGGGACGTATATGTACGTATACAGACACTCAGGACGTAAATGTACGTATACAGACACTCAGGTCTTATCTGTACGTACACAGACACTCAGGACGTATCTGTACGTATACAGACACTCAGGATGTATCTGTACTATACAGACACTCAGGGTCTACCAGTACGTAATGTCTTTGTGGCATTGTCATGTAATAATGCAAGAGTGTATACCATTGTACGGTAGGGTTAGGGGTGTGCTATATAATTTTAGGCAGAGTCCTTTCCACTCCATTCTGACCCATGGAGTTGGAAAATATTCTCGATTCTCTTCCTCATGGGGGCGGTGGGGTAGCCTAGTGGTTAAAGCATTGCTCGTCACGCCGAGGACCTGTGTTCGATCCCCCACATGGGTACTAGGCCTGGGACGGGTAACCCCGGATGTCCGGGACGGGTGGGTAATGCTTTGAACCCGGATACCCGTCTCAATACCCGGACCCGTTATGATCATGTGACTAATAGATTAAGCAATTTAATATGGTATTCTTTCATGATTAAAAGGTTGTATTATCTTGGAAGATTTAGACATAATGTACACGTCACTTCTTTTGAATATAATACATGGTTAAGATATTGAAAAAATATTAAGCCTCCGATCTGAACATATTACCATTTCGTACAAATTTGATGTCAGGAATTAACATAACGGGTAGGGTAGGGTATTAAGGGGTTGGGTACTCGGGTAGAAAATTTGGACCCGTCTAGCCCTAATGGGTACAATTTCTGGTGTCCCCCGTCGTGTTATTGCTCGAATATTGCTAAAGCGGCGTAAAACCTCACTCACTCACTCACTCTTGCTTTACGTATATAAAGGGAGCTTACTCTTACCGCTCATCTCACATTGTTACTCAAGTAATAAGAAGACCAGCAAATTGTGTGGTGATCATTCTTGCCCCGGATACTCAGCCTTGGCCTATTTTTTGTAAACGTTATTGCATTGAGGCCAACATTCTCTCTGTCTTTACCCTGTACATATCCATCGTACATCGTATCCACATTGAGTAGATTGATGCTCATGATTGATCACTGGATTGTCTGGTCCAGACTCGATTATTTAATGACCACCGTCATATGACTGACTGACTGACTGACTGACTGACTCAGTTTGGTTTTACGCCGCTTTTAGCAATATTCCAGCAACATCACGGCGGGGGACACCAGAAACGGGCTTCACACATCATACCCATGTGGGGAATCGAACCCGGTTTTCGGCGTGACACGCTAATGCTGTAACCACTAGGCTACACCACCGCCCCTCATCAATGACCCTAGAGCTAGCATAATGAAATATGAAACATGTATTCACTGTGGTTGTAATCCTACCTCCTACCTAAATAATAACGCGCGGAGTTAACAAAGAAACAAACAAATATGCATAGACTCGGGACGTACCTGTTCGTGTACAGATACTCGTCCTATCTGTATGTTTACAGAGAATTATGATTTACCTGATTTTCTGTATACACAGACTCGGAACCTACCTGTACGTATTCAGAGACTGTGGACAGAATGGCACATCATCTAGGATAATCTTCCCCAGAAGAAAATAATTGGTTTCTACATGACATACTCTATTTACTGACAATAACAGCGCATTTCAACTAATCATAATGAAATACAACTGGAGATGATAGAAAATAAATACACGCCATTGTTCAGCGAACAATTGTTGTTCAGTAGTTCAATACGTTATAACAACAGGTTACGATGTCAACCTCGTCTCTTGATACATAATAACGCCATCTGTGACTTTACTACTTATGCAAATGCAAGTATGATAATATAGAACAGAACAGAATAAAATTTTATTTCAGTAACAGGCCTCCGGCCCAAAATACATATACATAAATTGATGGTTAATTAGAGCACATATGTATTTCATTTAGATTTGTTTCTTGTCAACAAAGTATAAAAATAGACATACATCCTTGATGATATTAACATTTTTACTCTGTAATATAGATATAGAATTAATAATTGATGGACATTTACTAAAATATTTTGATATGTACTTATTTCTGATATGGGAATATGCATCACAGATATAAAACACATGCCATTCATCTTCAATAACGAAGATACCGTTTAATTTACAAAAAAGGCAATGCCTTTCATTTACATTACATTAATGTATCTACCAGTTTCAACTGATATGATAATGATAATATGATAATATACAAGTCCTGCAGTTTTCCACTACTTCTTCTCTACCCTACTACTACTACTACTACTACTACTACTACTACTACTACTACTACTGCTACTACTACTACTATTGCACCTCCCCTGTACACGACGTCATCTACTACACGGGGTGTCAGTCCGAAGTGATCCATGTCGCCACGTCACAGTGACCGAGTATCACCGGTTTCTGGAACGCCTAAGGGAGGCAACTCGCCATAATACATCAAACAGTGAATGCGGTTTATAGTCATTTATTTACCAAATTAGCTTTACAACACAGAGACTAAACATAACATATAAGGCGGGGTACTTCACGAACAGGCAGGCACAGTATTCTTCATTCGTGACCAACTCGTGTTATTCCGGGACAAGCCGAATAGCGACTCGTGTCCCTAATTCGTGGCCAACTCGTGCTATTCTGGGACAGTGGAGGTTACGGAAAGGGGCGAGTGGTGACGAATGAGTTTTCTTCGTACATGAATTATTCCCCCTTCCTCCTGATTAATGATACGCCGTCGAAGATAGGCAACAGAATCTGAAAATGAGATAGTACGGCGATTAACGGGGATCGGGTGGTCAGGCTCGGTGACACATGTCATCGTATCCCAATTGAGTAGATCGAGGTTCATGCTGTTTATCACTGGATCGTCTGGTCCAGAGTCGATTATTTACAATCAGCCGCCATATAGCTGGAATATAGCCGAGTGCTGCGTAAAACTAAACTCACTCACTCACTCATCAACATAAAAGCCAGAAGTGATGCAAGACACAATCGTTTATCACTTAGCGAAGCCCACAGGCACGAGTCTTATGCTACAAAACCAAGAAACTGTTTGGCAGGCCACATGGAGTGACGTAGCCTAATTATTTCCCTTACTGCCTCGCCCTCTCTGCAAGTCTCTCGTCTCACTGGGGCTCCTTTTCAAATTAAATGGGTTTGTTTGTTACTATCAAAGTATATATAATCAGAGACTAAGCGTTAGTCTAGGAGCGACGCTCAGTGATTTGTAGTTAACGTTTTTTAATAATTTGTTTATTTATCTTAAGCAAACACACGGTTTTGCATAACAATATATTTTGCGAGTTGGCTAAGGCGCCAGGCTAGTGACCCAGCGAGCTTGAGGTGCCGGGATCGAGCCCGCCTGTGACCGGGTGTAAAAACCTTGGAGTCAACTTGGCGTGCAGACTCTTTCAGTGTTATCACAACCCCTAGTGTAGAGTACACAACCCAGGGGCGGATACAGCTTTTTGACAAAGGGGATGGTGGGGGTTGGGGGTTTGGGTGTGGACACTATTGAGAAAAGGAGAGGTGCACACTTCATTTTCACCCGAGTTTCTATGGTCATTTAACAAACTTTCAGCACAAAAGTTTGCGCACCCCCTGCATATACACCCACCCACCCCACCCCCACCCCGGATCCGCCTATGCAACCCTGTGCACTTAAAGGAACCCACGAATCCGTCGGTATATGACCAGTAGGTGGTCACATGAATACGTGCAAACACCTAGTAGCGGGTACAGCAATGTGCAGTAAACTTGGACGAAGTACTGTGACTATGTGTCCCAGTTCACCCAGCTGTGAATGGGTACTTCCAAACCAAATCACATGTTTCATTGGCCATATTGGAAGCGTGACCTACTTTCACGAATCTCATATTATCCTCTCTATTTAAAACTTGCAAAATATATTTGGTTACTGGTTACACTGAAAACTGATTTAAAATAACGTTTTGGTGTGTTATTTAGTTACACTGGATAAAACAAACTAACATTGGTGTCGTAAATAGCTTTGGTGCAATTGTGATGTGTGATAGGCTACGACGCCTCGACTGCTCACTTCGAAGCGCTCTTAAAATACCACAGTATGTCGTGGTTGTCTGGTTACACTTGATTCACGTTTCAGACATCGTTTCCGACCGTAATATATAAGACACTGTTTGATTGGTCAATTATTGGCGTCGTAATACGAATTTTGCTAATCACATTGAAGCTTTCTCAAGCCCCTTTCTATGACGTTATCCCAAGCACGCCACACGTCAACAGCGACTCGACGTTCTGTCGACAAGAACGACACTAAAAGGTACGTTAAGAGTATAAAGTTATTGAATTGTTGTTAAATAAAAGGTCTAGAATACAAATATGAACTTTTAAACATGTTTACAATAATATGAATCACAAATATAAGCAAGTAATTATCTCTCAAAACGTGGGACTCGTCTATTTTACTAGAAGGGGTGATGCAAAGGGAGATTACTCTAAATGATTTTATTTACATTCTTCAAAAAGCTCAACAATATACCTAAAATATTATTTTCGAATTCAAATGACATTCTTGAATGGGCCCTTCCAAATTATGATTTATAAACTGTTAGGCTTGTATACTCTGCAGAAGACAGATTGAGTTATACTGTTTGTTTCAGCTTGCTGTCTTGTTGAAGTCTGACTAGTGCAGCGTCGTACTGTACAGTTTTTGCTACAAGTGGTATGTTTTCATCAATAGCAAATTTACTAAAGTAATCAAAACATAATAATTTCCATCAAGATACATTCATGATATTATATTTTATTTTTGTTTTCAGAAGATTCTATTATCATAATAATAAATAGTATCAAAATACTTTTGTACTTTATTGTATTGAAAAAACGACTCTTCAAATTGGTATATTCTTATTGAATATATTTACTTGAAATATACATAATTATCCCTTTGAAATTTTGAATAGAATTAATGCCAAAAATTAAATTTGAAAGTTATTTGTGATTGAAAAAGTTGAACTTATACAGAAAACTCTAAAGTGTGTTCATTGAATAGTTTCAGGGCTAGAAATTAATATGCTAGACCGTAGCCCTGAGGGTAGTCAAAATTATCTAGGGCTAATGAAATTCGGAGACTGCTAGCCCTGGGGGCCTGTAAGGAATTCCTGACTATAACCAAACATTAGTAGAGTTTTCTATTTTTGACCAACAGCAATGTGAATTTCTGAATAATTATTAGGATAACCTGTCTTTTAACAGACTTTCAACTTGCTTGTACATTGTAGTCTAAAGTTTAGTTTAAACTCGGGCTAGTGTTTTGCTTCTGGGCGCCTGAAATTAAAACTTTCCGCCCTACAGATTGCTATGTGTTTTTGATTAATGTTTAATTAACCTCTGATTTTGATAGTTTTGAATTAAATCAGTCTATCTATATTTTAAGATATAATTTACATACCTTTCATGACAGGGTTCTCCACTGTGATCTAAAGATGGTCAGTTCTATTTGATTATAATGTCAACTTGTTATTATTTATTCTTGTAATAATGCAATAATCATATTTCGTTCATCATTTCAGTAGCACTACCATTGATAGCTGAACTTTATTTGAACCACCCTTCACATTAGGCTTTTCATATTGGTGGGTTTGTATTAATTTGATAAAATTCTTTCAAATATATGTACGATTTTCACTCGAGAGCTTGAACACTTTTAATGCTAGAATTGAAAATTACCTTTGGATTGGATAAGTTAGAACACTGAGAGGAAGCTCAGTCAAAGGTGTACTGTGTATAAAAGCACTAAATAAATTATATGTTGATTACCTTCTGATAGGATTGTTTATTATGATCCAACTGTCTTCAGCTTTAATAAATTGTAATATTTCTGCAAGATTTTATCAACATGGCCATATATAGGGGGTTTAATGCATTGCCCTTGGGGTGTATATTACGGGTTGGACCATTATCAATTTTACAATTTACAAACCATATTGGTCAAGGTATGTTGACACAGTTTTAGTATTCTACCGCACAATTGCTCAAAACGCATATCATAGAAAATGCAACCCCAAATCCATAAGTGACATAAACATCTGCATGACTGAAAAAAGCAAAGTCTTATTTCTTATCCAACCCCAACCAAACAACCACCTACGTCCCCCACTCCCAACAACCCTCACCCTGATCAGCTAACAATAAAGCTATAGTTAAGAAACTCAAGTTTAGATGAGTTGTCTCTTCATATAAATAGATAATATAATTGATAGTGTTATTGATAGTGCTCTTTTATTCATAGAGTTTCTTATGTTTAGACAGGATGCCACCTACTTTACGCAGCAGCTGCAGTAGCAGTGGACATAGGCCAGATTACAGACCTCCTGGACAAACGTTCAGCGCACAGCTACGGACTAGATCGCCCAGTTGGAATGACCAGCAGTTGTTTGACGTGGAAGTGTTGGAAACTAGGGTGGTAGATGGGGTACAGCAAAGCCTGGTACATTATGTAGGGTGGGCCAAGGAATATGACCAATGGGTCAGTGATAGTAGTATCGTGACAAGGTCATGTCTGTCTAGTTCTTGTCCAAATGACATCTTCAAATTTCAGCTGTTATCATCTTTAAGAGATCAGCTGCATTGTTGGAGAGGGGTAGACTCTCTGGTTACTATAAAGATCCCAATATCTTCGCCTGAGATAGCTAGGGACATTCTAGATCTGTCAAGAGAGGTTAGGTCATGGAATGGGTCCACCCCAGGAGCAGAGTTTAAGTTCCTTGATGTACACAGTCCGGATATTTTGTTCGGTGATGAATGGTGGGTCAGGATAATAAACCAGACTGGAGACTTTGTATACATTAACCGCGAGACCATCATTTTCAGGTACTACGAAAGAAAGCCACGAGAGGAATATACTCTAGACATGAGAAAGAGACTTAGTCATAGAGGTTTCATGTTCAAAATCAAATTTGTTCGAGAAAAGGGAAACAGGTTCGATCTCAACCTTCTCAGGGTTACCCTAAGGCACTAAGATGTGATGTCCTCTGTTCTGACAGCTGACTTTCAGCTTTTGCTTTTGTTTCAATTATGATGATATTGTTTAACCTTCTGCTCACTTCGATACTTATTCTGTTATCCCCTTTTCATCTAGGTATGTCTGGTGATTTTGAAATATCTGTCAGCATCACAAAATCAAGATTGTATGAAGAGTTTAGAAAACAAACCAAAGTTAACACATTTAAGCCAAATATATGCCAGGCAGTCTTGTCGACTGTATGTCAAAATAACAACATTGACTTTCAGCATGTCATTTTAGACAAATGTTTACCCAAATTTATAAGTTATTTGAAAAAACTCATTTCAAAGCATGATAAAACCAAAAGAAAGGGGGGCATACAGTATAGGCAATTATTTGAAGACTGGAAAGTTGAAAAGTATATTTTGACAGTTGATGTCTCTGAGGCATATCGTCCGGCTATGCAGAAGCAGTTGTTACAGGAAAGAAAATTGAGGACGATTATGTTCAAAAGATACCGTTCAGTTGTTCACCAGGCAAAGAAACTCCAGACTCAAAAAATGTGTTGCGTAAAAAGATTCAAAATTATATTGCATGTTATTGCAAAATCAAAACAGTAAATCAGTCAGACCTTTGAGGGTTTTAGAACCTAATACATGTTTGTCTAGATCTCAGATACATGAAAGAAAAAAGATGTTATTGGGTGACTGTAGGAAGTCTTTGGCATTTGTTGGGAGGTACAACATGGAAGCAGTCTCTGTAGACGTTAGACAGGAAGATGGCAAACAGTTACGTTTATCTCTGGATAAGAATTCAGTTTCAGACGTTAAAGAAGAGAATGGCTCTGTCACGGATTTAGATGCACTATTGTATGTTAAGGATTCTGAAAACATATCGAACAAAGCTTATCATGAATTATCAATGGTTGTACCAGACATGCCACGGTTACATTCAGTTGTCAAAAGAGCTAAGGAAATCAATGTTGATGTAAAGATCAGGGACACACCAAATGATACTGTTGGTGTTCAGCAATCTCTGCGAGATCGACTTACTAACTGTGTATCTAACATTGTTGCATCGGGGAAGGGTCAGGCTATACTTTCGAAGCAATCTGTCAATGTTAAACTCACGGGTGATGGCACTGAACTAGGCAGGAGAAAAAAGGTAATACATTTTGGTTTTACTATATTGGATGAAGACCTATGTACTTCAGTCAGAGGAAACTATTTGTTAGCCATGTTTACAGGTAATGAAACTTATGATAATATCAGAAAAGCCCTAGAAGATATAGTCACAGAAGCAAAGGCATTAAACACTTTGAACATTGGAGGTACCCTGGTTCATGTTACATATTTCCTAGGTGGAGACTTAAAGTTTCTAAACATGGTGTGTGGTCTTGCTTCATGTTCCTGCACTTACAGCTGTGTTTGGTGCAAATGTCCTAACTTTGACAGACATGATATGAGTAGAGAGTGGTCACTTGTTGATGTTCAGAAAGGCGCCAGGACAGTAGAGGAAATTTCAACAATGTCTAACAAAAAAAATAAGAATTTCAACTGTCTTCATCCACCTCTATTCAGTTTTATTGCCTTAACCAGAGTAGTACCAGATTTGCTACATTTATATCTTCGAGTATCTGACCAGCTGGTGAAACATCTCATCACTGAGCTTAGAACGAGGGACAACATTCAAAGGTGCAATGGAAAATATGACAGGTCAAAGTGTGGAAATGTCTTTAAGTTCGAGAATTTTGTACAAACTTTAGGGATTGAATTTCGTTTCAGAAATGATAAAGAAACTAGAAGGTTTACTTTCAGGGACTTTACTGGACCAGAGCATAGAAAGATTTCTGAAAGTCTGAAGGTGTCAGAATTCATACAGGATCACCCTAAGATATATGATATTACGTTTTTGTGGTCCGAGTTGTCACAAATATCTCAGCTTCTCTCAAAAGAATCATTTCACGCAAGTGAATATCAAGTATTAGGTGACAAATGCAGGAACTGTGTCAGAACGTTTTCGTATGTGTATCAAAGTAAGGATGTTACTCCGTACATGCATATCTTAGCTTTTCATGTTCCTGAAATGATCAAACTCCATGGTAATCTTATTACTTTCTCTCAGCAAGGTTTTGACACAAACTGAATGACTATGCTACCAAGTGGTACTTTCGTTCTACCTCACACAGGGGTAGAGAAGCTTTTAAACAGATAATGCTTAAACAAAACAGACTTGAATACCTGACAAGGTCAAAAAGAAGGGTGTGTGATAAGAAATGTGGCAAGTGCCAACTTGTTGGACACAACCAACGCTCATGTAAGCAGTAGTGACTGTTTCCTTTGGTTATCAATGGATAGTGGTCAGCAATTGTGACTACATTCGGATAACTATCATCAGCTGTTTCTGTTTTATGGTCATTTCATTTGTCAAATATGGGTTTTGAAGCGGATGTAATATGGTTATATCTAGAGTGACAAGCTTGTACACAGATGTGCAGATACATAAACTTATGAAAAATATCACTTTCAGTTCAGTGACGTGACTTAATACATGACCAGTCATGTACTCTCATTGTTTTGAGATGAATGCCGACAGGTTTCGGTAAGGTTTTAGTTTCAATATAGATTATATATTTTTTTTGGGGGGGAGCGTTTGCCTGTAGAAGCTATTTCACTGAAGGATTTGATGCAGATATTTGTGTGGTTAGAATTAGTAATATGTCACTATTTCTGGTGTAGTTTGAACTAAGAGAATTTTAGATTTATTATATTAAATTTCGTGCATTTAAAATGTAATTCATTTTATTCTGTAAAACGTGGGTGAAATCCTCTCCAAGCTACATAGAAATATGGTGATTGATTTATCAATTGGTCCAAGTGCAAGACGTCATGTGGGTCTTAGTTTACATGATATAGACTAGACGGGTGTATATTCGGATATTGGTACTTTTTATAACAAAAAATACATCATTTCTAGTTTAATTCAACTGTATAGTAATGACAGATATGTTTTGAGTGTAGAACATGCAACATGTCATTATAAAAGGTACAATAGCTGCAAATCTTGTGTTGAAATGCTGTATTTATGATAGTGTTTCTTCTTTGTGAAATAAAAGTTTATTGGGAAAATGTTCTCATTTTTGTTTTATCTTTAAAGGAATGATTCAATGTTCGCTGCTGATGGCTTTAACATTGCCGAAGCGCCGTGAAATACCAACTCAAAATAATGTCGACCTGCCACCCCTACACCCTGAAATGGAGTCGCCCAAACGAAAGGAAACAGGGCAAGTAATAGGTGTTTTGACATGCATCTTAAAAAGTGGGTTATTGCACTATTGACGCTCATGGATACATTTCATTATGGCCTTGAACATCAAGTGCAATTCAATATCGTAACTTGTCATTTGTAGTCTAACTGCCACGGGGCCTGTAAGCGAAGACGATTAATGTGTCGCCATGAGTTTTCAATTTCTCATAAAATATTTTTTTAACATAAACTTAGTGTATTATCATCAACCATCTTGAAAACCAATACCTCACAACTTAATCAATGGTAATTTCTAAAGGAAAAACGAAAAATATTTTAGTTGAAAAATCGAATTTTTGGCACTGAACTGCAATAATGTAAATTTAAAAATATTAAACAAATAATTGCGGTTTAGAGCATGTTCAGTGGAATAAAATAATGACTGTCCTTGCGAGAGACAAATAATGTAATTCAGTCTAATTTTAAAATTTTATTGTTAAAAATATCCAAAGACTTGAACTTATTAAAATTGTCCTGTTCATTTGCCAAATAGTGTGAATTTTCAGTCAGTACTGAGCAGATGAAAAATACCATACTTATCTTTGTCATGGAGCTCCATGTTTAAAAGCTGTCTGCTATCTGCCATTTTGGATGGAAGGAGCATTTATATTCTGGGATGATTAATGTAACTTAACCATTTTACTTTTCCTGCTGTAAACACCAGAAATTATTGTTTTGTAACCCTAGCTATCTATTTGAGAGGAAACATTGAAAACATACGAGTGACTAATATTCAGCGTCACATCGGCAGTACTGAAGCCATAGCGTGACGAGGACAGTTTATATCAATATTCAGATCAATAAATTTAGGACGTTAAAACCTGTCAGCGAAGGACAGTAAAAATACTAGATTGTCACAGCTCTTAATATAAAACTAGCATGCTATCATAAAAAAAACAAGTCATTATAGACAACAGTACAATGTAAACACCGGGTATAGATCACCAGCAACTGAAGTCTAGGTGACTTACAGTACTTTTGCTATCTGCATGGACCCTAGCTGGATTGATATCGACTCTTCAGCAGCTGGTGATTGTATTCAAATTTAGCCAAAATTAAAATGACAAAATAACATCATTTAAACATCTAGTAGACTTAAATTTTCTTTGAATGTTTCGGGACTTACGTACGTTCTCCGGAGGGCAATAAATATACAATACTTTAACCCTTTGAGGATACAGCCACTAACAATATAAGTTACTCATATAAACTACGAATCATTAAAATACATCTATCTACTAAACATATTAATCAGAATTTATCAATTAAGTCAATATTTCTTAATACACCAATAATTAATTGAAAATTAACAGTAGTAAACAGATCCTTAAGTTTTTCATTGAAATACTTATCCCTTGTGATGGAAAAATCAACAGTCAAGCAGGATATGCTTGGCCGTGATTCTTTCATCACAAGGGATACAAAACGGAGGATCCTCACCTCTTAATAAGTATTCATGAGTATATCTTGTATGGCCAATGCGACATCGTCGCATAATGACCTCTTCAAATCTGGACTGACAATCCAAGTAGGCGTAACCGATAGTTGGTTTAATTTGATGTAATTTATTGATACCTACTTGGGTGTCCCACTTCTTCTGCATCAGATCCCGGATGAAAGATCTGATGATAGCTTTATAATGAGAGTATGGAATACGAAGTGGTGTCACAGATTTGTTGAGTGCTGCCTTAGCAGCAAGATCGGCCATTGTGTTACCAGAAATACCAATGCGGCTGTGTAACCAACAGAAGACGATGTGGTATTGGCCAGTAGCAGCATGGTTATATAATTCAACAATTTCAATTGAGAGTGGATGTTTACTAGAGAGATTTTTATTAGCCTGAAGGCAAGAAAGGGAGTCTATAAAGATTATGTATTGTTTATATTTATGGTGTTTATTTATATATTTAAGAGTTGTTAATATGGCGTTAGATTCTGCTGTGAAAATAGAGCTGTTATTTGGTAATCGAGAAGATATTGTTCTGGATCAAGTGACAGCGGCACAAGCAGCTGCGCGAAAACAGTGCGACATTTTTGTTTACTGCACAAGCGCACACGAACATAGAAATATGTGCCTCCATATCTGAAATTATTTCAGAAATATTTCTGAAAATAACGACCAACTTTTGCGCTTTTAACATTAAATGCACGTTTTCAATGGATACCTGATTTTAGCCGTTTCACTATAAGCAGATGGGAAAATAATGCGGTTCAGGGACTGTGAGACATACTACCTAGCCTACTATAACCCTAAAGCTCCTAGCAAAACCTATTGCAAACCCCACCCAATTCACAGTTGCCTTAAGGTGGTTTTATAGTGCTAGCTCTCTGAGATAGCATGCCGCAGTTAAGCATGAATACCCAGCAAAACCCATTACAACCCTCAGTGCCAGTTTTCCCAGCCCATCCTTATAAACAAAAGAAGAAACAAAAACAAAACGTTTCCTCCTACCTGTTCCACCCGGTCGTCGTCCATCACCGCCTTGTTGAACAGATCCACCGTCGAGCCGGGCTGAGTGTACGGAAAGCCGTGAAACAAGCTGTTGTCCACCATCAACGTCCCACCCTCAGCCAGAAGGCCAAGGTCAAGCAGTTTCTAAAAGGCGACGAAATAGAATAGTGAGTGTATGTTGTTTTATGCCACTGTCGAAGGTCGCCACACACCTGAAATAATGCTCCATCGTGCTCTAAACATCTGAGATCAATTTATGAGATCTCACCTGAAGGTAGAAGTCTATAGTTTCTGTTAGTTGTTTGCACACTCAGAGTGTGGGTGAATTAAGATTTATAGTCACATCGGCAGCATTCCAGCTATATTGTGACTTAAAAGTTATAAATTAACCACAAACGCAATTAGATTGTAAAAAAGCTGTCAACAAAGGACAGTGAGTGAGTGAGTGAGTGAGTGAGTTAAGATTATCGTAACTAAAAACAAGTAAATAATTTCCGAATGAATATAGGTACTTTTTGGGGGGGGGAAAAACTGTCAGTGAAGGACAGTAAAATCAACTAGAATATCACAGATATGAATATAAAACTAGTATGTAGCCCTAAAACATTTTGTTTACAGAAGACAATACAATATAAAGACAGGCTATATATTGCCAACAACTGAAGGTACATCACCATACTATGGACGCACACTCAGAAATATGGCACACATATAACTGTGGCTTGTAAATGCAGTGATCAATATTGTAAGCAGCGATCCACCTCGTTTGGCACGATGACAGCAAGTGATCAATATTGTAAGCAGCGATCCACATCGTTTGGCACGATGACAGCAAGTGATCAATATTGTAAGCAGCGATCCACATCGTTTGGCACGATGACAGCCAGTGATCAATATTGTAAGCAGAGATCCACATCGTTTGGCACGATGACAGCCAGTGATCAATAGTGTAAGCAGAGATCCACATCGTTTGCAGAGACACACGATGACAGCAAGTGATCAATAGTGTAAGCAGCGATCCACATCGTTTGGCACGATGACAGCCAGTGATCAATTGTAGCAGCGATCACGTTTGACGATGCAGCCAGTGATCAATATTGTAAGCAGAGATCCACATCGTTTGACACGATGACAGCCAGTGATCAATATTGTAAGCAGAGATCCACATCGTTTGACACGATGACAGCCAGTGATCAATATTGTAAGCAGCGATCCACATCGTTTGACACGATGACAGCCAGTGATCAATAGTGTAAGCAGCGATCCACATCGTTTGGCACGATGACAGCCAGTGATCAATATTGTAAGCAGCGATCCACATCGTTTGGCACGATGACAGCCAGTGATCAATAGTGTAAGCAGCGATCCACATCATTTGGCACGATGACAGCCAGTGATCAATATTGTAAGCAGCGATCCACATCGTTTGACACGATGACAGCAAGTGATCAATAGAGTAAGCAGCGATCAACATCGTTTGACACGATGTCAGCCACTGATCAATAGCTTTAGCAGCGATCCACATCGTTTGACACGATGACAGCCAGTGATCAATAGTGTAAGCAGCGATCCACATCGTTTGGCCGATGACAGCCAGTGATCAATATTGTAAGCAGCGATCCACATTGTTTGGTACGATGACAGCCAGTGATCAATAGTGTAAGCAGCGATCCACATCGTTTGGCACGATGACAGCAAGTGATCAATATTGTAAGCAGCGATCCACATCGTTTGGCACGATGACAGCAAGTGATCAATAGTGTGAGGAACCAAGTCACCGACCCTTACCCCCGAGCCATTTAGCCACTTCCCACACCCAGCATTGTTGAGCGCCAAATGTAACTGGGAATTCATTCCGGGATGACATCGAGGTTGTGGTTTGTTGTTTAACGCCGCACTCAGCAATATGGCGGCGGTCTGTAAATAATCGAGGCTGGACCAGACAATCCAGCGATCATCAGCACAAGCATCGATCTACGCAATTGGGATACAATGACTTGTGTCAACAAAGTCAGCGAGCCTGACCACCCAATCCCGAGACATCGAGGTATGAGATCTTACCTTGAAGTACGCCGTGTAGTTCGGCTCGTCGGCGTCAAGATACACAACGTCGAATGTCTGACCCTCCGCGGCAAGCTGGTCCAGGGAGTCCAGCGCCGGACCTACGGAGTGGATGATGATGTGTTTAGGAACCAAAGACAGGGACGGGGTTGTGACTGTGTTGTCACATGTGAGTACGTGGTTTGACAATATATCTGTCACCGAAAACCGTGTATATGGGTAGGGAATTCTGCCCAAACGCAAGGCGCAGTTCCACAAAACGATCTTAGCGCTACGTTGATCGTAAGTCTATGTTTAAGAATGAGAGTAACGAACACCTTAGCGCTACGATCGATTCGGGAAACTGGACCCAGGGCCCACTTGAACTTGTTAGCGCTACGACTATATTAAGTATATTAACAATGATAATTTTTGCTTTTTTTGTTGTTTAACGCCGCACTCAGCTGTATTCCAGCTATATGGCGGCGGTCTGTAAATAATCGAGTCTGGACCAGACAACTCAGTGATCAACACCATCACCATCGATCTTCGCAGTTGGGATACGATGACAAGTGTCAACCAAGTCAGCGAGCCTGACCATCCGATCCCGTTAGTCGCCTTGGGTTAAGTCCATATTAGAGTATTGAAGTAATGGTCATCTCAGCGCTAACATCGCTCTGTATAAATGGGCAAATGTCTCGCTTACCACACTGACTGAAACGCAAAGATGAGAATATAGCACTGATAGGCGCGTTATTCGACTTTAAAGAACTACTTTTTGTCTTTTCTTTTGTGAATACTGAGTAGAGTTTAAACAAAAAAGTTCCAAATCTAAATGTCTTTCCAATTAAATCTGAAATTTCATCATGACTACAGTTAAAAAACGATGCCAAACCACTCTTTAACCTCATTGGGGCGGCGGGGTAGCCTGATGGTTAAAGCGTTCGCTCGTCACGCCGAAGACCCAGATTCGATTCCCAACATGGGTATAATGTGTGAAGCTCATTTCTGGAGTCCCCCGCCGTGATATTGTTGGTACATTGCTAAAAGCGGCGTAAAACCATTTTCACTCCCTCACTTTAACCTTAGGCCACGATACACACAATCATGCAAGTACGTTTTCAATCCCTTGGACGCACTTATCACAGTGAATGTGACATCACAGACACTATTTCTAATTACTCCGTTTGCGGCATTTGAATACAAATTAAAACTGGTGAAAACACATACGACCCCTTTACAAATGTGCAAGCGAAGACCACCGTGACTTCCATCTAACCTTGACGGATGTCAATCCTCTTCCCGAATGGCGTCTCGTCGAACCACTTTCTGGCAGTTTCAACGAGATACGGTTCGCACTCGCACGTGACAACGGCGCCATCTTCCGGAAGTGCTTCCGCCATCGACATAGCAACATATCCTGTAAACATCCCGATCTCCAGAACTTGTTTAGCTTTTTGCATCCGGATCAGGAACTGAAGTATCTGCCCTTTAAAGGAAACCAAAATTTGTTAGAGCTGACGAGCGGTAAACTGGGGTTTAAGGTCGCTTTCCCTATTACTATACTCAAAGGCAAAAGTCAGTGTGATCAACACATTTGTTTATATAAATGAGAAAAAAAATATACCGCATTTTAATATTCTTTGTAATGCACTTAATCTATTACCCAAACAGGGCCACGCCTGTAGTTTTTGTTTTGCATGCATTTTTCGTGCTTTCAAGACGTCCGTGGAAAAAAGGCATAAAACGTGCCCTTTAAAAAGTGTGGCTCTAAACCTCGAATCATTATTTCCCAAATCATTGTTTAGACGTCGACGGGTCCGAAAAACACAATTTGGAAGAATCTTCTTGCATTTCACTGAAAATGAAAGATGGCGATCCATTGGAATGCTTGAAACCGGAACACCCCAGCGCAACGTATGACAGCAGATTAACGTGCACAAGAACACCATATGCCACCTGTGGAGACGTTATCAACAAAACACCGTCTTTGCAAGCCGTCCCGAAGTGGCCGTCGACATTTAACCACGCCAAGCAACGATCGTTAGATTCAACCCACCCATCTGCGCCAAAGATTCCAACCAGCCACACTGAGAGCCCCAACAGTTCTGGTATCAACAGGATATCGCCAAGGACCATTCGCCGGCGTCTGGCTGCTAGACGTCCAGCCAGACGACAGATTTGGACGTTATATCACCAAAGTCTACGGCTGCAATGATGCAGACTATATCTGCGGTGGAGATCACGTGAGCAGACCCTCTTGCACCGCGCTGATGGCCGATCTGTCCCTTATCAAATACGTCTGGGACGAAATGGAGAGGAGATTGAGACGTTGGCCACAGGAACCCCGCCCGGTGCTTCCATAGATATGGAATGCCATTCCACAAGACTTCTTCCGACGTTTGATTGGCTCTGTGGAGGCGCAGGTGCCAAACAATGCATCAATGATCATGGTGGGCGTACACGTTATTGTCGTCACGCCGACGATCCGGGTTCGATTCCCCACATGGGTACAATGTGTGAAGCCCTTTCCTGGTGTCCCCCTCCTCGATATTGCTGGAATATTGCTAAAAGCGGCGTGAAACTAAACTCACTCACTCTCGTCCGGAATTACGCCAGTTTAACACAAGTGATTTATCTTAACAAACTTCATTCAGATTGACTCAAACAGTGATAACCCTATACAATAACCACAGTAGCTGAGTGATTGTCATCTATGTTCCAGTCATTTCACAGCGGGGGACACGAGATATTCGATTCACATGTGACGAACGAACGCATTAACCATTAGGCAACCCTTTCCCCCTCATATCTGAAAAGTAGTCTGGTCTAACATCCATATCAATTACACATCGATATGATATATACTCTACCAAAAAAGAAACGCATATAGGTATTTCAACTGTATTTTTATGTTTATTTTTAAACATCTTGTAGGCTTTACGAGTCAATGAAATATAGCGAAATTGTACACTGGGAATGCAGACTTATCCGTTTTTGGCACCAACTCGAGGAAAGTCAGTTTGAGTGTCACATGGAGACGTGTGGTGGCGCTGAAGTCAATGCCTCGTGTGACCACCGTGGGCATCCAGAACTGCACGGCATCGCCTCGGCATCGAACGAACAAGTGTCAGAATCTCGTGTTGCCCAATCGCAGCCCACTCTACCTGTAGTGCCTGTGCGAGTTGCTGAAGTGTCTGGGGCTGAGGGTTACGGCGTCGCACCCGTCTGTCCAGGGCATCCCACAGATGTTCGATCGGGTTTAAGTCCGGTGATCTTGAAGGCTAGGGGAGCACATTGATGTTGTGGTTCTGGAGGAAGTCTCTAGTGTGACGTGCTGTCACATTGTCACATGCCTGGCATTGTCCTGTTGAAACAACTCCCTCTGGCGATCAATGATTGGAAGGAGGTGTTGGCGTAGGATTTCGTCACAGTACCGTTGAGCTGTCATGTTGCCCTGGATCATCACCAGATCACTTCTCCTACGGCAGGTGAGTGCTCCCCACACCATAACACTTTCCCGGCCGAATCTGCCCACCTGGGGAACGCAATCGTCGGCGAAACGTTCACGTCGACGTCTGTACACCCATATTCTTCCATCGCGTCGTTCCAATAGAAATCGTGATTCATCACTGAACAAGATTCTACGCCAATTCGGTAGGTTCCAGGCCTGAACGTTGGTGCACCATTGAACTCGATGTCGACGATGTTGTTGTCGAAGCACAGGGCCAAAATAAGGTCTTCTGGCACGTAAACCAGCCTCTCTCAACCTGTTTCTGACGGTCTGTGCAGAAAGCCTCCCCAATACGGGTATTTGTCGAGCGGTACTGGTCGCCGTAGCTGTTCGATGACGCAGGTGATGTACCCGAATGTAGCGTTCCTGCGCCGCAGTGGTCGCTCGAGGTCGCCCACTACGAGGGGCATCTGCTACCGCATTCTGCCGGCGTTATCTCTCCAAGAGCCGTGAAATGGTGCTTTGGTGAACATTCATGCGTCGGGCTACTGCACGTTGAGACTGGCCAGCTTCAAGCAAACCAATGGCGACGGTTGGCTTCACTTAGACGTGGCATTTTGCGTTCGTCAACAATATTTCAAATACAGTGAATAATCGACAGACAGCGATCAACCTTTTATACCCATCATTGAGACTATCTGATCCCCAACTTTCACGTGCATTGCATGTGAATTGTGTATTCTGTGACACTACACGCCGAAATTGACAATCATGCTGTTAAAGACGGGTATTTTACGGATGGTGCGCTTTGTTGTGATGTTTCAGAACATAAACACCATAGGACTCATAAACAGAGCAAAACCTTTTGAAAATGAATCACGTTTTAATTCATTGCTACATGAAATTGCTATTTTCATGATGCGTTTCTTTTTTTTGGGAGAGTATACATTGCTCAGTGCAGCATTCATTCTTCCATATATACTCAACCAAAACGTTAAGGACAACCCCAATATTCAATATTTAAGTATTATATGGACCGTATATGAACTACGATGCGCCAGTATGTTTTTCTTAGGGTGACGAACGAACGCATTATCCGCTGGGTTAACCCCTTCTCCCCCATATTTGAATAGTGGTCATCGCCTAACAACCCTATCAATTACAAATCGATAATGATGTACCTGTACATTGCTACGGGTTCAATAAAACATTTATTCTTCCCCAATATTCCGTATCTAAGTATTATATGGGTCTTAACATGAACTATTAAATACTTAACTAAAAAAGTCATGGATTCCCCCAATTTTCAATATTTGAGTATATATTGAGCTACCTTCTCCAATACCGCTCATCCAACGTGCACTGTACTGTGTCCCGATCTTGCCGTCTTGGTAGAGCTGTTTCCACGGCGTGGCGTAGGTCTTCTCGCAGATCATCCGGGCACCTGGCGTATCGGGATACGTCATCTTTCGCCTGTATTCTTCCCGGGTCTCCGCCAATTCCAGCGCTTTGCCAACCGTTGCCCTCATGTCTGGGGGCGTGTCGGGGTTATCTGCCCTTGTATATAGCTCGTCCAGCAAGTTGCTCGCCGGGTCCAGCACTCGGACTTTGTTGATGAACTTCAAGGAAGTTGGCGAGGTCATTGTTCAAACCTGTATTTAGGAGTGAAGTTAGTGTTTAGACAGACAATACAGATGTTCCTTGACACAAAGTCGGTCGCCTACGCCCATATTGAATAGATAATGGTATACAATTACACACTTTATGCTTCTACAAAAGTCGCATTGGATCGCCCGTTTGGTTTTATGGAATTAATTGTTCAGAAGTTCAGAAATTGGCCTTAAAATAGTTAGCTTGTTGGTACTGGTGGAAATAACGAGTAGGGTGTTTGAATTTTGAATGTCGAATCTTACCCGTTATGACAGTATTTTTTGACGTCAAATATTAATCAAATAATCGGAAATAAACAAGCGTCAAAGATATTGTGTTAATAGTGAATATGAATTGATTGTTTGATAGTGACAAAAAGAAACAAACAGCTTGGAAGAAAATGAATTGTTCTCAAACTCATCGAGATGAGGAGAGGGTCATCAGACTCATGTCCACTACACTGCAACAGCGTCATGAACACCAAGTGGCAGTCGTAACCTCAGTTCATGACCCCATGTTGCGCACGGATAAATCAAATACCCGTGAAGACCAGTAACCCATGCTTGTCGTAAGAGGCGTAACGGGATCGGGTGGTCAGACTCGCTTACTTGGCTGACACATGTCATTGTATCCCATTTGCGTAGATTATGCTCATATATGTCAATCACTGGACTGTCTGGTCCAAATTATTTACAGGCAGCCGTCATTGTCTCTGGAAACGTGCTGATTGCGGTGTAAAACGGACGAACGAACTGACGAAACATAAAACAAATATCAATGTGCAGAGTCAAATTCTATTCTGACACGGACAGCCATTTGTAAACGAAGCCTGAATATTATGCAGTTTATGTGTCAAACATTGGGGAAGCTGACATGTGAGAAGGCAAATAAATGGTCACACGAGAAATGCGTCAATACAGTGTCAATAAATTGGAGTCGTACTCAAGTCTGGAATGATGTGACAATTCTGTATTGGTCAGGTCAAGGATCAATGGCCATTATTCTTAGCAAAGCAAACAGAAGATTGGTTCACCGGGCTTAATGTTAGTAAATGGGAGTCGTGTTCAAGTCTCTCTGATGTGGCTCTCTGTATTGGTCAGGTCTCTCTCTCTCTCTTGTTGTTGTGGCTCTCTCTCTCTCTCTCTCTCTCTCTCTCTCTCTCTCTCTCTCTCTCTCTCTCTCTCTCTCAGTCTCCTCTCTCTCTCCACTCTCTAATCAGTTCTGCTGTAATGTCAAGCAGATATCTGAATCTCATAGCCATGATACCGAAGGCGTTTTCAACCATTCATCTCCCTCTAGATATTGTGTATTCTTCTCTGTTTAACCCTCTCCATGAATATGGCTTCATGAAATATTTCTTGGGCGGGAAAGCATCATCACCCAGAATGAAGTAAGGTATGTCTTTACCTTGGTGTTCCTCTTGTTCATCATTTACCAAAGGTTCTGGTGGTGGGACGTCTACGCTTCCATCCTCTAAACATTCAAATAACTCAGAGGCGTTGAATATTTGTGCATTAGACTTGTGACCTATACCCCCCAATTCTATCCAGATGAACTGGTATTTCGCATAAACCAGGACCAACATTGGAATGGAGAAATAAGTTCAAATAACCCTGTAATTATGTTACAGACTGCCTGTTTCCCCAATTGCATGTGGGACGTTCCATCTGTCCTTTGCTTTCCATGCCGCCGGTGTTACAGGAATATTGAAAGCCTCATCTTTGCAGGCCTGGACAATGGCTCTGCATACTTCTGGGATAAGAAGGCAGACAGAGGATTTACTACATCTGTAATTGACAATGAGGGGTATTAATCACCAGTGGCCAGATTTCTCAGGGTAATGGCAAGTTTCAGTCCTGGTGTTCAGTCCTGGTGTGTTGCCTCTCTATGTTGGGAGTTATCCTCTCCAGTATCTCATCAAATAGATATGTAGGTAGTCTGAGATTGTTGGTGAATTAGGCTGGGTCTTCAGGTCTAAGCTCGCTGTTAACAAGTTGTTTGATATTGTCCAGTCATCCATGGTCTCACCCACCACTTTCAACCTCATATACGTTTTCTCTTTCTTCCCTGTGTCTGCTGTTGCTCCCTTTTAAGTGCCTGGATATAGGCATGAAGTAAATAAGTCATCTTCATCTACATTTCTTGTATCTGTGAAAGTCCGGATTAGAATGTGCTTTCAGTAACCCATGCTTGTCGTAAGAGGCGACTAACGGGATCGGGTGGTCAGGCTCGCTGACTTGGTTGAAATATGTCATCGGTTCCCAATTGCGCAGATCGATGATCATGCTGCTGATCACTGGATTGTCTGGTCCAGACTCGATTATTTACAAACCGCCGCCATATAGCTGGAATATTCCTGAGTGCGGCGTAAAACTAAACTCACTCACTCACTACATTACATGTATCCATGTTGTCTCGATGGAGTCATTGGACAAAGTAACGAATGCCAAAATTACCTCCCTTTTATACCAATCGTGTCACAATTTAAGTTGAAGCATTGTGATGAGGGGTATGCAGGGTTTTCTGCGTCCCGTGTTAGGTTTTAAAGAATCTGAGGAGGGACGCATAAAAGCCCGTATACCCTGAATCATAATGCTACAACGAATTTATTTTACCGAATGTTTAAATCTCTCATTATGTAAATATAACATCAAAATAAACTGAAATTCAATCATATTTGTTTGTTCACACGAAGCGTTACGATGTTGTTTTCTCAGCCCCTGGAAAAAATGTTTTTGCAAAGCCTACTACTCTCGCAAAAATAATACGTCGCAGAACTGGGTGGGGGTACGCTGACGCAAAATTTTCTAGGCGCAGAATATTTCCGGTTTACAACATTTTACTAACATGGTACTGACTAGTTGATCCGAACCAATGGTTCACAGTTCACTGACTGCTGTGGATGCATGTTTTTTTCCATGGGGCGGGGTATAAATGATTTATCATTCCTCGCAAAGATTTATACCACGCTTGGGCGGTGTACGGCCGTGCACCGGGCATATATGGTAATTTGTTCAAGGTGACGTGAACCAACCAGAAATGGACATTCTTGCATGAGGTAGGATAATCATGTTTAATCGCCCCTCTTTGTCTAAACATTAAATACAGCATTATCTGGGTTTATGTAACTCATTGTCGTACGGGGTACAAAGCCGACAATGACTACCAGCATCCGACAGCCGTGTACCCTGAGAACGCTGATAAAAAAATTGTTTTAAAAGAATCCCATTAGCTCAAAACCCAAGAAACTGACCTCTGAATCCTGACCCGAAAGAGTTGAGACGATTCTTCAGCACTGTCGTGTCGTTTTCGTGAGTTGGATAGCGTTAAAGAGGAATGTAGGAATGTAAATGTTAGATAATCAGCGTTCTAGTTTAGCAGCCTCGGGATGTGGCAGATGGCGTGTCAGCAACTGGAGACACTTATCACAACACCAGTCGCAAGGACATATAAAAAAACATCCATAAATTACAGGGAGGTAACTCCTGACAGCTTATGTCACTGCTTATATGGAAACATTGGCAACTAACATTGGCCTCCACCCCCTCCTTATACTGCTAGTACTGCGGCGGCTGCTACTACTACTACTACTACTACTACTACTACTACTACTACTACTACTACTCTCTGCCTACTATGTCTCACAGTTCCTGAACCGGATTATTTGCCATACTGTCCAGTTAATTCTGCAATGCAAAAGCTCTCAATGAATCAAGTCTAGATAACCTCTGAATCGGAATCTCCCTGGGGTTCCTATTCTATTTAAAAAGAGTTGTTTGTTTCTATAAAACACACATTATATATTCTACTACAACTAATACTACTACTGCACCCCCAACTGTACACGACTTCATCTACTACACGGGGTGTCAGCTTGATGCTGGAGGACAGTCTGAGGTGATGCAGGTCTAACAGATTCGCCACGTCTCAGTGACCGACGATAACCTAAGGGTTTCTGGAACGACATGTTATGAGAGTGGGTTTTTTTGTAATTTGTAATATCACATTGATTAAGTGATACTTATTTTGGGTCATAATGTTTCAAGTTTTGAGTGTGGGTTGTGGGTAGCAAGGGACGCAACTCGCAATGATACATCACACAGTGAAAGCGGTTTATATTTATTTATTTACCACATTTCCTTTACAACACAGAGACTTAACATATAAGGCGAGACACTTCTTGAGTAGGCAGAGTTATGTTTTCTTCGTACACGAGTTATTCCCCTTTCCTCCTGATTAATGATACGCCGTCAAAGATAGGCATCAGAATCTGAAGAAGAGATAAATGGATAACAAGATGGAATATGGCATGCATATGATTAAAAGAGGATCAGAATATAATATACAGCTACTATAATATGCAAATGCACAAAGTGGGTCGTATGGAGTTTACTAAGAGTTTTCTACCCTGATAGGGGAGATAATTCCCTCCAGTACGATGACAGATGAACGGCACACACACCTGTCAACTCTCACGTTTGAGTCTCGCGTTCTTTTAGGTACGGTGGGATAGCCTAATGGCTAAGGCGTTCTCTCGTCACGCTGAACACCCGGGTTCGATTCCCCACATGGAAACCATGTGTGAAGCCCATTTCTGATGTTCCCGTCGTGATATTGCTGTAATATTGCTTAAAAGCGGCGTAAAACTAAACTCACTCAATCACTCTTGCTTATGTATATAAGGGGAGATAACTCTTGCCTCTCATCTCACTCTGTAACTCAAGTGATAAGAAGACCAGCAAATTGTGTAGAGATCATTCTTGCCCTTGATAGTCTGCCTTGGCCTATTTTTGTAAACTTTATTGCAGTGAGATCAACATTATCTCTGTCTTCATTGCTATGAACTGCTCACTCACTCACTCACTTTCTTTTAATGAAAATCACGTTTTCACGGCCAGTATACAAAATCTCCCGTTTTTTTTTGTAAAAGTACTTTCTAAATATCTTTTTATGATGTATACGTTTGATGTATACGTTTCCGATTATAAATACAGTCAAAAATGCAACAACAAAACACATTTTCGGTTAAGGGGCTTTGCCTGGGTCCTGCGGCCCCTGGGCCTCCTCTTTTAATGGTTCTCACTTCCTGGACACATTTTGGGTTGACAGCCATGCATGTATATATATCTTTAAGAAAGTGCATGTGGAGATACTTGCCTAGTGTATTTCATTCATCATTTAACGTGTTCAAGGATGCAAAGAAACAGCAGATAACACTGGTGAAATCTGAAAATTACGTGCAGCATTCAAGAGTACATGAATGACTACTTCCGACTACATCGAGTCACATTAATGTGTTTACCTCAGAAGAACGTGTATACGATAAGCAAGAAAATGTGTCTAACATTAATGTATTTCATTCACTAAACAAATGTATCTCTACATTTAATTCAGTAAATACATGTCATTTTCTGGCAGTGTTTCGCAAAGTATGCAGTCTTGAAATGTTTCTAGTGTTTTTCAGTGCAAGTGAAGACATATTTTAAGTTCACTGGTCATGAGGGAGACATGGGTACATCAACCCATGGGCCACGAGAGACCAGTAAACAACGTATTTATTTTACCTAACAAATCAATTTTAATTTTGAACTGTTCGAAGCACGGGTATCGGATCATTATAAGGTGAGGTGAGGTGAAATGGGTTTCAGGGGTGGAAATAACCCATTGCCCAACGTCCGAGTCCAGTGTTTTTTTCTGTCGGGCAAGCAAATTTGTATATCACACTGTACCGGTGTCCAGTTGACTTTCCAATGTTTATTATGTTGTTTATTTAAAAAATCAGCAAGAAAACGGTTGGTATAGTGGGAAAATAATAAGGGCTAGTGACTTTACATGTGCCACTGTACCGGAGTACACTAGCAATTTTAAACTTATTTTCACCCCTGGGTTTTTAACGTCGTACCTGAGAATATTTCGCTCATATGACGACGTGCATGTGTGTGCATGTGTGGCTGCTTGTACTAGCCCAGAATTGAGCTTGTTTCATAGTGCTAGCTCGCTGAGATACCATGCCGCAGTTAAGCGTGAATACCCAGCAAAACCCATTACAACCCTCAGTGCCAGTTGTCCCAGCCCACCCTTAAAAACACAAAAGAAGAAACAAAAACAAAACGCCTCTTCCTACCTGTTCCACCCTGTCGTCGTCCATCACCGCCTTGTTGAACAGATCCACCATCGAGCCGGGCTGAGTGTACGGAGAGCCGTGAAACAAGCTGTTGTCCACCACCAACGTCCCACCCTCAGCCAGAAGGCCAAGGTCAAGCAGTTTCTAAAAGGCAACGAAATGGAATATTGAGTGCATGTTGTTTATGCCACTGTCGAAGGTCGCCACACACCTGAGACCAGGTTATGAATTCCCACCTTGAATGAGTGAGTGAGTGAGTGAGTATGGTTTCAGCCGCTTTTAGCACAATTCCAGCAATATCACGGCGGGGGACACCAGAAATGGGCTTCACACATTGTACCACAGGCCCTCGTGTCTTTGCGAGGATTAAAGATTTTAAAAATATTGTTTTTGAGATGACCCCAGACTCAAAACGCTGCACAGTATAATACATTATGTATGTATTATACTGTGAAGCGTTTCGAGTCGGGGGTCATCTCATAAACAATATTTGTTTAATCTTTAATCTATACTGTGAAGCGTTTCGAGTCGGGGGTCATCTCAAAACAATATTTTTTATCTTTAATCCTCTCAAAGACACGATGGCCTGTGCATTGTACCCATGTGGGGAATCGAACCCGGGTTTCCGACGTGACGAACGACGCTTGAACCACTAAGCTACCTACCGCGGCCCTCCAACCTTGAAGGAAGAAGCTATTGTTTCTGTGTGTTCTTTAATGGAACAGTCAGAAATATGCCACACATTTTACTGTGGCTTCAGTTTGGTTTGGTTGTTTAACGCTGCACTCCGCAATATCCCAAATATTCCAGCTATAATTAGCGGTCTGTAACTAATCGAGTCTGGACCAGTCAATCCAGTTATCTGCATCATGAGCATCGATCTACACAATTGGGATGCGATTACATGTGTCAACCAAGTCAGCAAGCCTGACCCCCGATCCCGTTTGTCGCCTCTTACGACAAGTAGGGTTGCTGAAGACCAATTGGCTTGTAGATATTGAAGGCCCGACAATGCAATGATCAATACTGTAAGCACGATGACAACCAGTGATCAATATTGTGAGCAACGACCAACGGCGTCGGGGTACGATGACACGCAGTTAACCAAGTCGCAGGTCTATTTACAGACACGTAGCAAGCCATTTTTTCGTGTACGCCCGATAGGTTGCAAAGCTTTATATTTAGATAGTATTGAGGGCTTGCCCAACCTTTTTAGCAACAATCATGTGTAAGCCCGGGCCTTTTTATAATGGTAGCTACGCCCCTGATTTAGTCACCTTCTACAACCAGCATTTGTGAATGCCTGGGTTATCTAAGAATCCATTCGGGTGGATGTATAGTGTAGCTGGGTAGGGAAGAATCCATTCAGGAGATCTTACCTTGAAGTACGCCGTGTAGGTTTGCTTGTCGGCGTCCAGATACACGACGTCGAATGTCTGACCCTCCGTGGCAAGCTTGTCAAGCGAGTCCAGCGCCGGACCTACGGAGTGGATGATGATGTGTTTAGGAACCAGAGACGATGACGGGGTTGTTCATACTATCTCACGTCTGGGTTAGAGTACGTGGGTTACGGTCAACATAGCGCTGAGATCGCTATTTGACGTGACACCTGGCCACGAACATCTACGAAGCCCCAATTGCCTTAACAATCGTTAATAGGCACTACGACTTAGTACTAGTCTGTTATACAAATATATCCCAAGAAAGCCCATGCAAGTCTACAATATGTGGCAAATCTAGATTTCGAGTTTCAGGAAAACTGAAAACAGTTTCCGAAAATGAAATCTCTGCACTCCTTTTAATTAATTTGTATGATTTTTATTTCTGAACTGTCTTTTTTCTGTAAAATATGTACATTTCAGAGACTGGATGTTAGTCTTTTAAAGTACGTGAGTTACGATCAACAAAGCGCTGAGATTGCAACATGACGTGACACTTGGCCATGAACATCTACGATGACCCATTTTCATGTCATTGATTTGCCTTGCCAGATTCTATTGGTTGAGGTTATTATTATTCTGGATTACAGCTTGCCTCTCAAAATCAAATTCTTTTATTCCGTATAAAGGCCATAGGCCCAAGTACAAAAACTCACAAAATAATAATGCAAGTGACAAAATGGTTAGATACACATTTTAAGCACTTCTTAACCTTAAAGCTTCTTTTACAAATTTTGCTAAGTTAATTAGGATATTCACTTTGTCACAACTTAATAACATGTTAAATTTATAAATAGAGGGATGTTTCCAGACATTTTCAGGAATATACTTTTGTCTTAAAATGGAATAAACTTTACATATTAATAGAAAATGGTATTCATCTTCTATACATCCATTCATACATAAATTACAAAATCGTTCATCGCGAACAATACCACAACGTCTACCAACATTTATCATTAAAGGCAATTCCCCAGATCTTAGCAAAAATAAAAGCCTTCTATATTCGCGATCCTTTAGAGTGGATAAATAATATTCAACTGTCAATAGAGATTTATATTCTTGATAGAAACATAACTTATTTGATTCACAAACATTAGAAAACCAATCTTGTTGGTGGCAATCTTTAACCCTTTGCACAAACTTACTAAGAAATAAAGAACAATTACCAACTTCCTGAGAGATCCAAACAAATCCAAAACCATAAGAGAACAGTAATATTCTAACCTTTGAAGCCCATGTAACACGATTGCAGTCGTCTAAGGATTTACACAGAAGTACCACTTGCCACTTGTTCTATTACGTGTTGACTTACCGCCGTTGCTTCTGGTAACACGAAATATTTCATGATAACTTCTGTATTCTTTGCATCGACGTTTCAGGAATATTTCTTTCATTTCGAATACGGAGAAATAGGGATTACAGTTTATATCGCAATATCCACTTTCAAGTCTATCCTTCCAACAGAAGGCCTTTCTAAGATTTCAACTACTGTTTCATATGGTGGCTGATTAGGGCCATCGCTTTCTCGCCTTTAAAATTCGGAGGCGAGAGATGGCCCTAATCAGCCGCCATAGTTTCAACTACTGTTACTGTCCAATCATTCTCTAACCTTCCGACACAATGCAGGTCTGACACAATCATGCAAGTACGTTTTCAATCGAATGGACGCACTTATCAATGTGACATCACAGAGGCTATTTCTAATTACACCGTTTGCGACATTTGAATATAAATTAAAACTGGTGAAAACACATACGACCCCTTTACAACTGTGCAAGCAAAGACCACCGTGACTTCCATCTGACCTTGACGGATGTCAATCCTCTTCCCGAATGGCGTCTCGTCGAACCACTTTCTGGCAGTCTCAACGAGATACGGTTCGTACTCGCACGTGACAACGGCGCCATCTTCCGGAAGTGCTTCCGCCATCGACATTGCAACATATCCTGTAAACATCCCGATCTCCAGAACTCGTTTAGCTTTTTGCATCCGGATCAAGAACTGAAGTATCTGCCCTTTAAAGGAAACCAAAATTTGTGAGAGTTGAGGAGCGGTAAAATGGAGTTTAAGATCGCTTTCAACATTATTACATTTACATAGCATCGTGTATGTACAGGGGTGTGTATGTTCGAGTCCGGTGTGGTAGCCTAGTGGTTATTTAAAGCGTTCATTTGTCACGCCGTAGTTCCGGGTTCGATTCCCAACATGGGTACACTGTGTGGAGCCCATTTCTGGTGTTCCCCGCTGTGATATCGCTGATTAAATATTGCTAAATGCGGTGTAAAACTAAAACTCACTCTAGTCCGGAATAATGCCGATTATAAATTTCTAGCCTAAAGACACCAAATTAACATGGATACCCTACTCAGACACGGTGTGTCTCTAATCCCCTAATGCCGAGCACAAGGCAGGGCAACAAAACGTATAACCCTTTAACCTATTTCGGTATCACACGGCCAGGGGATGAAAATTCCGATCTCCGGTTATCTAATATCCACTAGAAGGCGAAGATGTGAAAGAAATAACTATGTTTAATAGCAGACTTTTTAAACATTATTTAGACAATTTGCACTTATACAAAAATCAAATGAGGCACTAGTTCAAACGCACTCTCCTTATAATGAGCAAGTCCGCCCTCACTCATCTCATGGCAATAAATGCAAGCATTCTGCATGGTTTATGTGTTAACTGACAATAAACACAAATGAATTTATATAAGTAATTCAACTTGACCCAAACAGTGATAGCCTTTTACTTTAGTTACAGTAGCTGAGTTAGGTTTTATGCCGCAGTAATCAATGTTCCAGTTATTTCATAGCGGGGTACACGCAATGTGGGATTCACTCAGTGTGCCAGTATGGTTTTTGGGTTGACGAATTAACCAAGGGTACTCCTTCTCAATCATTTCTGAAAAGTAGCCTGACTTAACATCCATATCAATTACACATCGATATGATATACCTTGCATTGCTCAATGCAGCAGTAAAACTAGTCTGTCACACAGTCCTTGAACTACATTATTTTCACTACTCCCCAGCCCTCCCTACAATGCTAAAGCCCTAAATGAAGCAAGTCTAGATTTCCTCAGGTTCAGGTTTTAAATCTCCCATCTCGCTGGGGACCCTTTAAGTTGAAATGGGTTTATTTGTAACACAGTTACTATCAAAGTTATATATATTCAGAGACTAATCTACATCAGCACATTCATTCTTCCACATATATTGAGCTACCTTCTCCAATACCGCTCATCCAACGTGCACTGTACTGTGTCCCGACCTTGCTGTCTTGGTAGAGCTGTTTCCACGGCATGGCGTAGGTCTTCTCGCAGATCATCCGGGCACCTGGCGTATCGGGATACGTCATCTTTCGACTATATTCTTCCCGGGTCTCCACCAGTTCCAGCGCTTTGCCTACCGTTGCCCTCACGTCTGAGGGCGTGTCGGGGTTATCTGCCCTTGTATATAGCTCGTCCAGCAAGTTGCTCGCCGGGTCCATCACTCGGGCTGTGTTGATGACCTTCGAAGAGCTTGGCGAGGTCATTGTTCAAACCTGCATTTAGAAGAGAAGCGTGTGTTTAGACAGCCAGTACAGTTGTTCCTTGACACAAAGTTGGTCGTTTTTTAATATCCATATGATCCACTCTTAGATATGGATATGATCCGTTCGTTTAGACATCGGTGGATATCACTTCCGTAAGTACGTTTGGTTTTACGCCGCTTTTAGCAATATTCCAGCAATATCACGGCGGGGGACACCAGAAATGGGCTTCACAGTAAGTACGTTTGAACAATTGGGTTACACGTTTTCATCACCTCGTTTGTTTATCATCAGGGAATGTGAAAATGTATGTCATCGTATCATAAACATAAACTATGTGTGTATGTACACACTCAAATGTGTGTGTGCATGTGCGTGTGCGTGAGTGTGTGATTGAATAGATAATAATACAATTTCACACTTACTGCTTCCAAAAACATCATATCGATTCATCCTTTTGCTTTTCTAAACTGGAATGTTATTTCAGAAATAGGCGCCGCCATATAACTGGAATATTGCTGAGTGTGGCGTTAAACAACAAACATAACAAACATCAGAAATAGGCTTAAAATAATCAGTTTCTCGGTAGTGGTGAAATAACGAGTAGTTTCTTCTGAATTTAAATGTTGTATTTTAGCTGTTAATGACAGTATTTTCTTGAAATCAGATATTTGATAAATCAGTTGGAAATAATCAAACCTCAAAATATTGTGTTAATAGTGAATATGAATTGATTGTTTGATGGTGTCAAAACAAGAAACAGTTAGACAGAAATGATTCGTTCTAAAACACATTTGGAAAGTGTAATCAGTCTCACGTCCACTTTACTGCCGCGGCGTCATGCACAACGGTGGCAGTCGTGCTTTGTTCATATGTCCATGCTTTGTTCATATGTCCATGTCCGGGTTAGACTGATCTTCAGCAACCCATGCTTGTCGAAAGAAGCCACTAACGGGATTAGATGGTCAAGCTCGCTGACTTGGTTGATGCATGTCATTGTATCCCAGTTTCCACTGGATTGTCTGGTCCAGAGTATTTACAGACAGCCATCTTGACGCGCGAAACGTGCGTAAAACAACGAACTAATGGACTGATAAAACAGAAAAAAAATAACAATGTGAAGATCGTCAGATCTGTTTAAATCCCGACATTCGCAGCCTATTTGAATATGCCTACCAAGTCTGAATAGTATGCAGTTCATATTTGTCAGACACTGGGAAACGGATGTATGTGAGAAGGCAAATAAAAGCAACAACCACAATGCGTCAATACAGTGTTATTTTACGAATGCTTCAAACAGCATCAGGTTGCTCAGTCAACGCATCTCTTAATCTAGGTCAGGGGCGTAGCTACCATTGTTAAAAAAGCCCGGGCTTACACATGATTGTTGCTAAAAAGGTTGGGCAAGCCCTCAATACTATCTAATATAAAGCTTTGCAACCTATCGTGCTTGTAAACACGAAAATATTGGCTTGCTACGCGCATGTAGGTTTATGTAACTCCATTGTCGTACGGGATACAAAGCTGAAAGTGACTACCAGCATCCGACAGCGCGACTATCACGTCTATTCCAAAAAGAAAACATATGTTTAAAAAAAATAACTGATGAAATCAAAAAAATCCTCGGAGTTGACAAACCAGGAAACTGACCTTCGACCTGCCCCCGGAATCCTGACCCGGAAGAGTTGAGACAATCCGACAGCGCTGTTGAGTCGGTATATTGAGACAATCGGCGTGTCGTGTGCGTGAGGTAGAGGGTGTTAAAACTAATGTAAATGTTAAATAATCAGCGTTCTAGTTCACCTGAATTTTGGGTACTGAATCTGGATGTTGCGCAATGCGTGTCAGCGCGTGGAGACACTTAACACAGCATCAAGGGCAGATAAAAAGAAAATATCAATTACAGGGAGGTAACTCCTGGAAGCTTATCTCACTGCTTGTGCGCAAACATTGGCAAGTAACTTTGGCCTCCTTCCCCCACATTATACGACTACTACTGCTGGTGCTGTTGTGGCTACTACTACTACTACTACTACCACTACTCTCCGCCTACTCTATCTCACAAATCCTGAACCGGTATATTTTCCACACTGCCCAGTTGTTTCTGCAATGCTAAAGCCCTCAGTGAATGAAGTCTACATTTCCCCTGAATCTGAATGCTGAATCCTGAATCTCCCATATCACTTGGTTCCTTTTCAATTTAAAAGGAATTTTTGTTTCTATAAAAATTATATATATATTCAGAGACTAAGCGTTAGTTTACTCCCTGTCGTAAATAACTGCTGGCATGGCTACCGGGTAAAACAAGTTCACCGTATAACGTGATCAATTTTTAATAAAATTAAAAAGACTTTTAATGCTTTGATTAAAGTTTTTTAACAAGACGTGCAAAAATTAATCAAACAGAAAAGACCTCATTGAAAACAGTGAAGTATTGAATCAGTGCAATATTTCATCTCGTTCGTTAAATACAATAAGACTGTTTTACATGTAATGAAACATTAAATGATTACAAAATAAGACAAATACTTGGTCTGTGAAAATATATAATTTTGAATTTCATTTAAACGGAAGTGGGAGATTCAGAACCTAAGGAAAATCAATACTTGCTCATTCGGCGCTTTGAATTACGGTAAGGGATGGGTGGGACGGTAATACTGTGTCAGTCTAGATGTTACTGTATATGACGTTATTGGATATTTATATAGTGCGCATATCCACGTATTAGTGCATGCTCAAGGCGCTGGTATTTTCTCCCTCGGTCACTGGATGTCAATCTCAACGGCACATCTTATTAGCAATCTCAACTCCCTGGGATCATACTACCCTTGCTGCCACAAGGCGCACCGAGTTATTGCGGCTTTCCCATCCTTACGAGGTACCCATTCACAGCTGGGTGGACTGGGACACATAGTACTTTGTCCAAGATTACTGCACGTTGATGTACCGCAACTAGTTGTTTTCACGTATTCATGTGGCCACCATCTGGTCATATACCAACGGATTTGTGCGTCCTTTTAAGTGCACAGGGTTGTGTACTGTACACTAGGGGTTGTGACAACACTGAAAGAGTCTGCACTCAAAGTTGACTCCAAGGTTTTTTACACCCGGTCACAGGTAGGCTCGATCCCGGCACCTCATACTCGCTGGATCACTAGCCTGGCGCCTTAGCCAGCTCGCCCACGCCGACGTAGTATCCAAAACGTCGAGGATGCATCGTTATCAATATCAAGATGTAGCAGAGACTGGGTCCAGTCTGGGCGTGGCTGTCTCACAGTCCCTGAACCATATTATTTTCCCTCCGCCAAGCACTTGCTGCAATGCTATAGCCCTAAATGAAGCAAGTCTAGATTTCTTCAAGTTCTCAATCTCGCTTCTGACTGGAGGTCTTTTTCAATTTTATAGATAGATAGATAGATAGATAGATAGATAGGTAGGTAGGTAGGTAGGTAGGTAGGTAGGTAGGTAGGTAGGTAGGTAGGTAGATATTTCCTTCATTGAATGAAGATACAATGTGATATACTAGTACATACAGATCAGAAATGGTGTAATACAGATAATTACAGACAATTTACAAGGAAATGTTTCCAGTTGTTAACAGTTGTACTTACATTGGTCATACATTCAAGCCATACATTATCATCAAGAGATATACAATATTCCGTTGGAAGTGTTCCGAGTTAGGAACATAGAGTCAAATCTTCATCACGGTTCCAAAGGTTAGAAAAGGTATTTACATCTACTATGTCAATAATTGATCCAATAAGAAGATCTCTCTGATGGCTTGTCAGCTCGCAGTACATAAAAACATGTTTGCCAATATCGTAGACAAATGTGCCACATATACACTCTTTTGATTGGACACGCAGAGTACTAATGTGCACCAAGTTTGCAATACAGTGAAATAGATCAGGTCGTAGGATCGACATTTGACATAGTCTGTGTATATTCTGGTCTCGCACTGAATAGTATCTATGTTCATTTTCCCTTGACGTTAACTCTTAACATATATGTATATTTTCAGCATCATGAATTGTTTTCGTAACATGGACAATCCATTGTGATTTACTAGGAAAGCTGGCAGACACGTTGTATGTATTTACATTATCTGTCAGACCGTATTTATATGTTAATAGTAGCATATGGTAGATAGATGATTTTGTACTTTTAGCCCTCTCTTTCATTACATGAGTCAAGTAAGAATTGGCTAAGTTTATAGTTTAAGACATTCTTGAATAGAAAGTTTAAATGACTTCTGCATAATTTGCCAAGGAACATAAGACAACGTTTTTCTATGTATGCTTGGACTGGTAGTAAATTTAAACAGTCTCGTGCTACAACTGTCGAAGAACATTTAGAGAGTCCCTGGATGGTTTTACAGAAGAAAAGATTGTGCTCTTTCAAGTATTTCATACTCTTTAGATGTTAGTTTACACCATAGTTCACAAGCAAACAGGGCACATGTTAACACAACTCTGTTCCAGACTCCACAGGCAGACATGAGGTTTAGACCACCACAGAACAAACCGTTGCAGCGATTTGTGTTGACTAACATTCTAAGTTTATCACGTGATAACAACACAGTTAAAGATGCAGTGGTTATGTACAAGCCAACATACACAACAAGATGTTTTTGTGTTACAATCTTCTCCCCAATTTAAAATGATGGACATGTATGTTTTTGGGTATTATCAAACAATAAGAATACACTTTTGTCGGCATTATATTCAAAATGCCATTTACAAGAGTACCAAAACACACAGTTAGTGTACACTTTAGGCCATCTATGGCTCCACTTACAACAGTTGTGCCATCTGCTAATAAGATACCAGGCACATTACCCCATGGAAGACTTGTGTTCCAGTGCGAATAATACGTCATTAATATACAATGAAAATAAATAAGCTGACAAAACACATCCTTGACCAACATCTTGTTTTACAGGAAATGGAGAAGATGCAACTCCCCCTATTTTAACACAAGATTGCATTGAAGTTTATTTAAAACGCAAGATACGCTACAGTTTACCATTTATACCAAAGTGATGAAGTTTATAAAGTAATCCATTGAGCGATATTCTATCAATAGCCTCTTCGTTGTCTAGAAAGACACAATACACTGGTGAGTTTCTTTCCCTGTAATAAAATGTACTTTCTAACAATGGTAGTGCAGCTGTTTCAGCGCCAGCACCTTTACGGAATCCAAACTGATACTTGTGCGGGAAAGATTTACTGTTACAACACCAATTTTCTATTCTTTCTAAGATGACTCTTTCGAATAATTTGCTGAAAATAGGAGTTAAAGTTACCGGTAATAATAAGGATCGCATGTGCTTTTACCTTCACCTTTGCGAATGAGGAGTATGGAACCAACATTAAAATCACAAGGTAGATACTCATAATGAACAATAGCATTCAAGTAAAATGCTACTAGACGAATAATAACAGATCTACCGGCGTACTTTAAGTGTTCTTTAACAATATCATCAGATCCAGGTGACTTGCCGTTCTTAAGTCGCCGAATAGTGCATAACAGGTCATCAAATGTAAGAGGACATTGAAGCAGTGTAGAAGCATCATCACAAACATCATGAGTATTCTCAAGTTGAGATACAAAGTTATTTACATAGTCAGTAAAATCTGAATCAAAATTAACATCTGTACATGGTAGAGAGAGGTCTCTGAAATATTTAGCAAATAGATCACATATACCTTCTTGAGTATTACAAGATGTGTTTTCGTAAGTGAGAACTTGAGTGTATTCTTTAATACGTTTGTATATTTTGGTAGCTTTAAAGTACTCTTGTATACCTAGTCCAGAAGCCTCATAAATTATTTTGAATTTAAGATCATCCTCATGTTTCTTTGATTGACGATGTCGTTTTTGAAAATACGTTTTGCTTCTTTATATGCAATGTAGTAACTATTCTCTTCATCATGGAGGGGCAGTGGGGTAGTCTAGTGGTTAAAGCGTTTGCTCGTCACGCCGAAGACCCGGGTTCGAATCCTCACATGGGTACAATGTGTGAAGCCCATTTCTGGTGTCCCCTGCCGTGATGTTGCTGGAATATAGCTAAAAGCGGCGTAAAACCATACTCAGTCATCATGGATTTTACCATTACGGATCCATTCGTTGCAACATTTTCTCATTGTATTATGTAGACCTTTCAAATTACCTTTTGTCCAATATTGTTTCAAGTTTTCCTGGTATCTAGGGGAAGGGATACTTATATTTGCTGCACAACGGAGAGATTGGGTTACATATGCATAATGAGCTTCAATATATTCCTCTGGAGAAGTATACTGGGAGCAGTCGAATTCAACATTTTGTATTCGTTTCATGATCACATGTTTACTACGTCTGGCGTATCTGCCTCAAATACCGAGCATGTTTACTTTGTGACGTAGAAAATGCCACCTTTCAGCCTGTTTGTGTATCTAGTGAAATGTAAAGCTGTGGATAAACCGCACGGACGATTTAGAATTGCTGGATATAGTACCTGGATGGAGGTGTTGAATAGAGATGTAAGGTGGAGATGTAGGATGAAGATGTAGGATGGAGATGTAGGGTGGAGAAAAATGCAAGTATGATGATATAGAAATCCCAGTCTTCCACTACTTCTTCTCTACCGTACCTACTACTACTACTACTACTACTACTACTACTACTACTACTACTACTACTACTACTACTGCACCTCCAACTGCACACGACTTCATCTACTACACGGGGTGACAGCTTGATGCTGGAGGCCTGTCCGAAGTGATGCAGGTCTGACAGATTCGCCACGTCACAGCGACCGACGATCAGCGGTTTCTGGAACGCCTAAGGGACGCAACTCGCCATGACACATGTTATGAGAGTGGTTTTTTTTGTAATTTGTAATATCACATTGATTAAGTGATACTTATTTTGAGTCATAATGTTTCAAGTTTTGAGTGTGG